CTCGCATATAGCTATACTTGAACAAGAGCCTCAATTATCAAGCCAGAATCAAAATTTACTTTAGGCGTATGCAATGATTCATAGGTCTAATCCTCTGATTTTGCAAATCTCATTTGAGGTGGGAATATACGGTGCACCACGATATGATATGCCTTCACTTGATATTATAAATGAAGTGTTGCAGCATGAGATAACCAGCCTCACTGTTTTAACTTTTATATATGATAAATTATCTTTCAAATATGAATAGTTAGTATTTTAAATGTATACTAATCCATTTGATATATTGATGGTAGGTGCTTGTATGAAAAATTTATTATTCCTTTTGGCCTATAAATAAAGTTCATTTTTCTTAATTCTCACAAGGTTGGCACACATGCTTTAATTCAAAAGGACAAGATTTTAGGTCAAGCCAAGCAATTAAGTGAAAACTTTAAAGGAAGGGCTCAAAAGGGGATATTATTCTTAATACTATATTGCCAAGAGTAACCTACTTCTTACTTATATTAATGAATTTGTTAATATTAATTTATTCAATTAGTTATAATTTTATAACACTTGTTAATGCTATTAGAGACCATTAGATGTTAATTGCAACTGAACCATATGGTAGCACTTTAAGGAGATATTATCTCGATTCTCTTGGTGAAAAATCAGAGAATAGACAAATTTTATTGGAGTTGATTAATATGTAATTGTAGAAAATAATTATTCATATGTTTATTTGTTTATTTCTATACTGACATTTTTTTTTTTTTTTATTAGGGCAATTGTGTTGTATCGCACAAACACAAAAAAAAAAATTTCAAAGTCATTTGCAAATTTTGATGCGGCCTATACTTGAAATATAATAAATATAATTAATATTATTTTTTAATTTAAATATTCATTATTTTTTAATACATTAATATGTACTCATTGGTTCTTTAATTTGTAGTGCCTAAGACAAATGAAAAATTGCTTGAATTGTGGCTTCTGCATTATGAGATTCATGAAAGACATCATTATCCCTAATGAGAGCACAATTCCCATGATGGTATGCCAACAATTAATTTTTACTTTATAATTGCCAATGAATTTAATTTTTAAAATAAATTTATGGTGAATAATTTATGTATTGCACTAACTATAAGGATTCTTACATTGAAGAATTTGAGCATGTACAAATAAATGAGGTCATTGAAGAGTAGTGCTAGTACATATTCCAAGTGTGAACATTGCACAAAGATGAAAATCAATAGAGTTAGCGTAAGTAGGATTACTGTTTATAGTTTTACTAGTTTTCATTCATTACTTGATATTAGTTGATAAATTACTTTCCTTTAAAAAATTTATACATTGATTACTTGATAGATTAAAATAAGAGATTAGTTTTTGTTTCATTTTGTATTGATTATAATTCAATTTCAATTGGTATTCATATATGAAAATGTTGCAATTGTTGTCTGGTTATTATTTGTGTAGTTGTCATAAGGAGGCTGCTATAAATAACAGACCTTTATTTAAAAAAAAATAGAATATATGACGGTCAAATACCTACCTGTCATTTATTCTTATAATAAATGACGGGCACATATTTTCCCATCATTTATTATAAGAATAAATGACGGGTAAATATTTATTCATCATATATTACTTAGTTACAATAAATGACAGGATTTACTCATCATATATTGTTTAGTTACAATAAATGACCGTCATTTATGATAAGAATAAATGATGGGTATTTTCAACACCCATCATTTATTCTTACAGAATGCAAAAAAAATATTTTAAATGACATGTTATTTAATTTATATGGAAATAAATTATAGATAAATAACCATAATTTATTTGGAGAAACTTTAAATGACAAGGTCATAAATTATAAGCAAAAATAACTGTCATTTATGTCATTTTTTGTAGTAATGACAAGTGGTGGAAGCTAATTTAAAATACAAATGCAAAATTTATCAAATCTTATAGAATCAGATAAGATTATATGGAAATTAGAGATCAAAGGGTTGTGAAAAAGTTATAAATAAAGCCGTTGCAACCTAAAAGGATGGAAGTTTATATATTAAATTGAGAAGATAATTCTAAAATACAAACCAAGATTTGAGAAGTGTTCTTGAAGATTGGGAACAATTGAGCAGTTATTGAGTAGATATTGTGAAGTTCTCACTTTTTCTCTATACTTTTTAATCTTGATATTGAATTTAAATTATTTTGCATATTTAGAGTCATGAATGACTAATTTTCTTTTACATATCTTTAGAGATTTTATAAATCTTTAATGCTTTGTGAGTAGATTTCTTTCCGTTTGATATTTCTAATGGATGTTTTAATGCTTAATATGATTTATTCTGTTTTTATGCTATTAGATGGCCAACTTTAGTATGTGTTTGGATCTTAAAATTTGCCTTTGATAGAAGAAAATCTCAAATAGACCATTTATTAAGCAACATAGGATTGAGATTAATTTAATTTATGCTTGAGATACACACACACACACTCAAGAGCTGCAAGTAATCTTTTAAAGCCTGTACATGATTGGATCGAAACTTGCATGAGACATGATAATATAGTTAGATCACGAGTTTTGTAGTAGACAGATACATAATCTAAATTAGAGCATTGGTTATAAAGTTAAACAAAAATTAATAACTAGAAGAAATTGAATTACAAAACATAAAAGGGGATTAAAATTCACAGGGTACTTTTTAATTGTCAATCTTATCTAAGATATATTCTTTTATTTTATTCATATTTATTAATTTAATAAAAACTCCACTCTTTAATTGGATAATTTAGCTAAGAGAACAACTCTTTAAAATTCATAGGACACTCGTAATTTTTCCCCATGCCTGGAACACTTAAGATCCATGCTTTTTATTCGGACCGGCCATAACATCATGGGTCACATATCCAGGCTCCAAACTCCAATGTTTTTCTTTTTCTCATTGATCAACTAATTTTATCCAAAAAAAAAAACTACCCAGTGCATACAAAATTCGTTTGCCGATGACCCTACTAATATAAGGGCCCAAGCGCAAATTTTCAACACGTTACAGACAATGTTGAATCATGCACATTACAGATAACACGCGTTGTAGCCAACTCTCTTCATTCCTCTCGATTAGCCATTAGGTCACGCCAATCGGGGACTGGCGTCCACATAAGGTAATCTATGTAACCACGTAAAATGGTGTGAAGCATGAACGATAACGATGCCATGAAAAGGGAAATTGATTAGTGTTGGTGGAGGTTAATCAAGAAAGATCGACAACGACGGATTGTGGTTGCAATAACAACTAGCCAACGTGTAACAATATATCCAACACGATTATTATGATAAAAGCGGGGTGAGGTGGCAACAAGGTCGGATCATCCCTCTCCATTCAAAAACTGCTTCTTATGAAAGTAGAAAGAATTGAATGAATTGACAAAAGAAAAAAAGAAGAAGAAGAAGAAGCAAATAGCCTAATAACGTAAGCGTGTAGAGATCATATTTGATCTTGTTTAAAATTTCAGGTTTTCAGTGTTTTAGAAAACCAAGGAAATCCATTAGGCCCATCACCCCAGCAGAGTAAAAGCAAATCTGTTATATTTACATGCAGGCAGGCCCATGGTATGAGAATACGTGATAACAAGGACAAGTGTAATGTATACACACAAGAGTACACTAGCAGTACAAACGTACCGAAGGGAAAGCACTCGACAAGTGTTCCTTCCTATTTACCTCGTACGCGTTTTTTTTTTTTTTTGGAATCTATATTTTTATTTTTTTAATTAGGATCATTTGGATTATAATTTCGTTGCTCGATCAGTATCGGGGGAATCCATGTATGTCACGTCTGGGTTGGGACTCGATCCAGATCCGTACCGGCGTTTCGTTTCGTGTTTTGTATAATAGCTATGCAGTAACTTCTACCGGTGATTCTACAAAAAAAAAAAAAAAATTCTACTGGTGAATCCGTTGTTAATTACTATTATCCACTGTTATTGTTATTGGAGTTCGCTTGTTTACTACGCTATATCATCCTTTTAGAGATTCAGTTAACGATTTACGCACCTAAACTCAACCAATCTTGAATAATGATCACGGGTTGGCTGTTACAATTAGTTATAAGCAATTATATAACCATGCATCCATTCAATTATAAGACGACAGATCGTGTTTGGTTAGGTCATTTGAGTAATTTGAATTATATATGCCACCATGTGCTTTTGATATCAAAGGTGACACAATAAATTTTTCGTCTATATATAACTGAAGTATCAAGAGCTGGCCGCGAACTATTTCCTCAAAATGAATGACTACGAGTTATGTCAATAGCATCCATTTGTTTTGTCAAGACAAGTAAAAAACAAGCATTTAATTTCACCCGAACAATTCGGGGCGGCCTCGGTGCTAGTTTTAGAAGATGCATGTTTCAGGCGCGTCTGTCTTTAGTTTTCAGTCCATTAAATCTACCCACGCATGCAATGTTTGGTGGCTCGGTTACTTGCTACAAGCTTGAATTCATTCTGTTGGAATCAAATAATAAGTAGAAACACGACAGAGAAGTCAAAATGATTCTACGTTGTAAGAAAACTTTTATCCGACCATTTGCAACGAAATCTGCCGAGAGAAAAGAAGTGAACAACGGGGCGGATACTGTACGTGGGTCTGCAAATCAAAACAGAATGATGGGCGTGAGAAATACAAGGAATACAAAAGGCATGGAGGAGTAAAAGAAAAAGTGGTACCCAAGGGGAGGGAATGGAGGAGAGAGCGCGCGCGCATGAAGTGAGAGATGGGTCCCACCATCCTCCCTTCTTAATTCTCATTACTGAAAGTTCGAAATATAAAACGAGCCACCCCTGTCCCTCACCTTTTGATTTTTATTTTCTTGCGTTGTGGGTAATTGGTGTACCCTCCTCCGTTGCACCATCCACCCTGGCACCTCGTCCGTACCCTGTCGCCTTCCATAGTTCCATCCATCCACTCCCCCTCTCTCTCACTGTCTACCGCCTCATCCGGTCACTTTCCTCACTCGCACATGCCGCATCCTCCACAAGCCCCGTCGCACGTGCCGTCTCTCGTCCATACAAACACACCCTTCTTTCTCTGGTGCAACAAATAAAAGTTAGAGAGAGAAATCAACAGCCCCAATATATATAGACGCAGGGATAGTCCATCTCAGAGGGAGTCGATTAAAAGCATGGATTTTTTTCCTGGTGTTTGAGGGGGTGTGCGGGTGCTGCAACACTAGTTGGCTTTACCCTTGTCTAACCGTCTCTTTCTTGTCGTTTATTATTATTATCATTATCGTCTTGCCTTCTCAAATCTCAAGTGAAGGATCAGTTCTGGTCGGGAGCGTGTTCAGTCTGTTGGTGTTTTGTGGCCTAAACCTGCTGACACGGCGGCGAATCCTATCTTGCACCGATGAGGATCCGCAAAAGTCAGTTCCTTTTTCCTTTTTCCTCCCTTACCCCGGTTCCGCCTTCAGATCCCCACCTGATTGACCCCTCTCCGGTGGTGCAACTCAACGACGATATTCCCCTCCCGCCTAAACCTTCCCCTTCGTCTTCCCTCTCAGATCATCCCCGCCCGCCCGATCAGCTTCTCCCGATCGGCAGGACTATCGACCCCTCCGATGATTCCTCCGGCGTCGCAGCTGTGGCGGCCGACAGTGGAGCTCACCGGCAGCGGAAAAACCAATATGGTTTGGTGAGTGAAACGTAGATAGTTGTTCGATTTTTACTATTTCTATATTTGTGTTTTGAATTGGATGGGGTGGGCATGTACAAGTGCAATTTTGTCCGATCTCACGCAAAGGCAAAGAGGGGTGGTTGTAGAAATTTGGATTGCGTTTTTTTTTTTTTTTTCGCACCAGCAAAAAGGGAAACTGAGCGTGTTCGCTGTGATTTTGCAGGAGGAAGAAGCGAGAGGGCGAGGAGAGGAAGGAGAGAAGCGTAATGATACCAGGTAAGAATAAAAACAAAATAGTGATTCAACATATAAATTAGAAAAATATCTCCCCTTCTCCTCTTTCGTGAAATCTGTGATTGTAGTAAAAAAGTGAAAACATGGAGCCCCATGACTTGATTTTACCTTTCATCCCACAACCCCCCCCTCCCGAAAAAAAAAAAGGAAGAAAAAGACCTTTTTTTTTATTAAAATGAAAATAGCACGCACAGCGGAGAAATACTGTTAGTGGAAATACTGTGGAAGCTATTTCAATTTATAAAAACAAAAGCTCGGGGGTAGCTAGCCACCATACCCGCTGTTTATCGGATCCTTTATTCTTGGGCTCTAAATAGAGTGACTGCCATATGCCTTAATGTGCACGGGTAGCACCCAGATGCTGGTCCCCGTCCACATTTTTCATTGCCACAACTTACAGCCCTTTCTTTTTCATTCGCTTTGGCTGTAAATTTTATGTATGTATGGCTGTGTGGGTCGTCTGAGTTCGCTTTGCTGCTAGGAAAGGGAGCATCTCGGGTTCGCAAACACTCGCAGATCACGTCTTCTCACCCTCAAGTCCTTCTAACCAAGGTCGACATTCTTACTTCTCAATCAAATTAATTACGATAGCTCTTACACTGATGATAATGCATATATGTAAAATCTGTGGCTGGGTGGTGTTGACAGATGGGAGATGGTGTGAGGGAGAGAAAGCGATTCCGTTGAAGAAAAGAAGAGGCAGCTTCGAGAGGATAAAGGTGGAAGAGTACGACGAGGTGACGACGCAGAATAATAATAACAAGAAGGAGAAAACTAGGATGAAGACGAAGATGAACAAGAAATGCTCGAGGCATGACGATGATCAGGAAGACGACGTGGCAGAAGAGGGAGGAGAAAGAGAAGTGAAACGGGAGCGGAACGCAGGTAGGAAGAGGGCGAGAGGTAGTGCAGTCATGGAAGGGTCGAGGTGCAGCCGTGTGAACGGAAGAGGATGGCGGTGTTGTCAGCAGACTCTTGTCGGTTACTCGCTGTGTGAGCATCACCTGGGCAAGGGAAGGCTCAGGAGCATCACTAGCGTAAAAACCCGATCTGTTCCTGCAACAGAAACTTGTTCTCAGAAACCGGAGCCTCACCAGTTTTCTCAAGTTTCAACTTCTTCGTCTCCTGCTTTAAAACATGCCAATGAGGGCGAACAAGACCAGGAGGTGAAGAAGCCCGAAACAATGGCGAAGAAGAGGATGAAGCTTGGGGTGGTGAAAGCGCGATCCATAAGCAGCCTGCTGGGACAAACCAACACCCATGTCCCTGTGCTTGAGAATAACGAGTAAGGCGTGCAGTAATATAAAATTCAAGTGCAGAACCGGAAGGCATTATTTCATGCAACGCAGTTTAATATAGTAACTTGTATTTTAATTGGGTACAACTGCTTTTAATTCGACTAACTTCATCGTTCATGTGTTTCCTATGCCATTGCGTATTTTCACCCACATACTGATACTGCGTTACTTTGTTTCCGGTTATTTTTGTTTCGAGTTTCGACCGCCCCTTTCCAAGGGATTATTATTCAATGGTAAAGGATTCGAGTGAGTGGCACTGTTTGTTCTGCTGCCGAGTGCAATATTAATTCATACAAGTAAATTATCCAACGGATCTTCTCAGGAGACCGGATCACGTACGGCCATACTTGATGTCCTTTGACCAAGAAAAAAACTACAGTTGCTTTTTTTTTTTTAGCAGGGGGAAAAACTAACAATCCTCTCAGTTAGTTATCACGTGAAACGTATTTAGTTACAATAACGAGGCAAACGTATTAATGAAGATGAAGATGTGATCACTATAACATAATTTGTCGTTATCGTTTCGTCGTCAAGTCCCCAAATGGTTTCAGCGCTTTCACGCCTTTCATTTACACACGCATATATACACTATATAAACAAAAGCAAATTGATCATGAAGGGTAGTTAAAATATGTTATACTAAAACTTGAATTTGTAGTTTCTTGCGTCTGTGGTCAAGTGGTTGAATAAATTGGCGCCGAGTGAACCTGTTTTTTTTTTTTCTTCAGTAATTATTTTGCTGTTTTGCTTAATTATGATATTTTAATAGATAGATATCACGCGCGTTGATTTGCCCATGTGCAGAGGGTTTCCATCAACCATGGATGCGTTCGTTTCCTTTTCGAATAACAGGCATATATATGAGTCGAAAATAAGATTATGAATAGTCGGCCGAGGGGGGCGGGAAGAAAAAGAAAATAAGATTATAAATAGAGGCAATGCAAGGATGTTTTAACTGGTTCGTTCTTGTTCGCGCACAGTACAGTTATGATATTTATCTTCGAGTGGTGAAGTTTGAAAGGAAGGCAGGTTTTGATTTAGATGGCTCGACCAAGTCTTTTCCTTTCTCTTTTATTAGCATGACATGACCTCTACCTCTACGGTTCTTCCGCTTGGTGCTACGCACAACGCACCTCATGTATGTACCCAATAATTTGTAATCTTTTGAGAAACAGTAACCACGTTTTAACACCCTTTTGCACATGCATTCTTAATTGCCTTACAAAATCTTGGATTGCAAACGACAATGGCTTCCGATATTGTATTTATATATTTTCTATGCAAAATGAAGCCCCGTGCTATCATTGCTCCTTCAGAACTTTAGATACTCAGTGACGTGATTATCTTAAAGCAATAAATTAAAGAAAAATAACTTTGGTGGCCGCAGAAAAGAAAAAGAAATCGATTGACAATAGATCCAATCAACAAGGTAAAGTTTTGTTTAAATAAGTCATACAAGTTTTGTTTAAATAAGTCATACAGGGAAGGAGAGCGCAGTCCCCAATATGAAATGTATGCAATGATGTGCATTGACAAAATAATCACGCTCATTATTAAGTCCAATATCACGCAAGGTTATGAATAATTCGCTGAATCATCAACGAAATACGCGAGGATCAAAAGTAGTGTACATCTAACACGAACAAGTCACCTTGCAGTTCAAAACTACAAGAGGAAATCGCGGAGCTTACTGGACCATAACCAGTGTTACCGTATGCTCTGAGGCAGTGAGTTGCGTCCTTTCGCAGCAGTTTCTGATTTAAAAAATAAAAAAAGACGAGAAGAAGTGATCACTGGAACATGGGGTCAATTCGTGCATAGTGCCGGTAGACCCCTACGCTTAAGCACTATGGTAATGTATGTCCAGTAGCACAAAAATTCTCTTCTATCCGACTGCAGAATTTTCTGCCTGTCTTAATCAATTAAAGATGTGTGTTTGGTCAATGTTCTTTTGATGGCATATGGTAGCGTGGGATACAATAATAATGATAATAATAATAATAATAATAATAATAATAATAATAATCACCTTAATGTGTATAGAGTTTTCTTGCCCATATTTCCTCTCTCTTTTCCAGCTTCGGAGAAAGTTAATTAAATTGACTCAAAGAGGAGAAACATCCTCGTGAATGTTTTGCCCTTATTAAGAATTTGGTAACTGCCTGTGAAGTTCTATTGGCTTGTCGAGTTTTGGTACCTCAGAAAAGTCAATGCGTTCAATTTGTCTAACCTCTCTAAGATAAACATCGGTGAATGGAGTAGCATTCCATCTCTTTCAAAAGGTTGTCTTGGAACCTGCTTTACAGACTTTTTTTGGTACAGCGATGGCCTTGATGGGTAGGTTTGGGGATGACAGCTAACAAGAATTTCCTTATCTCATTTTTGGGCAATGACGTGGTTCTCATGTATTCCATTCTAGTGCAAACCCGAAATGCCAGTTTGGTCGTTCATCGGTTCCAAAAAGCTCCACCCCAAAACTACACCAACCGTATTTATTTACTCTTGAGTTCGGTTAGGAGCCTCTTGAGTTTCTCTGGTTTCCTTTATCTATAAATGCGCGTATATACAGGTTTCACCTTATGTTCGTCTTGTAATAAGTGGTGCAAAATAAGTTATTTTATATTCGTAGTTGCATGCAATTGATTCGATAGCTAGCTAGTTGCCACGCGACTCCAGTTTAGCAAGATGTTTTGATGCTTAAAATTCAGGCATCTGGTTTTTAATTTTTGTTTTTACCTTCTTTGACCCAAGGCTTTTCAGTGAGGATCAGTAATGTATGTGTGATAAATAGGAATGCACACTCATGGCTCCGTCCACTCACGAACCATTGCTGTGCTTTAGAATTGGAAAATGGGGGTGGGGGAAGAACATATTCTTCGATGAAAATGAAAATTCAGTTTTTGTAAAGTTGCAACTATTTTGTCTTTTAGGGTAAAAAAAAAAAAGAAATACTATAGTGATATTTATGAACAAACGTGACTGATTCTTCAAGATAGAGACTGTTGAGAACGAGACCCTAACATGGCACTTTGTATACAAACCACAGGAATCATGCCTTCTGCACTACGGTTCATCGATCCGCGTGAGATAACGAAACTGGATATAGTTATAGGAATGAATGATCATGTTCTTCAAATTGACTGCTGTTGAACAAGAAATCTTTAGATTCTTGCAGTAACAAAATGAGAAAGGTGTGAGTTGCGTCGTTTGAAATAATTAGCAGCTAAAATATCTGATGACATAGGACGCATCTCAAACTGAATCCTCAGATCAAGTCGCAGCAATCAATTAAGAGACATGGGTTGGCACTAGCAGGTAAACAAAAGTAGAAATATTGTTTATTAGAGGGAGAGAGAAAAGGAAAGCATAGATATTATATTAGATACAAGGTCGATAGCCAATAGTTGAAATGGATTGCGTGAGAGTTTAGGTGAGGAATTAAGGGAGGATCACAACTCACATGTTGGAAGCAGTGTATGATTTGTGGGAAGGGGTGAAGAGGACCTTTATGGTGGTTTTTTGGCAATATGCAAAGACCACTAGAGCAGAGAAAAGGCATATTGAGGACTGCCCGAGGGGCCCAAACAGTATGATTCAATGGCATGTGGCCGGACGCCCCACCAATCAACCCACAAAACCCATAAATTACTTCCTAACCATCCTTCCTATCCATGACTTCTTTTTAACCAAAACATCGTCGCAAAGCCCTCCCTATTCGTTTCTTTTTGAGCATAAGAACCTCCAGAATCTGTCTTATTCCATTGAGGCGAAAAGCAACCGGCCACCTTCACAGGTTGTAAAGGAACTAACGAATGATAAAATAAGGGTGTGGAGGTGGTGATGGCCAGGTTGGTAGCGGAGAGCCACAAGGGATTGAATTGTGGCTCTTTCATGATAGAATTCACAATCATTTGATAATTGATTTCATCTTCGGCCTCTATTGGACCCCCACCTGCAAGCTGTACCATGTTTACATACATTACGTTATCTATAATTTGATGGATCCCCATTCGATCTGGCTGTACAAATACCACTGCTTCAAGGTAGGATTTAGAAGCTGCCGGTCTCGCTCGCTCCTTCCTCGTTAGGTCCGCTGCGGCCATTTGATTCCATAGAATGACGAGGATATACACATATATCGAGGCGAAAAGTAGGTTATAATTATTGATCCTGGGTTGTTTCTCGTGAGGAACCGAGAAACCTGTGATGAAGAAGAAAAAGGTTTGAAGACGATGATGGCTTCCAGATGATAAAGGGTGATTTATGGCGATAATAATAGGAAGATAAGAAGCAGAAGCGCGTGATGGCTCGCGTATCATTGCCCGTTAAGATCTCAGCATGATTGGCTGCAGACATACAAGTTGGGGTCTTGGATGAAGGAGTGAGGGGAAACAAGCATGTAGGAGAAAGAGATGGGGATGGGACCTGATCGTTAGGTGGGGTTGATGGGAAATTCTGAAGCATATTAATTTCTACGTTTGGATTGTAGTCTAGGCCTTATTAATTTCGCGGCTGTCTTTGTCCTCCTTGTTACCTGGGTTAAACTTCTCCGTATACTCTGCTACACATATTACTCCTTACTCTTTAGGCTTCAGAATATTACTATGTACGCCTCAAATCCTGTACTGCTTTGGTTGGTGGCAGCGATTCAGATCAGGTGCATCCAATCCCATCAAGTTTTGGACAGGCATGGTCCGGCGCAGCAATGGATCCGGCCTTATGTGCCTGCGCGTGGTAAAAGCCAAGCGCAATGGAACTTGTCGTTTTGATGATTTCGGAGTTTGTGCTTGTGGTGGCCAGTCTTTACTTTTTGACTGTAGTTTTCGCCTTCGGATGTAAAATTTTATTTTGACAATGGAATGAGATGCCTGTGAATGAATTTTTTTTAATGATATAATAAATGCCTCAAGTGCGAGGCAGCAGAAGCCTCTTCAAACCGAACAATGCAAACATCAATACACGCGCCGATGCTCCTCATGTTCTCGTCATCTAGCAATTTGCGGTTATCCCATTAAACGCCAAAAAGATTGCGTTAAATTTGGTTGTGGTTATGGTATTGCAGAAAGTTAATGATTCTGTAATATATATATATATATATATATAATCACCCGCTCAAAATTTTGAAGCTCGACCGGCTTCCAAATACAAACAAAAGAAAACATGACTTTTTTCCTCGTCATGCACAGTATGCCATAGCTGTCAAAGGAAAGGGGAAAAAAAAACTTTAAACGCATTTGTAGCTGTTGAGACCAAATGAATAAAAGCCACTAGGTTTCTTCCTTGGACGCTGTGTATACATATATTTCTTCCCACACAAGACACAAGGTATAGCAGTGTTTCATTTCAATCTTCGGAGTTCTCATCACGAGCTACTCTCATTATAATTAAGTTGTACCTTTACAATTAGCAAGATAGCAAATGCGAAAAAGTATTCACAAAAGCCAAGTCAAAATTTGCATACCGGACTGCTGCTAGAACGATGAGCATATCAACGAGGGTCAGCAACAACTTTAAAACCGTTCAGCTACTGTTAAAAAAAAAAAAAAAAAAGAGGGAGTGGAGAATGTTCCGCGGTTTAATGCACACTAGTTTCCAGCCTCGATATAATCGTTTTGCTAAATTAGTAACACATCACGTGAAGGTGCGAATTTTTTCGCTTCAAGGAAGTAGCTATCTGTTCCTTCGAAACTCGATCGTCACCACATTTTCCCCGTATGCACACAATGTTCATGCACGATACATATTCTTGAAAAATTCTGCATTATATTAGAGGCAGCAGGATACCAACTTCTTCCAGCATGAACGATCTTTGACGAATCTTTCCTGCAAGATTTGCAAATAAAGGCAACGTAACATGCATGACACGAATTCCAAGTCATTAGTCTCACTGATCACTTCATTTTCCTTAACTTTTGATCAATGTTTTCCCCTGTTGAATTTTCTTATGGATGAAAAGATATAGCTGCATGCGGTCGTTGCAGTAAAAACTACAGAGCTAAGAATTATTTGAGTTATGTTTTTGTCTGGGGAAACAGAGCAGAACGAAAAGATTAAATGGAAATTCATAAAGAAATATGCGCCTGGACTTACCGAGCCTAGCTGGGAGAGCTTGTGCTTGTGCGTTGCGGCTTTCTGACTCGGTTCCGCAAAAGAACTAGTCCGCCCTGAATTTAAGAATGACGCGTTCATTCTACTTTGTTGCGCCGCATTGTATGAATTAAAGCTTGGCCAATTAACAAAAGCGAGCGGTTCTTTGGCTTCTCCAGAATTGCTTGTCGTTCTACTAGTTCCTTTAGCTTCAGCTAGACTTCTGCTTTCCGCATACGACTTTGCCAAGTCTATTGAGAAACAAGCATCGCTAAATTGATAACTTGGAGGTGTGCTTACATCAGAACGTGGGGTCAATTTATCTTGAAGCGGTGTTCTTCCCTCTAAATTTCCAGACTCTCTAGAAGGGCTCGGTTCTGTTAGCTGCAACTCAACACTTGCCGTCCTACTTTGTCTTGGACTGTATATCCTCTTATCCCATCCAATAACCTTAGCCCGGCCGCTGTTCCCCCTAATGTCCCCTCCAATTTGCTGTGCCATCAAATGCAAGATCTCCGAACCTATGCTATTATCACCCGTACCTCCATTGATACGGGTCACTTGAGGACTCCCAATTTTTCTCAACAGAGTGTTGGACTGGGAGAAAGACGGGTGGCGAAGAGAGGGGGGATCTAAGTTCTGAACAGCACAAGCTAGATGCATGTCGAATTCACAGAAGTTGCACCGGTATAGCCACCCATTATAACTGGTCTTCTTGCACATATCACAGAAGAAGTCATAGGGAGGTGAAAATTCGAGCTTGAGTTTGTGAGGATGGTAGGTGATGGAAAGGGAAAGAGGGAGGGCTAGGCAGAAAGTGTGGAAGTAGATGGTGCATTCAGCACAGTGGTAGCAGAAGGCCGTGACATGGTAGCCACAGGCCTGGCACTTGATGGTGCCTTTGGTAGCAGCAGGGGATGATCGTATAACGAGGAGGACCAGATCGTGAGAAGAATGAGCAGGGTGCTGGGTTATTATGGGCAATTTGTAGCAGAAATAGTGGAGACAAAAGCCACAGGATTTACAGCCGTAATAGCTCTTACCAGACGTAATGTTGAGCTTGCACCCAGAGCAGGTAGATTTTGAGGTCGGAGGTGATGAAGTGGTTAATTCCAGTGGATGTGGATGGCTAAAGTGGAAGACGCTGAGGTCGTTCCCCGGCGATTCCATCTTCTCTATTTCGTGATAGTAATTTAACTTTGTATTTATATATGTGTATATATAGACAGCAGTGCAGGCTTGTCCTTTTCTGATTCGCCCTTTTGCTCTCTTCGGTGGAATGCTAATGGAAAGCCGTTGAGTGTTTCTCCATTTGTCTGTTAAAGCTATGAGGTGGCAGGCCAGTTCTTGGGATTCCCGGATGTTCGGTTCATTCGCCAAACCATCATATATATAATTTGGCAGTGAGGATTCGTGGACGGCAGGCAAAAGTAAGAGCTATCGTTTGGAAAGACTCCCATATTCGTTCTTAGCTCAGCCGGCCGATGTATATTCCAAATGATTTTATCAATGCCATTGTATTGTAGATGGTGGCTTGCAGGCAAATTTAAGATCATCTGCGATGTGAGTGTCCATAACATGCCTTGGTTTATTAGAGTACTCTTCGCTCTTTAGCCGTCTTGTCTGGTGATAGACTGAGAACGAATATTATGCCTCGTTTGACTACGAGGAAATGCCAGTGGAGAATACAGAGTTAATCAGTAAAATGTAGGTTTCCTTGGGTAACAAGGGGGTATGGGGACCATTAATCCATGGATTTTATTTCTCGTCCTTTTCGCTCGCATCAGCATCAGTTTGGCGACAACTAACAAAGTGATCTTGACTTCTCCGAACCCTTCAACTAATTATATATAGCTATCGCCTGAGGACTCCCAATTAGACAGTAAAACATTTAGATGATTTAATATTCGACACACTAAGTTTATAGCGATGTAACACTGATACTGCCTTAATCTATGTTTTTTTTTTTTTTTGAACGGAGAGAAATATTTTCACTTCAAATGTACTCCCTCCAATTATATTTATAAGTCATTTCTACCTATATCAATAATACCAATATAATAAAAGTATAAAGAATAAAAATAAATAAAATTTTAAATATAAACTTCAAGTAAAAAATAAACAAATAATATAATATAATTTTTTCTATCTTTCTCTCTCTTTTACTTTTTTAAAGATAGTCTGAAAATTTTAATTTAAAATAAAATAATTACATCAATTAATTACTTATAAAATAAATTAGATTATATTTTTAGAATATGACTAATATACAGGATCTAAGGAGTATTGCATTAACTAGAAAAATTATCATGACTGTTTGACTAAAAATATGATCATATAAAATTAAATTTTACTGTTGATATAAAATTTTTATTGATGAATAATTTATAAATATTTTTATAAATACTCGTTAAATAAAAAAGTATATTCTAATTGCGATGAGCTCGTCCGAACAGAAGTTCGACAATGCTTTGCAATGTCTGGCTGCTTGGGTAACAGCCGTTGATGTGCGAGCCGCCAAATGAAATGACTGAACGCCCCAGTCCATCCCCTTGATAATTTGTATACCTCTGTGACCCACGTACTCGGGTGGTGGCCCCTTCTTTTGACTTTCCCATGGCATTTTCCCAAGAACTGGAAAGACTTAGCTATTTATAGTGTTTCATGTGAAATTATTTAATTAAGATAATAAGATCTTAACCTACAATCAATTTTGTTCACTACATGGGGAGGGCGGCTAAGTAAAGGAAGGGGGTGCCAATCTTCTAAAACTTTATTCCTAGCGTTAACCGATAAGTCGACAATCGAACTTGACACAAAATTAAAAAAAAAAAAAGATAAAAATGTAGGAGATGGTACGTCCCAAATGGAGCAGAATGATTTTTTTTTTTTTTTTTACCAAATTTTGAGTTCAAATTGGCCCTTCTATTCCTCACTCGTGGGGATCACATGGGTTTACCTGATTTCCTGCCCCACGCGGGGGTGCTTCGAAGTTCAAACAGCGTCCCTTGCGCTAACTTTCTAGATAAGCTCACCATTTTGGATCAGCTCCTCATTGTTATTTCTTTAAATCAATAGAAAGGGTAAAAAATAGGCGGCTATGTCTATGTTTTCCAAATCCAACCAGCTCCTTCCCTGAACTTCCCTTTTCTGTTTATTATATTTTAACCCCATGGGTTCATCACCTCTTCCTCATTCTTTCCTTCAATAGGTTCTTCCACGGGACCAGACATTCATAAAATATTGACGCTGAACACTCATTGCTTATCCCTTTGTTGTTTTACTCGTTACATTTTGTATTTTGACGCTGAGCAATGAGGATTCAGTTTCAGTGCTCATCATCTAAAAAATCTGAGCCATTTAAATTTTAATTTAAATGATTTAAATTTTTTCAATTTCAATTTCAATTTCAATTTTATATTTTATAAAAATAAAATTTATAATTTTTTTGATAAATATATTCATCATCAATTTAGACAGTACTAATTAAATATGAGACTCTGAGTAGTTCAATTTAATATTATAATCTTCATAAACTGACTATTTAAATGTACTCTCGACAAGACAAATTCAATATTAATTTTTTAATAATTTTTTGTTTTAATAAAAATAAAATAAAAAATAAAAACTTTAAATTTAGACCTTGCAGATAAAAATTTAATATTAAATTTGAACTGTTTAAAGTACATTTAGATAATTAATTTATAAAAATTATATCATTAAATTGAACCATCTAAATTAAATTAGTATTATCTAGATTGATGATGAATATATTTATCAAAAAAATTTATAAATTTTATTCTTATAAAATATAAAATTAAAATTAAAAATGAAAAAATCTGGACCATCCAAATTAAAGTATGGCTGGCCCAGATTTTCCTGAAAGATAAGCACCACTGCTAAGCACCGAAACCGGATCTGGGCAGTAACCATTGCAAGCAGGTACACTGTCAGGTAGGGGTGGAGACCAAGGACGAATCTCAAAACTAACGTATGGAGGGGGAGGCAAAAAGAAAAGCTACTTAAAAATATGGGGAAGTTAATAACATATGGAGATGGACGGCACGACCCTCTAATTTTTTAATTTTTTTAATAAAATATAAGAGTTATATATTTTTAGCTTTTTTAAATCAGCAAGTTATAAAATACTATATAAAATTTTCATTTCAATTTTATATGTAGTATTTTATAGATGTGTAAAGCAACTATTTTAGCAGTCTAAATATATGATTGTTATATGATCTATTTATTTTCAATAAGATAATACTATACATGCTTTTAAAAATATTGATGTCATCTTATCTTGCTTTCATTTTATATTTAATAAAAGAAATCATATGAATTATTATTAACAAACTTTGTCAAATATTGGAACAAAAATTTTAATATACATTGAATGTTATGTGTTTGATATCTATAATAAAACCACTTATTCAAAAAATATTGATGTGCTTGATATATTAAAAAAAATTTATGATATGAATAGTTTTTACTCTGATATAATTTGATCTTATTAACATAAAAATTTTAGGATTTTAAACATTATTATTATATTGATATATTTATTTATTATGATTATCAATTAAAATAATTAAATATTAAATTTAATAAATAAGTAATAAAGCTTATTACAATGAACAGAACTTTAAATTTCAATGATGCATTTAAATCATTTAATCTCATAAGTATGATAAAATTTCACTAATTTAATTCCAATTTACATCGAAAAAGAAATTGTTAATGAAGATATAATAACTAATAATTTTTATGTTATGATAAATTAATGAGCAAAACTTAATAATATATATATATATATATATATATATAAATATATATATATATATATCAAAATATTTATATTATATTAGTGAGATATGTATGTATAAATTTTTTTTAATTATTATCTATATTTTGTTATTTCGACCTCCTTAATAAAAAAGATTTATTCTGCCCCTATTGCCAGCGATTTACATTTCTATATTATTGCAAACCCTTTCTGCAAATGTTTATCATCCAATCCCCTTCTGGCACGCCCGACAATGATTCACGATTAATATACTCAATTTAGCAAATTGACTACACCACGACAATGGAACCTTCAACATTGTCGCGTATGTGATCCCAAACCCAAATAAACGCCATGACTGTAGCACAAGTTCCGTGAAAGAGTTCATATATACTTCAGATTTTCCAACGCGGTTTTTGGGAGACCAGAGACCTCGATAATTATTAATTAATTATTTTAAGTAATTGTCGTAAAGATTAACGAATCATTATACCGAGTCTGAGAATACTAAATTTGGTTGCCCTTGTCATACATAAGAGCTGAAGATTTTATAACTCAATACTTCCAATGGTCCCCACACAGGTTCTCGTAGAAATTGCGTCGAAAATCACATTGCGATTCCACCGTTGAATGAACGACACGAAAATCAAAAGGATGGCACAACGAGGAAACCTCCCGTATGACAAGACTAGTCAATTCTGGTTACCTGTTCTAACCTGCCAGCACACGCGCGCGGGCGCACATATTTCATAGTTCACACAGACGAGGAGGATGAACAAACCGTTTGTTCTTGCCTTTCAATCTCTCGTGCAAGCTTTCGTTCTTCTGAGACGTTGCGCACCAACAACCTCTGTTTGAGGCAATTCTTGTCCGTTTCATGAGTAGAAAAAATGCTGCTTTCTGGGGCAGCGAAGTCTCAATTACTAGCAGTAATCTTCACTATCGTTTCCCTTAATCAAGTTAGCTGCTTTTCTTTCAATTTCTCCACCTTCCAACCATCGGATGAACCTGATTTAAATTTGATCAAAAACTCGAAAATATACCTGGATGCCATCCAAGTGACCCCTGATATTCGTGGCAAGATAGCCGATTATTCTGGTCGAGCTTTCTACAAAAGGCCATACAGACTCTGGAGCAAGAGCAAGAACCAAACTGCTGAGTTTAATACCACCTTCGTGCTCAACATCAACAATCAAACTTCACCAGGGGGTGAAGGCTTGGCCTTTATATTAACCGGAGATATCGATCTTCCAGAAAACAGTGCCGGAAAATGGCTTGGAATAGTGAATGCCACAACCAATGGCACTTCTCAACCGGGGATTTTGGCAGTAGAGTTTGACACGAGACAAAACTCCGAGGAAGATGGCCCCGACAACCATCTCGGTGTCAACATCAATAGTATCAACTCCATGAGGCACGTTTCATTACCAGACTTTGGGATTACTATTGCATCGGGCATAAATGTAACAATCAGGGTAATGTATGCTGAAGATGTAATATCTGTTTTTGGTTCCATGAACGGAACTGCTGACATGAAGACTCTGCTAACTTCTCCGCCTCTGAATCTATCTTCATATCTACCGGAAGAGATCTTTTTGGGTTTCTCAGCTTCAACAAGTAACTATACGGAGCTGAACTGTGTAAGAGCTTGGGAATTCCACGGCACCCAAATTGCGGATGATGATCACCAGCTGTTGTGGGTTTGGATCGCAATTCCTGCAGTAGTACTGGTCATCCTGGGTGGGGTGATCTTTTTCTTGCTTTGGCAAAGGAATCGCCGCATGAAGATGTCAGATGAAGCAGACCCGAGAATAGAGGATCAGATTCAGTACAGCTCTATGGCCCCAAAGAAGTTCCGACTACGAGAAATCAGTAAAGCAACTGGCAGATTCAGTCCTCAAAACAAGCTTGGGGAAGGTGGCTTTGGAACTGTCTACAAGGGGTTCTTGGGAGGCAACGAGGTAGCTGTGAAAAGAGTCTCCAAGGATTCACGTCAGGGCAAGCAAGAGTTCGTAGCAGAAGTGACAATAATAGGAAGCCTTCGTCACAGAAATCTGGTGAAATTGATCGGGTGGTGTTATGAGAGCCGAGAGCTCCTCCTTGTCTATGAGTTCATGCCTAGCGGGAGCCTGGACAAGTACTTATATGATGACAAGAAGCTTGGTTGCAAAGATGGGACAATACTGAGCTGGAAAACAAGACGTAACACAATTTATGGGGTGGCACAGGCGCTAGACTATCTTCATAACGGATGCGAGAACAAGGTGCTTCACAGAGACATAAAAGCCAGCAACATACTGTTGGACTCAGACTTCACTGCCAAGTTGGGAGACTTCGGGCTAGCTCGTACCATTCAGAAGAGAGACGAAACTCACCACTCCACAAAAGCAATTGCAGGCACACCAGGCTACATGGCACCAGAAACATTCCTGACGGGGAGGGCAACAGTGGAGACGGACGTGTATGCATTTGGCGTTGTTGCATTAGAAGTCGTGTGTGGAATAAGACGAGGGAATCTGTATTCCCAGGTGGACGAGTATAAGAATAACATTGCGCATTGGGTGTGGGAGCTTTACGGGAAGGGAAAATTACTAGATGCAGTGGATAGTAGGATAAGAAAGGAAATAGCAGAGGAAAAGGTGGCAGATGTGCTTCTTCTGGGTTTGGCGTGTTGTCATCCAAACCCACACCACAGGCCATCCATGAGGACTGTAATGCAGGTTCTTACAGGGGAAGCAGCTCCACCAGCTGTACCCAAGGAAAGACCTGCTTTTGTGTGGCCTGCCTTACCTCCTTCCTTCAGCCATGACGTCGATAGCTCCATCACAGGAAGCCAATTCACTCCCTTCTTGCCAGACTTGGAGTTCACCGGCAGATGATTTGATTTTAAATTTGCCTTGTAGAGCTGATGATTAAAATTTTAATGATTCTAGAGACCACTGCTTTTTCTTCTTGTGCGTGACTGGGTTTAGCTAGTTTTGAATCATAACTTGGAAATTTGGATTCATATTATCTCATGAAAACGCTCGCTTGACATTCACTTGATTCTCATGATTTGGTATCCCCTGTACAGTTCCCTGCTTCTTCGAGATATATTCTTCACGTTGGGATAGTTGTTCAATATCAATTTCTTTTGTCTTGGTGGATGTTTACGTTCACAATTCTGATAAATATTTCCACAGTAACAGGTCTCAACCTTTGGTCAATGAAAGCAACCCCTTCCCCACCTCCCCGCAATCATCAATCAAATGCGGTACCCCGCAAAAATTTGTGGGTGACCTTGAATCACAGTGAGCTCCGCCGAACTGACGATGCTTCGAAAGGAGGTAACTGCCCATCACTCTTGGGACAACAGAGAAATTTCAGCCATGAATTTTACTACTTTTCATGTGACGGCCGGCTGATTTTAAAAATAATGGGTTGAATGTCGATGTCGTAAGATACTGCTCAACACAGACAGGCAGACTGCATCCTCGCGAAAGGTTGTTCTGGCTACAATTTCCGTACACAAATCTTCATATTTTCACAGCACTGCAACCAACAAGGTTTTTCATCACAACGGAGGATCTTATATCTGCATTATGAAGGACAAGTAATAGTAATTATAATTTAATTCTCAGGATAATTTGCCTGGTCTTCAGGTGGGACTGAACATCTGATAGATACAATAATTGTGGTACTAAACCGTTGAAACCTCAAAAGCAAAATGTTAAACATGCTACTCAAAAATGTTCTTCCGGTTCATGATAAGCAATAAGTGACTCACCAACTTGTCATGACTGCATGTGATTATCCAGCGTATAGGCATGAATATCAGAGGGACTTGTGCCCGGCCTAACAAACATCATGAGCAAGAGAATTCAATGAGAAGGGATAAAATAAAATAAAAGTAAGATCAGGAGTGACATGATCATGTTCATGATGAGAAAAATCATATCAAAGCTTTCATGTGTGGACTGTGGAGGCAAGTGAAGGCGGCCATTGTAGTTCATCCAAGGATTATAAATACTTTCCAATCCTAATTGATGCATATGCATTTAAATAATAACAAAAATTACAGAGTGCACAGAATGGCTTGCTTAGCTTTAGACAGCACAACCAGCGGTGCTGCATAGCTGGATACCGTCTCCTTTCCTCACCCAAATCTCAATAGTTTTTGAAGAACTCGATAATTTTCTTCCTTGAAATGAGACAACGCAACAGATGAAAATTTCGTGAAGAAATTTGAGACATGATGTGAAAATACCTTTTGTTAATGATGCCATAATGGAATTTGAGCTTTCCAGCCTTAATATCCTCAACATACTGCATCCATGAGTTAAAACCATAAGATAAATTGAGCAGTAAAATGCTCAACTAGCCCAATAACAACCAGAAAAAGTAATCATACCATACTTAAGGTAACCACCATTGATGAAAAAGACAAAGAATCAAAAGGTATATCATCAAGTGAGAAAAGCTGGCATTCTGATGATTCTGGACCAGGGGAAAAGTGTGGCTTCTTTAGCTTTGCTAAGAAGATTATATAAGTCTGCCTCAAACATGCATTAATCATGTCCAAAGTTCTTTAGCTAGTTAAGAGAATGGTGAATAAAGAATTTATTAACCATAAAGAATAAAAAAAAAAAAAAACTATTTCTTTCTCACTTGACCAATTAGAGGAATGTCCAATTGAGCAAAAGGAGATAGCACTTCCACTTCTGCATTTGCTTCCTCCCTTGTTTCCCTGATAGCACCTTCCATAGCTGACTCACCAATTTCCAGATACCCAGCAGGGAGCGTCCTTTTCAACACCAAGAAGATACCGCTCAATATAAACTCATAAGAGAATCTATCTTCATCTTAACAGAAAATTACCATCTCAATTTATAATCAGATGCCCTAGTCTTACAAGAAAATGAATAAATAAACAAATAAAATAAAATAATCAGATGTCCTAAGGGAAGATTGCAAGATATAAAGTGATGAAGATATGCTACTCAGTATTAATTACACTCCTACCAAAGGCCATAAGATGGTTGAATCTTCCGCTTGCAAAGCAGGACCTTGTTATCATGTTGTATGAGGCAGCCAACAACCTACTTTGCCAGCCAAACAATGACATATTCACAAGTGTAAGTTTAATGCGCACAACATGAAGTGAAATAAAAGCTCTGACAAACAATACACTCATTACAGCAAATTTTGCTAACAACTCAAAATACATCAAAGAAGCTGTTTTTCCTTATCTGTCAGTTCTGGATTCACATTTCCTGTTCAATGATAAACAGAATTACTTCAGAGTTTAGAGATCGGAGTGTAGGCATGCAGTATCAAGAATGTTAAATGTGAATGCCTTTGACATCCATTTCAAGTCTATCATCAAAAAACAGGCATCATTTTTGCAAAAAATAACAGTAGATAAATAAATAGAGCTAATCCAACTTGTATGTTTCAGCTGGTCGAGGAATGCTTGGAAGATGCCAGAGTGAATTACATTTTTCCCTATGTCTGCCAGTATTAACCATTAAGTTTTAGAAATTTCAGCCAAAGCCTTAGTATATAGACAAAGCAAACTGTGCAAAAATTTCAGTCTATAAGGTCATCCTAAATCAACTTGGGTGTAAGTTTAGGCAATCCTCCTTCTCCAGTGTCAACTTGAACCTTTGACATGTTGGAGAAATCAGTTTTGCTCAAACCAACATGGCACTTGAATGATGACGAAGTTTAGGCAATACTGATCCATAGTCATGCATATCGTTCTTTATTTGCATACAACTAGAAGAGCCTCTAGTAAACCTTATTTTTAAAGGTTAAAGTTTAACTTCTAAATTCAACCGCAAATAATATGCTAACAACTAAAGAGTACAAATCATCCATCGAGAAATTGAGCAAAAGAGATAAAGAAGACTCAGACAAGAAAGTTGGGGGAACAGCCTATCACGCAGCTTTGATGATACACCTCACACAGTCCTGATCTTCCACTTTGATAGTGATAGTCTTGCACACACCATGCACATACAAGCAAATGACCTTTAATTTTTGGCAGTTATACAAGCTAATGTCCAAATAGCACCATTCTACAGTAAAAGTACTACCATTCTCCTATTTTTGCATGGGACTGAATCACTTAAGTAAATCAAACGGAAGCACCAATGATTTTACAGACTTACCATTTTTGGATTCTGATAGATAATTTTCCCACAAATTGTACATATTGCTCTCAACCTCTCTTCTCCTTCAGGTATATCGTGCTTTGTTGGACCACCACACCACTGACAGAACTTGATCTTACGAACTCCCTAAATTGTAATGAAACCCAACAATATGACCAGTTGTTTGAAGAAATACGAGCAAGAAAATACATAATAGCATGCATTTGAGTGAAGTAATTTGATTTAAAATATAAAATGTACTATGAACTCCCTAAATTCTTCTTGCGACTTTGTGATTCAAGGGGTTTATAGATAATGTCATTATTCAAGATTCAAAGGTCAAACCACTTTGCAACGACTTTCTCTGAGAGACTATATATAGCGACCAAAACTTGCTATAACCTAGGAACCAACTTTCTTCGAGAAACCTATTGCATTCGCCTCAACAAAATATAACAGAAACTAGGAATGAAAAGATGATAAGCGAGTGGACCAAAGAAATCCGTATCAATAATTGATTATAACCGAACATATCTGTCGACTTATGAATAAGCTGTAGAGGAAACTCACGGATGACTGGGCCGCAAGGGATGATGATGGCGGAGACGACGAGGTGCCATCTGGATTCGAGTCAGAATGAGCTGACGAAGCATGGATTGATCTTGATTGAGTCCTAGGAGTCGAATCTTTGGGTAGGAGCCAAGAATCCATCGTGGGAAGTAATTTCAAGAAAGATACTGGGTAGAAAGAGGAGAAGGGTTTGAAAGAGATTGCAATGGAAGGGAGCCCTTGAGTGCTAAGGGGTTTCCAACGTTGAGTAACTAAGCTAGATGAACATCCCAGGATCTGAATAGCTTTCAGCATTGCTTTTCTATACCTTTGAAGATTTAAATAGAGGACTTGCAGCGAAAGAGATAAGATGAGCTTTTTTCAGTTCAGACATGGACTTGTTCTCCAAGCAAGTGCCTCCAAATCCTGATAGGTCGCGGTTATCGTCGATTTTTGAAGAAAATGCACAAATGCAGTGGCTCCCCCCCCCCCCCCCCCCCCTCTCCTTTTGTTTTTTTTTTTTTTTGTTTTGTATGCCGAAAAAGCCAAATCGTGTTCACACAAAATATATTATGAAATTATGAAATAAATAAATTACTATTTATATATTCATAAATTTACACTGCTCCTGTGCAAAAGTCTATGTCGCTAATGTAAATTTAATTAGTTTTTTATCAAAAAAAGAAAATTTTATTAATCATTAAAAGAAAGTAATACAAACACTAATAATCAAAGCCATTTTAAACACTCCAAAAAAAAATACAATACAAATTCACACACAAAAACTCACTAAGCTAAGCAAAAACAAAAAGCAACATTAGCAAAATTCAAACAATTTCTTCTTTATTGAAATTGCCCACAACACAATTGAACAAATCACTGCACAAAATCTCAATAAAAGAAGATGGGTTTATATTAGTCAACCAAGCAGGTTGCATCATCTTCTTTGCACCAAGGGTTGCTTGCATATTAGCAACTCTTTTCCCTTGTCTAGAAACAAGAGAAAATGACACATTCAGCAACGACTTTGATAGCACAAAAACTTCTTCCAGCACATCCACACTCTGCCATTCACATCCAATACAAGAGCATTACATCAAAAGCTTAAATAGCACCTCACAATCCATTTCAATACAAGCTTGAGGGAATACTCGAGCTTTGCAAAACATCAATATTTTTTTCAAAGCCAAAATTTTAGCCGTAATAGGAGTAACTGTTACCACAGGCTTCCTTAAGCATCTAAGAGATTGACCATCACTAGACCTACAAACCAAACCAACACCAGCAACATTACCTTTCAACCTAACAGCACCATCAATATTCACTTTGACATAGCCTTTATTTGGTTTGATCCACCTATTAGCATGTTTAACAACTGAAGCATACACCTTATCTGCCTTTTTATTTATCTTTTATTTCTTGCACCAAAACTCCTTCACCTAAGCCTGCACTGGCTGTATCACCTTATTAGCATTCACCTATTCCTTCCTAAACACAAAATTACAATGAATCTTCCAAATTCACCAACACATCATTACCGAAATAGATTTTACATACTCACTTAGCCTACCATTATCAAATAACATATTATTTAGGTACTGCTCAATTTAACCATACTTCCTCTAAAAATCTAAAAACCAACATATAACCAAACCAACATCTACTAGTCCAGGGACACAAGAAAAATAGATGCTTAATTATTTTAGCATCATTACCACAAAATAGGACAAGTTGGGTCCCTAGCACACTTCCTCTTAAACAAAACTTCCTTCGCGGCAATAGCCCCATTGGAAATTCTCCAAATAAAGTGCTGCACCTTTGGAATAACAACAAACTTTTGAATTGACTTCTAGATAGAAGTTGTTTAATTAGTTCATATCTTGTTATTAACTATATTTATAAATTTGCACTACTTCCATTTATGTCAATCTTAATTAGTTCATATCTTATTATTAAGTAGTAATTCCGTTCACAAATAAAGTGTTTCGAAAATTAGATTAGACCAGATGGTTCGATTGCCACCTGCTAATCAAAATGGCTTGGTTGAACTAGTTGGACCAAATTGGCTTTGAACTGGATTGTCTCTAGTTGACTTGGTCGATTTTAAGAGAACAAGATTTAGCCCAAATTCAAAGCAAAAAAAAAAGAAATTTAGGTCAAATCATTCAGATTCGTGATTTATCTTTTCTAATCTTTAGTTCTCTTTTGTCTCCTCCTTTCTAATTTCTAATCTCTTCTCTACAACCTAAGTTCAATCTCTAACCTCTCTTCCAGCCTCTACCTCCAGATCTAGCAATCTAGCTTTTGACATCAAGATCAAGAGCTCGTGAGTTGTGATATAACAACATGCCTCTAGCTCCAATATTTTGCTTTGAGATCGCTAGTGTATGCTGACATACTTTTGCCTTCAGCTCTAGCGATCTAGATGTCCAGCCTTTGGCATCATATCCTAAGCACCATTGACAAATTAAAGTTTTATTTATATATTTGTGTATATAAGTATTGTTTTTATTTAATTTTTATATCATCAGTTCAACTGCCAATCTAAATAATTAAATCATAAAAGCTCCGACTCGTTGCTCTTTCTGGTTCGACGTTCGGTCTGGGTTTCAAAATGTTGCACAAATGTGCATTGCTCCTTGTAAAAGTCATTGCCATTTATGTTAATTTTAATTGGTTCATATTTCATTATTAATCATTCTTTCTCAATTGCAATATAAATCATTGTTACTAAATTTGTGTTTTAAAAAATAGTTAAAATTTCAATTTAAAAAAATCATCTTTTTAATCATATATTTGAATGGAATCATATAATATTTGATTTATTCAAAATATCTTTATTAATTGCCTGAGTGAAATAAAATAAAATAACGGCATGATCCAAAAAAATATATAAAACTTACTTAATATCCTGTATATTAAACCAAATGAATCTCATATAAAATATTCAATATTATAGTCCGGATGAAGTGCATTCAATAATATAGTTAAAAAGGTTTAAAGAAATGAGCTAATCCCTCATAATATAATAAATTAGGATTTAAATTCCTATTAAGAGGAGTGTTTGTATAACACCCAAATATATCTTGAATAAAATTGGCTTCAATAAAAAGACAACAAAGTAATAAAAAATATAATTGAATTAATTTAATATAGATGTGAGAGTAATTGAAAATCCACAAAAAATGAATCAATATTTAATTTCAAATCAATAAAAAAAATTGACATTGCATACCCACAAGTTGTGATTGCATGAAATAATTTTCCTTGTCCTTATCTTGGAGGATAGCATCTAAACAAAAAACATACAAGTTCAATCGCTTAAATTTTATAAACATAAAAAGAATTTGATATTAACTCAATAAGCATTACAAGAATGCATAGCATCATCCCTGGGCGTGGGCGGTCTGAATCCTCTTCTAGTATTTGTTTTATCACAAGAGGTCGTTATCCATGGACTCATGTCCACATTCTCAATCCAGTTGCCACTTGCAACACGTGACCCGTTTCCGCATCCTTAGCCAGAAAGACAAGTTGCTTAGTCCCGTCTCACTCTGGACACTGCAATTACATTTTGCTTTTAAACAAAGGAAATGATACTTTGCAAAGTTGTGTAAAGTCATAATATTCAATGAAGGGTGGAATTAAAACCTTGTAAATTAATCCGATGTTTTTCAAAAATTTTATTAATTACAATCTACAATATTTTATATTTTTAAGATAATATTTTTTTAAAAATGCCTTATAATATTAATGGAGGGAGTATTGATTGTTAATTTGTCTACCTAAAATTGTATGAGATGTATTTTAAAAGTTAAAGGTAGTTTTTCTAAAACATCCCGTTGGAAGAAGGCAAGCGAGGAAAAGTTGGACGTTGGAGCACTTTGTAGGGGTCAACCAAGGATCCGATTATGATTGTGCTTTTTTTTTTTTTGGATAACATCAACAAGGTATCACGAATAAACGGTGCCGTCCGTCAACATGCATAATGTCCAACGTGGTTGAGATGATAAGGCTGGACTAGGTAATAACAACAAATGGGAGGGAGAAATCAGTCACAAGGAAGAAAAAGAGCGAAGTGTGTTAGCCGATGTTTTTAAAATTGAATTAAATATTAAATTAAAAAAATTAACAGCTCACAATTTATATAGTTTAATTGAATTGAATCAATAGTCAAATTGGTAACAAAATAATTAAATTAAAAAAATTATATATATATAATAATTTAAATATAAAAAATATATATAAAATTGCTACTTGCTTTTAAAAACTAAATATTTTAAGTTTATCATGATTTAACAAATTACATGATACAATATAATATTAAATGATTAAAAAATTAGTTATTTTTTTAAAAAATTTGATAAAAATAAAAAGAAGTTTTTTTAACAGTCTGATTTTTAAAAATTAAATTTATTTTTCAAATTGATTCAGGTTTGAAAATTCAATACAACTCAACTCCTAAAACGATTTTTTCACATGAATCAAAGCAAAATTCAAATGTCGGATCGGTTTTAAAAATACTGTGCAGCTGAATGAAATTTGGCCTTGTGGGTCCGTGAACGAGATATTCGAGACAGACGGCGAGGATTTGAGGACGCGAATTTGCGGTTCACTGGAGTTGAATTTCATTTCGGGAACTGGGACTTCCTTTTTTAAACCAGGCGCGGGTACTTCGGCCACAGTCGCAGAGTCCGTTAAAACAGAAGAACAAGAAATAAGACACTCCCAATTCCCTATCTCATTTTATCTCACAGGTACGCATTATTCTCTTTCTTTCAATTCTCCTCTTCCTCCGATTTTCGTCCTCTTCACTGGCATGGATTCATAATATTAAGAACCCCGATTTCTCTGTCCTCCGTTTCTTGTCCGTGATTTTTAAGTAGCTTAATCTTTTTGGTATGATCGAATTCCAGATGTCTGAATCTTGTTATCGATTTCTTTCTGTAACAATGCAATGTTTTTCCATTCTGATCCAATAGCGGGAGATATTCTGAGCATCATTTGATCCAATTGATCCTCAATTTCTCTTTGATCGCAAGATATTAAGATGCACTAGGCAAGTTATGTAAAATAAGAAATCCGGGGAAGTCTCAAAACAGTGAGTAATTTCAAGGTATCCTGATCATAATGGGATGTGTATCGGCTATTTTGGAGATCGGACATGTGGCATATCAGCTGCTTAGAATCGTGAATGAATTTGTTGCTATCTTTCAATGTCTTTTGCGAACTCATAGCGGTAAAGGCTACAAATGACGATCGTTTCCATGATTGCATCTGCATTTCGTTATATCCATGGATTTGAGCGTCTACCTGATAGAATTCACGATTAGCCTTTACCACTTTATCTAATGAAATGGGCTTTTCTTCGTTTCCCTTTTATTTCTGTTTTTTTTTTTGGTCGTTCCCACATAAATGCTATTTATATTTTGGTTTAAGGTCGGTGCTTGTCTTCAACCATCGATAAAAAATGGCAGACGCCGAGGATATTCAGCCTCTTGTATGTGACAATGGAACGGGAATGGTCAAGGCAAGGATCCGAGCTTGTGATGACAAATTTTGTTGGTTTGGTTTTAGGATCTCATGAAGATATCTTTTGCATAAATATGCATAATTTGATATATCTCAAATTTGTAGGCCGGGTTTGCTGGAGATGATGCTCCAAGGGCTGTATTCCCTAGCATTGTGGGTCGCCCTCGTCACACAGGTGTGATGGTTGGTATGGGACAGAAGGATGCGTATGTCGGGGATGAAGCTCAGTCAAAGAGAGGTATTCTGACTCTGAAATACCCTATCGAGCATGGCATTGTTAGCAACTGGGACGATATGGAAAAGATCTGGCACCACACTTTCTATAATGAGCTCCGTGTGGCTCCCGAAGAACATCCTGTTCTCCTGACAGAAGCACCTCTCAACCCCAAGGCTAATCGTGAGAAAATGACTCAGATTATGTTCGAGACATTTAACACTCCAGCCATGTACGTCGCTATCCAGGCCGTCCTTTCCCTTTACGCTAGTGGCCGCACAACCGGTAACAAATCATCAGCATCTATTTTCTGTTTTCTAGTTTATAACATTGTGATAATTTACCTATCTTAAAATTTAATACCTGCGGGTAATGGTAATGGTAATGGTTTTTGGTTTAGTACATTTGTTTGTTTGTGTATTTTTCTTGTTATTTTACTTTTCTTTAGGTAGTTCTAATTCCACTGATCAGGGAAACAAAGTTTTCTTTTAGGAGCGACTTATTTGGATAACGCATATCATTTTAGCATGTTGATTTTTGTAAGGAATTCAGTTGTTTTCTTGGTTTCATAAAAAATATGTACTCTCTGATATATGGAACGAGATGACAACGGGGTTTATATGCTTTCTCAGGTATTGTTCTGGACTCTGGAGATGGTGTAAGCCATACGGTTCCCATCTATGAAGGCTATGCCCTCCCACATGCAATCTTGCGCTTGGATCTTGCAGGGCGTGATCTCACTGATGCCTTGATGAAAATTTTGACTGAGCGTGGATACTCTTTCACCACTAGTGCTGAGCGTGAAATTGTGAGAGACGTAAAGGAAAAATTAGCCTATATTGCGCTTGATTATGAACAAGAGCTGGAAACTTCAAAGACCAGCTCGGCTGTTGAGAAGAGCTATGAACTCCCTGATGGGCAGGTGATCACAATAGGTGCTGAAAGATTTCGCTGCCCTGAAGTGCTCTTCCAACCATCCATGATTGGGATGGAAGCTGCTGGCATACACGAAACAACATATAACTCCATCATGAAGTGCGACGTTGACATTAGGAAGGATCTCTACGGTAACATTGTCTTGAGTGGTGGTTCCACAATGTTCCCAGGCATTGCTGATAGAATGAGCAAGGAGATCACGGCTTTGGCACCTAGTAGCATGAAAATCAAGGTGGTGGCACCACCAGAGAGGAAGTATAGCGTCTGGATTGGAGGCTCCATTTTGGCATCTCTCAGCACCTTCCAACAGGTAGAGTGCACAGATTTATATATATATATATATATGTATATACATATATAATACGCTAATTTAATTGGAAAATTTTATGACTAGAAGGAGTATTAATTAAATTTGATGAAATAAAGGGCAAAAATCAACTAGAAAAGGATATTCCAAACATCATAGTCGGATTATGGGAAGCAATCAAACAGTGTTAGTCTATAACAGGGGTTATTTTCTTCCATGGGGAACTGAGTGAAAGAACGTTGCGCTGTTTCTTTTTTGAGCCTAATTTGAGTGTGGCACTGTATTACTTCCTTTAAGTCAACTCAAACAATTTAAGGAGAGTTTTACAGAGGTCTAGCGTGAACTGTTAATTTGATCATTTCTCTAGTTAGTTTCGATTATTTCTGATATGCAATGATTCCTGAGTGCAGATGTGGATTGCAAAGGCTGAATACGATGAATCCGGGCCATCAATTGTTCACAGGAAATGCTTCTAATTATGGAAAGCAAGAACTGGACCAGAAATTTACAATATAGATTTTGTACGACAGAAGTAGCCTCCACTGGTTGCGGAACTTTCATTCCTATTCTTGAGCATTTTTTTTAATCATGTTTCTTTCTGTGCTCGCCCCCACCCCCCCTCGTATGATGGGATAAGAGCATGAAAATCAGGGGAGATATGTAAGATTTTGTTGTTTTGGTTTTCCTTGCATGAACACTTTTTTTGTAGAAGAGCCGTGCATATCAGCAATTCTTTTGATAAGCTATTTTCAGATAGTGATTATGTACTTGATTTTTGAATTACTGCAATAAAAAATCATTGATAATCAATGGCTTGTGTTAATATGAAAACTTGGTACTGGCTAGTGGCTAGTTTACGAGAATATCACGGATTTCGTCAACAAATTATGCAGGCGTGAATTGTCTCGACAGCGATTAAGCTTTGATAAGCAATCAACCAATCTTCTCCTGTACACGAGAATAACATATTTGACTCCTTGAGATATATAATTGATAATGATAATATCAATAATAATGATTATATGTATTAAACCAACAAAAAACTCGATAACATCAAAATAGGATTTAATCATGTTAACTTGTCAAAGATGTCACTTGTTAGAGCGTCCTCGTGCTTGCAACATATTATTCTGCACTCACTCCCACGGAAATAGAAAGAACCTTAGTGGCTGGAGGTCAAGCGAGCAACGAAAGGTTTTATTGTTTGTTGCCAAAGCAGTATGAATCTCATAGTCGTAAGAAAACAAGGAAATAAAAAAAAAGGTGAAATGGATGAGAGATTAGCGGACAAGACATGAATCACCAACCATAGGTTATGCAGAATGAGATAATCCCGCCGCCTCCTCCACCCATACAGTGAAAACGCACGTAAAAGTGTTTCGTGGAAACAATATCAGTAAAAGGTTTGCCAGTAATCAAGCATCAAAAAACAGCCTCTGCCATTGAGAAGAAGTGCTTTTACTTCATTCAGACAAGATAAAAGGGTATGATTTTAAAAATGAAAATGTTATGCAGTTTTAATAAAATGATAAAAAATTCAAGAGTTAATAGACAAATCTATCCCTGAAATTTCTATACAGGTCTGGTATCCTCAAGTTTTTTGCGATGCAATTTTGCCCCAAACTTTTTTAAATAGGTACAATGTCACCCCACCATTAGACTTTGACTGTGTTGACCATTATCTACCTTGCTCACATGCCACGTTGATGCCATGCCTGCTCTCTACTTCTCTAACTTCATCCGAAACACATCCGCTTCTTCATCAAGCCTCCTCTCACTCTTCTCTCTCCAAGACCTTCTTCCCCAAAACAGCAAAATGAAAATGTGATTTCAAATTTCAGTAACTCAATTGCTCAACAGTAGAATCATTAAAATCAAACAATAAAAGATGAATCAAGGTAGAAAACCAAATAACACAAAAAACCAAGTAGCATGTAAAAAACCAAGGCTATACAACAGACATGAAGAATATAACATTCTCAATTTCAAACTTTAAGTTTTTAGTGTTTAAAAGGGATAAATTGGTAAAATGAAATGATTAATAAGTTAATCATGTTTTCGAATCACTAATGAGATTATTGAATTATTGGACAGTCTTAAAAAAGAGCTTGTAGATCAGGCCTCAAATGAGGCCCAAAATTCAATATGGCCTCACTGTGCCACCCGCTGCAGCTAACACACCATATGCCACATAGATGTGCAAAAATCTGATTTCATTAAACACTTGTATGAGTTAGAAATAAAGGAAAGGAAAAGAGGAAACGGGAAGAGTGACTAAGGAAGGGAATGGGGTTGCTAGGGCTTTACTTTTGGCTCACATTAAAGGCAGTCTATGTTAGTTTTACTTTTGAAAAGCTTCCTATCCACTCTCCTTCCTCTTTGTGCAAAATTTATATGAGTTTGGGTATTGTTGGGGATTGATTTCGGTTTCCATTAAGTCTTGGCTGAACCCATTAGCTTAATTAGGATTTTGGGGAGTTAAATCAAGTTTCTAAATCTAGGTTTGAAGATTTTGTAGTGATTTAAGATTTTTGGTTAGGGTTTAGACAAACCCTAGATGAATAATTGAAGGTTGGGTGCAATATAGGTAATGAATTGATGTTATCCAAGTATTTAGGTGTTAAATAGAATTGATAGAGTATGTTAGAAGTGTTAATTTTGCTAAAAGAGAATTTGAGCATAGTGGGTATCCAAAACTAGGCTAAAAAGAAGGTTTAATTAGAGTTATAATTAATTATTAGTATTTAATCTTGTAGATTAAATATTGATTGAATCTTGTTGAGCTATTAAACTATTGTGGAGTAACCAAACTGTCACGATAACCCTTTATGTGATAAAAGAATTGAAGTAACCGGATAATCTAATTCTTCTACTTGTGTATTTGTGTGGTTATGGATTTGCAACAAAAAAAAAAAAAAAAACACACACACACACACATTATTATGAATGCTTTGACTTATTCGTGACTTGTTGATGTTTTAAAAAACTTATGTGAAGTGGTATTGATCTAAAGTATTAATATATACTTAAAACTCTTATTTACATGTATTTGTAAACAATTATGAAAATTGGATGCAAATTGAAATGTTACTAAATGTTATATGATTATCTATAATGATAATTATGTGTATGATTAAAATGGCATGATCATTTTGAGAGGATGAGAGTTTACCCTAGAGTTGTCAGGGAATATTGTATGAAATCTATATGGCACACTGGCACCGTAGAGGCCTTGGTGCATAGCCTTTTTTGTTTGAAAGTTCTAGTTCTATCTTAGAGATAGATCAGGCATACTACACCCTGAATATTCAAGAAAGGGGGAATTAGTGGTCCAGAATGGGTGAAGACGTCTTTAGTTGAGGTTGCCTCCTATGATTGGTGACCTTGGACTGGTCCAGTTACATAGACTTGGTCCTATTATATTGTTAGCCCATAAATTCAGTTGAAGGGAATAAAGATGATGTAAGAGGGAGAGTATTGATCATGCATTATATGAGTTGTTATGTGATAATCATGTGTTTGATAAGCATTCGATAAATTTTTTACTTGTCTTATATTATTCTTGTATGCTTATAAATATATTAGATTATTTAGTTATTGAGTGCTCGAATCATCCCTATAGTTATATTTTACAGATGATGGCTTTGATGGGGGCAAAGGTAAAGAGGACTTTATAGAGACTTGAGAAACTTGAGTTTGCATAGCTCTTTCTCTCTGTTGGTAGTGTAATGAATCATTTGTATGAAACATGCCAAGTTAGGAACATATAGTTTGATGCACTTGCATGATGGATTATGTTGTTTTGGGCGTATTTCGACTCAAGATATTATTTGTGATGGGAATTATTATAAGAGGTCAAAATATTATTGCAAATGTCATTATTGAGTTAATTGTATGTGTATGATTGGCTAGGATTGTTATATGACATGGTTGCCCATACCCCTTGATTATTGTGAAATCAGGGTTTGGATGGCCAAATTATGTATGGAATGTAATTGTTGTTGTGTAATTGTTCAATTAGGTATATTGTAGTCCAAGTGAGTTAATTAAAGTAGTTTTAGGATTATTGGCACTTAGTTAATGGTTTTAGACACTTTGAGGTGAGTTTTGAAAGGAAAAAGGTAATTTTGTGCTAGGTGTCCAACTTTTAAATAGTTAAATGTTTGATTATAAAACTAGTGCCAATAACTAAGTGGCTCAAAAATCTACATGCGGATACTTGAATCGTTCAAATTGAACATTAGATGGTGAAATGACACACTCTAAAAGTTGGCTGAAGGTGCTGTCATGACAACAAAATATTGTCGTGATAGCAGTAATGTGCCACGATGCATTGCATAACAAGAGGACTTTCCTCTCTGGTGGATGGCGCATGTACCGTGGTGGACAGTGCAATTTGAGAAGTGTTCAAATTGCCCTCTTTTGATTATTGTATGCATTAATTTATGTTTTCATCTTTTGTTATTTCTTTTCATATATTTTAAACTATAGTTTGAGCTTAAATATCTTTTTAAAAAAGGTTTATTGGGATCTCAAGTTTTAAACTAATTTTTCTTAAACTCTTGTATTATGGTATCTAATATAAGAGATTATCTTAATCCTGATTATCATAATAGTGTTATGTGCTATGTTCTGATAATGTTAAGACAGATATTACAACAAACACGAACATAACCCCAGTGAGGATGTTTTATCCAACTTTTATATGCATGAGCTGTATCATTTGTTCGACATCCTGCAAATATCCATACTCTAGATTTCAATTAAAATTTCAAATGACACATTAAACTTCTGCATATCCCTAGAGGTACATTAAAGTCTTTTGCATTAATCCAATAGAGATAACACAACCAGCAAGCCTAGAAGAAGACAGATGTATCGAATCTTTAGACCTAAAGTAGACTCGATTGAAGAATTTCACCATAAAAAAAGATGACAACTCGACCAAAGAATCTTGCCTTTATAGATTCAAATGGGTTAACTTGAGGGATTTGGGTCCTAGACCTTGGAGTCAACGAGTTCGAGAGGCTTGTTGATGATGAGATCTAGCAACATGGTCAATAGTGCTTCGAGATAAAGGTTTCAGGCATCTTTTTGAGTAGATCTTCAAGCTATTCAACAACAATTCAAAGAGTTGAGCACAAGTAGAGGCGTTGTAGATCTGGCAGTGGAAGTCAAAGGGGCACTTAAGCTATACCAGAGGAGGCATTTTTTCCATTCCTATGCTCTTTGGCTATTGCTATTGAATCTAGAAATTGACTCCTCTGTGAACTTTGTTGAGAGATAGAGAGAGGGAGAGAGATTTCAAAGCACTCCAATGGAAATTTGGAAATCAACGATGATGAAGAGGCAAATAATGGATGATGGAGTGAGGATCGATGGTAGATTAAGGAAGAGGACCGAGGGATGTCGACATGGTAATCTTTTTTTACCAAGTTTTGTTTAGACTCTAACGTGGATGCCAACGTGACAAGCCAACAAAGTAGATAACTGTCAAATTTTCAAACTTAATGGTCAAAGTGATCAAAGGCTCACCGGACATTGTACCAAATTTAAAAATATTGGGGCAAAATTGTGTCAAAGAAAGCTTGAAGATATTAGGCGTGTCTGCGTGGAAACTTCAAAGATACCTTTGTATTTCAACCCGAATTTCAATTAACTCATGTTTCTTTACTTAAAAAAGAAACGAATCAGGGAAGATACCGAAGTCTTGCGCGCTAACTACAATAATTTGATATTTCCACTTATTTTTCCTCTCACTTGGAAGCATGCTCACGAATCAATGTATACAAGGAAGAAGAAAGCCCCCCTGACTCACACGTCTATCCAAACATAAATTAGCAATGTGAGTAAAATCATGATCCAAATCATCAGACTTTATTCAAACAAACGAGGAAATATATTGTCTCACTTCAATGTCTGTCTCTTCTCTAATCTCTATAACCTCTAAGAAAAGAAAGGAAAAGGAAGAACGGCAGTCTACCAAACGATGAGGTGTCAATTTGTAAAGGTTAGGGACCAACAAATGTTCAGAATAAACGAGGATGAGATCCTGCAAAAATGTCAATGTGATATGCAACTTTCTGAACTTGTTCCCCGTAAAAGCAAGCAGAGTCATTTAAGTTTGTTGGTAAAAGAACTCGAGTGAACATTGCATTGACGTCAATCCCGGACGACCTTAAAATTGGATGGACCAACCGTGTCAGTGAAGCCTCTGATGGACAATTCTGGTACAGCAATATTCTTCCCAACCAACTCGTGGTCGATGTAGACAACCACAACTGTGATATCATCGTGAAAGAACCTCCTGATCCCCTTCTCAACCTTCTGCAGATCTTTGTATCTCATTTCTCGTTTCCTAGCTGCCTCGTTCAGAGCTGCTTTAAGCAGTCTTCTTGCAATCCCCTGACATTTAAGAAAAGCATCATAGTGAAAGGGGTTAGCTTGCTTCTTGTAGGTATCAATGGAAACAAAAGAGTAAGGCAAAAGCGTACCGCTCGGGGGTTGTTATGCACAATCTCTGCAGCTTCCTGATTTGTCAAGTGTTCCCAAAGTCCATCAGATGCAAATATTAGGAATTTATCATTAGGTTGCAGGACCCTTGAGCATATAGATGGCTCGGCTGTCAGCACAGGACGTCGGATAGGTTCTGGTAGGTGGAATCGTGGGAACGAAGGATCGAGAGAAAACTCCGGTCTTTTCAAATATGCATCGCCTATAGATCTGGATACCTGAATGACGTGGAGTGAACCAGAAAACTACTGAGTTACTATGATCAATCACATTAATTACTTACAATTGCAATGACTACCACAATGATTTGATTAGATTAGATTAAAGGATAACAGAAATCAAATGCAGCAAGCATTACTGGAAAAGACAAATAACTAACAAAAAATATGAGCATATATACTGTAGTAATTGTGAAGTAAGTTGCCATGAATGCCAAGCCCTGCAAACCCTTGATAGCATATACAAAGTCATGACTACTTTCAAGTGCGCCATAATTTCTCTAAGTTTGTGCAGTATAACATCAAGAACTGACATCGAAACCTTATTAAATATTTCCATGCAAAACCTATAGGTGAGATTCACAAAAATAAATACATGAATTTATGAACCGAGGCAACAGCACCTGTTCATGTATATTCTAAGTTCTGCTATAAGCATCATTCATTATGAGTAAGGATTCCGCCTAAAATATAAAGGAACATCACCTACCATCAATCCATCATGTGTTATCATAAGAAGAGATGAATTACTAAAAGTTAGATTAGACATTCCCATTCACATGTATGAGGAAGGCTCAAGATAAGTTTAGCCCTGTTAGCATTTGAACGAGCATGCTTATAATCCGCAACCTACAAATGCTTCATAGAAATACAAGGAAAATGGAAACATAACGAACATGAACCATTAACAAGTCCTTCTGAAAATAAGAGAAAACCTGGATGATGCCCTTAATCCGCCACGTTCCATGCTTCATTACTACAATCTGCGAATCTTCAGGATGCAAGGACCTAAGTTCACGTCGAACCTCCTCTTTGCTAGCATTGTGCTCTCTAGTCAACTGCTCAGCAACGATCTTATTAGATCTATCTATAGAACCAATTACAGCACGAGAGTCTCCAAGGTTGGCGACATATAATGTCCCTTTCCAAATAACACCAACCAGACAACAGGAACCGATTGCTGCTACCAATGGCTTTATACCATAAGTCCTTCGAACAAGAGTCAGAAATCCATCTTCAGTCGCAGAAACAGCACCTCTGAGGATTTCTTCAGATATAGTACCATTATCTCGAGCAATCCCTGGAACCAAATTTGCCAAGCTACTTAAACTAAAGCAGAACCATTGGTCAATCAAATATGTGGCATGTGCCGCAGATCTCACACTATGCATGCCAATTTATGGAAGATATCAAATGGAAGAGTAATTTTTCAATGCATCCTCAAAGCAGCAGAGAATCCTTATTGATTATCCAAAAGAAACCATAAAAACCTTATTTAGTTGATTCTAGGATGAACCACTGGGTGACCTATGGTTCTAAAAGCTGATTTCCAGTCCCTGCGTATTTGCTAGACAATCAATAATTGTTCAATAATTGTCAACTTTCATTTTTTATTTTTAATTTTTTGGGAAAGATTCTTACTCCTTCTGTACAAGAAACATCCTCGAAGAGGAAAAGAGAAGTGAGGGAGGAGGAAGACGAAAGCAATGTTACCCTGCGTTGTGCTATTAAATGAGAAAGCAAATCAAATTTTCAACTAGGTTACCCGCAATCGCACATAACAGGCAACATGAACAATGAAACAAAACCATCTGGGGCCGAGATCATACAAGCCAAAGGGCAATCATAAGAACAAGAAGGTAACGCCAAAAAAAAAAAAGAAAAAAAAAAGAAAAAACTGATTATTTACATCCAAAAAGTCCAGGATGTCAACACTCGACGATGATACTGGAGCAAATCAATCCCTTTGAGTTATATGAAGCGACGACTTAGTATGTGATTGCATGATACTCACTCATTAGATGATGGAAGAGGTGGTCGCTGATAAACCGAGACGCTTCGGGACCGCCGTGGCCGTCGTACACTCCGATGAACATTGCGTCGGAGCCAGTCTCGACCTGGCTGTGATCCTCAATGATTTCATTGGCTTGAACGACAGCATAAGAGAATTCGCCGCACGAGTGTTTCTCGAGGTCCTTGTACCATAGCAGAGTGTCTTCAATCGAGGAAGGATCATCCACGTCATCCTTGCTCATGCGGGCATACCGCCTGACCGGCCTCAAGCACGCAGAAACTATCCTTGCCAACCACGAAAACATCCCACATTTCCCTCTCTAACAAATCCCTAAAAGAAATTAAGCGCTGATGGTAAACAGGAAAACCCGAATTCCTCAAGACAAGACACTGCGGATTTCTGAAATTTGATTATTAAGTCCGGAAGCATGAAATTTTGAACATTTCATCGAGAGTACAGGTGATGATGGAAAGAAAATATTTTGACGATGACTGCTTCAAGCAAGACGAAAATTGGTAAGATGGTAATTCAGCAGCAAAAGACGAAAATTAGTGGACAAAGTAGACAATATGAAGAGAGAACGGAAATTCGTATCCAACAAAAATAAATCAAAGAAACAAATTTGGATTTGAGTAAATAGAGTTCAATATCAGAATTTCAAAACAGCAGAAGATCTGATATTGGGTAGTCAAAAGAAGGAAATGAGGGGTTTTCTTTATAGAGTTGAAAGAGAATGGAAGGGTCAAACATGTTGTTTGCCAGAAAGAGAGAACAGAGATCAAGGGGTGTGAGCAGAAGATTTCTCTCCGTACAAGCAACCGCAGATTACAGAACGCTTGCTGCGCGGGGAGGCGGGTAGTGAAAGGAAAAGGAAAGTTGACAAAAACTTGTGTTGACTTTGTGATGAAGTCGATCAAAGAAAATAAGCGCTCATCAATTTTCTCCTCCCTTCTTCTCACGATTTCAAATTTTTTAATGCAAATTTCCAATGACCGCATTTCCGTTTGCTTACATTACGGATACCTATTTACATTTGCCATTGATATGATTGTTAAATTTGAGTGAACCCACGTTAATAAGCCGCTAGCCTGCTTCCACTGTTTGGAAATATGATGACTTCTTGGTTGATCAACATTGTCAGTACCTGCTAGAGGTGTCAATGAAAATCAGCGATTGAAATGCTAGGCCTCAACATATTGGTCTTATCAAGCTCAATTATATTTTAAAGTTTTTTTTTTTTGGTTAACCTGACTTTAATTTAAAGTTAAAGGATGGCTCTCAAAACTTTAACTTTATATTTTTTATTTTATAATTTAAAAATTTTAAAAAATATATTTTAAATTTTAAAAAATTATTATACATAACATTAAATTTATAAAAATAAATTTAAATTTAATAAAAAATAATATCATAAAATCAACATCGATAAAAACTAAACTTTGCTACCATCATCAGCAAATGTTAATAATTTTTATTATCATCAATATTAATATAATTTTATCATTTTTTTTGTAGAGCCTTAACAATGACAAAGACATTAGACTTTTCATATATTTCTTTTTCATTCCCATAAAATGAAGCTAGGGTTTTAAAATTAGTACAATATTTAATTTTTTAAATTTTAAAATTTAAAAAATTATAAAAAAATTTAAAAGGATCGACCTTTTTATTTTACAACTTAAAAGGATCAACCCTTTTAAACTTAAATTATTATTTTATATTTTAAATTAACAACTTAGTTCTAATTTTTTTTAAACTTAAAAGAGTCAACCCGATGAACTCGGTCCTAATAGACATGCAATTAAGTTGTGAACTTTTCCTTTAGAGGATTCAATCCAATCGGTAATTGATTGAGATTGCGTCTGTTTATATGAAATTAGGTTTGGTTTCATTTCAATCCTAGCGTTTGCGTGCAACAATTGTTGGTCGAAAGTTTCAACACTGCTCACCTAGTGGTCATTAATTTTCCCTCTCACTGATCCGAGTGTAATGCCAAATTAGCACATGCCATTTGCTTTGCCCACATGATTTTCCCTTCGAATGAGCTGTGACCTATATAAAAGTTCAATTTTTCTTCTTGCATGCGTGTAAAAAAAAAATACTTGAAGCGAGTTGTATCCAGGAGCTTTTGGTCCTGGATGAATACTGGCCATAGCATATCAAATACCCCTCCAATTTATTTATAAATCACATTTTAAGAGATCCATTTAATCCCATTTATAAATTATGATGTGGCTATTTAAGTAATTTTTGAGAGATATTTTTAAAATTATTTTTCATAGAGAGAAAAATAACATGAATTACTTTTTGAAATTTGTTATATAGAAATATATTTAAAATTTTATATATTTTTATTCTTTATACTTTTTTTATATTAGTATTAATGAAGTTGGTAGAAATAAATTTATAAAAAAAACTAGAAGAGTATTTGAGAAGCGAAGAAGGGGCTAAGAGGGACACGTGTGATTGAGTAGTTGTGGCATATAAATTATTCAACAAGGTGGGATGATTGAAGGGAGATTAGCAGAGCAGTGGTAGAGGGCAAGTTGTTTTCCAGAACAGAAGGTAAAGTAACTCAACACATGTGGCTTGTGAAGTGGCCTTTTCTGAATCACAAGCCTCCTCCTTCATTTCAATAATATTCGGTTTTATCTTCCTTCACTTTTCAGCTAATCTTATTTAATCCCTTACTTTTACAGCTGCATTCAAATTTCGTAGTTGCTACTTCGGAAACTAGGATTATTTGATACCTCAAAAGCCCTTCCATTACATTTATATAGAATGGCTTATTATATGAATATGATATCTTAGGACTTATGTCACCATTGTCTGAAAGCGATTCATTTCTCCATAAAAAAAAAAAAGAAAAACATTTCGAGAATCGCCTACTAGTGACATCGTTAAGGTTGATGAATCTATTAATTAAAAACATATTTTTTCTGTCAAATTATATTTGTTTGAAGTTTTATTCGAAATTATTCAAGCGTCATTTTTTTCCTGACGCCAGACGAACACAACATTTGACTATGTGCCCTGCACTCGAGGTAAAGTTATCTTCATATGTTTTCTCTTGCAAGATCGAAAGTCACCAAAACTAGAAGTACATGAATAAGTGATGTGAATATGATATTCAAAGGTAGAGCATCAAGTGAGAACTTTCTGAAGTTGGTTGAGATGGGTAAGGATTTAGGTATGCCAAATAAATCAAAGCAGTTTCCTGTTTAAAAAGAGATGAGCATAAGAGGAAATAAAGAGTTCACGAGACAAGGCCAGTGTATTATGTACTTTTGTGTATGTAGTACGATTACAGGTACATGGAATATAATTCCTCAAGGCTTGAGATGAAAGAAAGAATAGCTTCAATTGAGCTTGACACAAACAATGTACAAAAAATCACAAAGGATGGGAGTTGAGGAAATAGGGACGCCAAGTGGCATCTTTAGGAGTTTGTTAAGCAAAGTCACTGTTAAGAAGCTTGTGGCGATAATAATAATGCTTCTCAACGAAAACTCTGGAGACTCCTTCTATGGTTCTACGCCATGTCTGCAGGGAAGCATTGAATTAAAAGCATTGGCATTGACATCTTTTAGATTGCTATAATAGAAAGGCCAACGACAAGTTCCATCATCACCACTTTGATTTTCGTCCACACGTGTCATCTTTCATGTTTCAACAAGCCCTTTTCAAAAAGGGACTATAATTTCTTTTTCTCAACTCTCAAGATTACCACCACAGAGGATTGAAAGTTTCAATTTCTCACACGCAAACATACATATTTTTAAGCCTCCCTTGTTAGGAAATTCTTAGTTCTAAAAATGTCACGCCTGGTTTGGACCATGAAACCAGCCAGGCAAAGACAGTCAATATGTCATTAAATGTATTAAAAGAAAAGAAAAAGAGCATCCAAAGCTGGTATTCATGAACTAATATTACAGAACAAATGAAATTTCTAATCCTCACACCAACTCCTTAAAACAAACTGATTTCAATGAAGCGTTACCCATCTTAATTATACCTAGACTTTCTAATGACAGTTCGCAGCTACCATGTTTCAGACGAGAACAATTAAAGTAAGCAAGCAACTCTTAGTCACATTGCTCATCAACGACAAAAGAACATGAATGAACCTCACCTTTTCAATGATTGCCAAGAGAAACTTGTTCCTGACATCCCTCAACCTGAGCTGTCACCGGAGCAATGCCGACCGCCGTGGCGGCAGAAGCAACCTCCTTTCCATTAAAGTGGTGCTGCCGTTTGATGGGCTCTCATATTGACCGTCATCTGTCCCGGCCCAATTTTTCATTCCACGTTTGACTGCACGAAAATATTTTTTCTTCTGGGAATAGTTGCCGGAGTCGTCAGCAAATTTTCTGAGGAGCTCAACTGAAGATTTCTTGGTTAGAGGTTGAACTTTAACAGAGGCCGAGGCAGGAATTTCCATTGCAAGCATAATGGTTTTGCTTTAAGTTTCTTTCTTTGTTTTGTTTTGTTTTTTGAAGTTTGGTTTACATGATTCTGATTTTAATATTCTATGAGAGTGGTGTATTGTTATGACTAATGCGGAAAACGGACCTAGTGATAACGCCAACAACTAAATGACAAGTACAGAACAATCCAAAGTAATATAACCGTTGGGCATGAGTCTACAATGATTTGTGGGGCTTTGTATGTCACTTCCTGATAGCTACAATACAAAAATCCAGGTTGACAATCCCGGCAGATGGTTTTAGATCGGGATTGTCAACGATACATATATAATAAAATTGTTGATTATAGATACGAAAATAAGTGTTTTATTTATTTTTAAAAACCATTGAAAACATGCACAGTCTCGTAAGTTGATGGCCGTATTTTGGAATGCGTGTGTGGGAATCTTCTCTTATTTTTCTACTTTGGAAGAGGTTAATGATTACAGGCACAGCAGATGTGATATCATCATCGTATGATCGTATATTTCTTTTGCAGGGTAGTTCTCATTCCGATCGTGAATCCATTATTACCGCACCGATTGAAAAAAATGCATGTAATAGATGATGTTATGCTGGAAAATGCAATCCCTTCTCCCCAAGACAATTCTAGTTTCCCAAATGTTTACTATTACACCAAAAACATAAGCATGCAATTACAGATAGGAAAAATTCAACTTAAAGTGTATAAGATTAGAGCACTACACCGGCAATACAATTAAAACAAAACAAAAAATCCCTCGTCAGCTCCGAGCACCAATTTTCACCTTTTGGCTTTCCCTTTAAGGGTAGAGATGGCAGCAATCGACAAACTTCTAATAACCAGTAAATTGTAGTATACTGCTCGTGCCTGGGATGCAGCTACATCCATATTTCAGAAAACTGAAAACTTGCACATGTATATAGGCACATCATACCTAACCTGTACGGATTGTATGACGGTTACCAAACATTTATGAACATATTTATCAATCAAATTAGCTAGATTTATTAAAATGTCGTTCTAAATATTTGAACAGAAAACATTATACTTCGACCAATGATAAAATTTTGAGGTCACAGCTTCAGTTACCACAGAAACTTCGTTGCGCATATTTAAGAGCTGAATTGCGTCCCAAAACAAAGAGCATGACATTGAAGATCCCTCAGATTTAGCTGCAAAAAAGAAAGAAACTTAAACAGGGACAAAGAATCACATCAGATCAAAACCTCTACAATGGGTCTTAGCCATGAAATTCAACCAGGAAAAAATAACGCTATTCATTCCTAGTCTTGCCTTAGTTTTTCATCAAATGATAGGAAGCCAAAAAATTCTTATCAGTATCAATGGTAGTGTTGAAGCCAAACTTCTACCTAAAAGTAGATGGTAAAAAGATTTATATGGCCAGGTAAATAAAGACCATATCATATCAATTATCAATTTATAAATAAAGTAACTGACATGAGCTCAAAATGTTTATTCATTACACAATAACCATCTTCTATCTAAATGGTAAAAATATCAAAGGTACTTGGCCTTTTAAGTTATACCTTAAGGACAGAGGGTTTAAAAAACATCCTATCAATGGCTTGATATTTGGTATCCTCTTCAGGTAAAGTAGCAAGAAAAAGGATAAGCTACAAACCAGACCTATCTCAACTCATGTCGACCCAACAACAATAACTGAAAACACCTAATCTTAATAGTGGCAGTCGTTATTCAACAGAAACAAACAGAATAAGTAAGAAAATAAGATAATTTTTTCAGCTGAGTTATCAAGGCTAACAAGCATAAAATCGATGCTGAAATAAGTAATATTGAATCAGTTTTAAAATAGTCCTTCTATTCTTTTCACGATTTTCTTAAAAAACCCCTTGAGTTGAAAACAAAGATAGTGTAAATCATTTCCATTATTTTCTTATTATTATTATTATTATTATTATTATTATTATTATTATTATTATTATTTTAAACTTACTTTATTGAAAGATAGAAGTTAAAAAAGCAATAAGAAGGAATGCACAAAAGTTCCAGCCAAGTATCATACCCAATTTAATAACCATTTATAAAGGCAGATTGTTTGATCAGTTGGAAGGCTATTATCATAATGATAAGTTTAATTTGTAGATTCAGGATAAGTCACTTAGACCCTTTAGATAAACTATTCAAACCCTTGTGATTAGGAACGCATATGAGTCTCACCATAACAGCCACTCCAGTCTCATTGAATTTAGGAACGCATATGAGTCTCACCAACTGCCCTTCTGATCCTGCAAAACCCACATGAAATCATATATGATTTTTTTTTTTAATTTTGATTTGAATAGTAAAGGGAAGCAGAAGTTATATTAAATGCAAATCAGAAATAAAAATAAACATTATTTTTAGAAGCAAAATTCAGAATAAAGATACCCTTAATCACACGTGTTTCATATTTATCTTGATTGCCAACAAAATACACATGAGGACAGCTCTCAAGGAAGAAAGGATCCCTATCAGTGAAAGGATAGCACCCTGGAAGAAAATTTAATGTGAAGTTAAGAAATAAGGACAGCCTAGGGAAAACTCCAGATTTTATCTTGCTAGAATCCTCAGCAAATACACAATTAAGAAAGTTTGACCAAGCTAGTAAATGCATAAATTCATTGGAGCACATATAACGCATACCAAGGGTATTAGGCGCTGTTGGTGCCAAATGCCTCCACCGTAAAGTCCTTTCCATGAATTCAAGTTTATCTTTCGCCTCTGAATACTTATCAAGATCATCTATATTTTGACCTGATGTCCCGAGAAATCTAGAAGCAGTAAGGTGTCAGTTCAAGAAAAAGATAGCCCAAGCTGACAAAAATAATGCTAAAAAAAAAAATCATTACCTAATATTATCAAGCTCAAAGCAGTGAGGATTTGTACAGGATCTAAAAGTGTTGTAAGCTGATGACCCAGGGAAAAGGCATCTATGCAAAGCCTGAAAGGACAAATCATATCATTAAAGTCCCCCCAAAAAAATGTTAGTCCGTATACACTCTTCCAGGACAGAATAAGAACCTGCTGCGGTAATGAGTAGTTAGCTGGGTCCCTGGGTCCTGGCATGATATCCAAAGGCAAACCTGCAGTGATCTAAACATACGTAAAACATTAAGCAACTTGATTCATAATAACAAAGACTATATCCAGCTATCAAACAATTCAATGGACCTGATTCAACAGAATATCAAGTTCCTTTATTGGTTCAGACAACCTTGAGAGGTCCTTTGCAGCCAAATTCTGCAAACGCGCAATCACTTTATAAATGTGGTCAACACAAACCAAAAAGTTCAAATTTTGCCTAAAATTTGTTAAATGAGATAAAGGCAGCATGTTACTCTGGTAAAGTTAGTCAGAAGTCAGAAAGTGGAGCCTGCAAAGAAATGTATATAGTTGTTTTGGCCATAGGTTAAAAAAGATATTGAGTACCGACGGAATATTGTTTAAAATCCGCCCCTCCCAAAAAAAAAAAAGCAAGCATGCAGGAAACTACATTAAAGGAAAGGTGAGAAGCTGATGCGGATTATCATTAAAGTACTCAATCAATAGAGCTGCATACCTGCCCATTAAGAAGTTCACGAGGGAACTCAACAGAATTCCCTGCTATGACAACATGAACGATTTGAGATGCCAAAATTTGTTCCTGTTTAATTTGTTGTGGATAAGTTAAGAGTTTGAAAGGTTATTTAAATACTAGTATAAAAGCTCAAAAAGGTCATGATAAACCTTCTCATCTCCTAAATGACCAGTAACATGATCAACGAAGAGCTGAAATTGAAGAGGATTAGAGTTGCTGCTCCCAACACTTAAGCCCGAAACAAAAACAACATATTTGTCTTCCCCTGTTAAATCCAAGTTAAAGAAATTTTGCACCAACACTTTCATTACAAGGGTGAGCTTCAGTAACCAGGATAAAATGAATGCACATAAATAATGTTTAGCTTGACCAAAATAGCAAGCTTACTTATTGCAATCCAGTTAATAAAAGTATGGTAAATGAAACATAAGGCAAAAAATTTAGTATGAGCACTTATAACTTTACAAAGCAGTGACAAAACATTAAGCAACATAAGAAACTAGTTTCACTTGAACAAAAAGTTAAAGCATATGAGGATATGACATCAAATGAAAAGAAAGCCATGGTAAACAGAAGCAAAACAAAAGACAATTTAGTTCTGCTGATCAGGAAGACAGGAATCAAATTATTCAATTATCAAAACTTCTCAGCCCAGATGAAAAGAAACAGTTTTGTGCAGAAAATGTGTCACTCCTCCACATCATGTTCACTCAGTTAGACACCCTTCAATAAAATACCAGACTGGTGATTTTAGATATCAAAATCTACCACATGAGACGACTACAGACAAAACTGAAGGACACTTTGATTAACTAACCACCAATGCACACGTTCTATTAAGGTAAAGTAATCATCACATATGTAAATGATAGGGAAGACGTACTTGACTTAAGAGGAAGTTCTGTCTGTGGTGGGAGGCCTGCTTCCAGGACATCTAGAACCAAAAACTCACCAGCCCCAGTTTCTTTTCCATGTATAGCAACTACGATTCCTGTCACACATGATGACAATATAAGCAATAATGTATCAACAGATAAAGTCCTTGAATGGATAACTTAAGTTTCCTTATTTGCAAACTCAGACCTTAAAATTAACAGCTTAGGGAAAGGCAAAGGGTGCCATTATGTCTACAACAAAGTCAAATGTGAAATGCGTGGCCATTGATACATTGATCTTGTTAGTATCTGGATCTCTAGAGCGTTTATTTCATCAGGCAACCATTCTGGTTCACTGTTAAGAAATAAAAGACCTTTCTCCTCACACAAACTTACCCCATGTCCATGGTCCATGTTAGCTTAGCAATCCAGTATTGTTTTAACCAACTTCCCCTCCCTAACTCACACAAACACACCTACGTTTTGATCCTTCTGGACTAGTTGGGTTGGGCATGACATTTTGGGATGACCATCCCATCCTGAAAGCTATTTCAAATAAACAAAATAAGTTGTTCAGGATACGGACCTGTTATATACACAGAAGGTGAAATCAGATCCCCGCTGAGCTTAACTCTCCCACTTTCATCTTCCAAAACTAGATGATCATCTGGGTGCACGAAGTTATGAGGCTTGACGAGTGGTGTTGTAGATCTCTGTAAATAATTAGCATAGATATACAGCAATTTCACATTTTATTCTGAATTTTACGAATAGAATATGCAAAGTTAATAGGAAAAACACACAAAGAAATTCCTACCTCCTTAGAATACTCATCAAGTATGCAAGGTTTAAGCTTCATGTGTTTATAAAGCGTTCCAACGATGATACATTCCTTGCCCTCCTCCAGTCCCAACACTGTGCATACTGCAGCAAATCTAGACCATTAAGTAACTTGTACCAATAATTACAAGGATAAAGAGAAGTACAAGAAGCAAAATAAACTCCTCTTAATAGTATATAACTTAAAAATGAGCGCATAGGCTCCATCATTTATTTAATTTACTTAAAACCTCAAAAAACCAACATCTTGTTGGCATTTTTAAATGGCAAAGCCAGATTTGATTTCCGCGCAACTAATTATATGGCCACGAACCCCAGCAAGAGTTTCTAAAATGAAGATTAATGAACACACCAAAAAACATGAACGCTCTATTTTCAAGGTTTAATAATTCCAATGATTACGTCATTGAGTCAAGGCTAGGAAGGAAGCCTTCTAGTTCAATGCCATATCCAAAATCAAATACCTGCAAGGAGGAGCCATCAGCACGGACTTAAATTTACGAGGAGGGCTACATCAAATAATCAAACTTAAAACCTTTTGGTTTTTCGCAAGCTAAGAACTAAATTTTTACCCCCGAATTTGAGGTTTCAAACAAACAATGTGAAAAGGGAAAGCAAAAGCCGGAATAATTGAATATTCAGTGGAACCCTCGAGGATTTTAAAGTAATTCCCAAATTAAACTATCAAAGAAAATCATTTAAACGTGAATGCAAATGATTAGCTATGGAAAATTACTGAAACAAATTTAAAACAGGTTTGACAGTTAGTGTTGTCAAAATTTTTCACGAAATGCTCAGTAGAAAGTTCAAAACCATAAAATTAGGTACCAGGTAAATGAGGTTTCCACCGGGATACTAGGGAATATAGGAGAGTTCTCATCAAGTGAAGACGAGCAAAGTAAATCTGACTGTATTGCTGCCCCCTATAAGTTTCTTTCTGAATTTCAAACACCTCATCCTGCAAAGAGTGCCAAGGAACATAAAGACCTGAAAACAAAATAGCACTGGGAGCGCACAACAAGCTGGCATTAAGCGGGATGTTACAAGATCTTCCTATGCATTTTTTCTGTTTCTCTTTTTCTTTGAGGCTTTTGTCAGGGTTTTCCATCAACCAAACTAGAAGAATCTTCAAGAGGTTGGACAAAAAGCTAACTACAAGTGAAAACCAGAACGAAAAGAGAAAAGGGGGAAAAAATAAGCATGAAAGAGCAGTGAACCAGGGAATTGTAGGCACAAAGCGCTCTGCAGAGATTCTTCTCCGAATCGATTTCCATGGCGGGAAGCAAAGAATGACTCGTCGGACGAGCAAATTATATTATAATTATCATATAATATCGCAAATTCTTGGTTCGAGAATCGAGACGATGGATCCGGTTCGGTCAAGCCATCTGACAGGGCAAACGGGCTGGGCTTACATCAAAACGTTTTCTCACTGATTTTTTAAAAAAATAAATTACATTTGCCCAACAGCCTAAGCTTACATCACCAAGCTCGTCGGTTCTGTTTTTCTTTTGGGCCATTACTTTTTGTCCCATTTCCTTATTAATTAACTTTTTTTGGTTTTTTTGCTAATTCAATTGTTAATTTGTTTCTTTTATTATACTGCATCAAAAATAAAATCACAATTTCATGCTATAAAAAATATTTAAAATCGTTAAATTGAAATATATTATAGTATACATCATGAGAATATATTCCTTTGGTGAAAAAAACTGATGTTATATTCCAAGTACTCACTACTTAGTATCTTGTTATGCATCTTTTTGACCAAAAAAAAAATCATATTCATCTCGTTATATATCTTTCATTTTTTTTAAAAGCTCGTTATGTATCTTTCTAATTACAAAAGTGTTCCTATATCTTGATCTGCATTAATTAAAAGTCCAGGACAACATTAATTTAAAAATAAATAAATCGCATGTCAAATAATTTAAATAAATTGACATATTAATTATATTTCTTCATTCTTAATTGAGTTAAGGTGCATTTTTTCTTAGTATCTGATAAACATTTAGTGTCCTAAATTATTTATCGTGGTAATTTCACCTTTACCTTAATGTTGATAATTAAAACTATTGACTAGAACTTTGCTAGATTTAGAAATATGTTATATTTTAGTTACTTTAGAAGCAAAATTGCCTAGACGCAAATGGTTTAGGACATTAGGTGCTCCTTTGAGAGCATTTCAAAAACAAAAATGTATCTTAATTTGAATCCACCTAACTTAACATATGGCATTTTTTGTCATACTTAATTAATTCTCAGTTAGTATTTTTAACGATCAACATTAAGATATTTAATATTAGGAACAAATATGTTACATTTTAATTATTTACAATGAAATTACTATAAAGATAGCATAGGGAATTAGGTACTCTCAATGAATGGTTCAAAAACAAAAATGCACCTTAACCCTTCTTAATTTAACCAAATTGGCTTCTTTTCTAACACAAGACATGAAGTGTCCAGTGAAAGTGGCAATTTGGAAGTCCAGGATATGAAAATTTTGTTTGGGCTAAATATGAAACGTCGCTTAAATATATCATAGAATTAGTTAGGTTGAGTAATTGAAGCGTTAGGCCTAATATAAATAAAAGGGGTTGGCCCTAAGGCTCAATAAAGGACACATTAAGTAAACATGCCGAAATCTTGTCAGCTGCAAATATTAGACTGCTGGCACGAAGACACGATCTTAAGTAATGTTGAAATCTACACCCAAATATTTTGATGAAATAGGCTAGTTATCAAAATGAAGAGAACGTGCCATAAGTTTCGTAAGATCCCTGATTCTTTAACAGAACATGTTAAGTTTCAAGAAAAAGGCTTCCACTATTTTGACACTATAAATAGAAGGAAAAAATATAGAAGAGACTGGTAAACACTCTGTCAAAGGCTCGCAAATTTTACATTCGTTAGCTCTTTTTAGTTTTTAGTTTTTAGTATGTAATATTTTTACATTTTAATAAAAATCATACACTTTTTCCACTAAAGTCTTGTATTTTTTTACATTCAAGTGAACTGTGGTAAAGGAGCTCGGGATCTTTTTATTATCTGTTGAGACTCAGCATCTCAGACACGCTTGATATTTATCGTTCAGCCACAAACACATTTGATATGCTGAATTTGCTTAATCGCAATAAACACATTGATATAGTTATGTAAGGTTCATCAAACCAATAGATCGATTTGCGGATAGAGTGAACCATTTTAATTTTACTTCACCCTCCGGAAGTCAAAATAATTATGTTAGTCTTCCCCCTGAAAAAAATTAAACATGCGGGTTTTCTGATACATGCTCTAGCGTTTAGATTAACTACTAAAGTTTGGGATGATAATTCCTATCAATCCAGAGACTCGCATTGAGTTTTCTCCGACCCCATTTTCAAAAACTCTGGTTTACATGCGGGATTTCGTCTTTAATTGGTGTATATAGGTGTACCATGCATATATATATCAAAGACTAGACGTTGTTGGATACGGTTTGGGGAATATCAATGAAAAATTGGGCTTGATGTTCCCTTTGATAACACCACAACCACAGCTATTGTTCAGTACAGAGGGAATTATAACTCATCTTCCTCTCCCTCGTTACCCTATCTTCCCTGCTATGATTCTAAAATAAACCAGATGGATTAAGATTAATTTTAAGGGTCTTTGAAGAATCAGTTTTGAGCTTTTGCACATATATAGAGGCCACTCGGAAAGCCCTTTTACACGCGCATTCTCTTTAACTTGCAAAGCAATACACGCAGAACATAAAAATGCAGCGAGTAAGAACATCTGCACCAAGCTAATTATAAAAGAAAGCACCCGGCCAGTCTAACATCTTGTTATTTTAAAAAAAAAAAAAATTATCTGCGGACGAGTGAGAGGTTTAGTGCCAAATCTTGTGGATGTCAGCATTTTACGACGGAATACAGTTAGCAGGTGAAGATGGCCTCTCATTATGAAACAGACGAACGCAACATATAAATTAATGGAATGAAATTCGCTATCAATGCTAACTTCCCCAGCAAGTAGGTCTTCCGCAACTCTGAGAGGGTCCCATAGCCAAAAAAACAAAAAAAAAAAAGCACGACGAAGTGAAAGCAAGCTGAATTCATACTTAACACACGTATGGTCCCTTAAGCATACCGGTGACAACAATATTTTCCCATGCGAATGCAACAGTATATTAGAGAACAATCGAGAATGATTCATATATATAAATATATATAGTCCAGCTCCGTACATCATTAAGAAACCAATAGAAGTGAAACCTCCAGGTTGAAGAGAAATAATTAACGAAAAATAGGGGGAATGTATTATATTATTATATTAAATCATACTGATATATATATATATATATATATACTGACCTATATAATTTAATATATATATGAATTAAAGTTGAAGTTGTTCATACCCATGAATGTGAGTATCATCCAAAGGAAAGGGAATCTGAGCAAACTCTGAAACGAGGCATTCCAAATCTGAAAACCCACCCAAGTAGCCACCGGAGGTTTCAGCCCTGCAAAGTCCAACTTGTTCTTGTTCCTTCATGACCAGTCTCTCCCCTGACTGATAATCGTCCGGCTTGCTTCTCGTTTTGGGCTTGTCGGAGGAGAGCCCAACATTCGATCTTGTTGTATCTTGATGTCTCGGTGCTATTGTTGGCATCTTATTGTCGCAGTGTTTTTCAGCAGATGGCTTCCCAGTTAACCTCTGCACAAGTTCTCGGAAGTTCCCAACATCGGTCTTGATGACCTCCGGTGCAAATATGTGAATTATGCGTATCTTGGGCTTCGTCTTCGCTATCGCCTGTGAATTTTTGTTGATGGATAGGGAAGGCCTGTTTGACATGGCCATGCAAGAATTCTGTCCCGGTTTGATCTCAGTGAGAAGAGTGAGACAGACACAGAATGAGCTAGGGGAAGACGGCCAAAGAATCAAGGGTTTGAGAGGTTTGTGCAATTGTTAGAATTATAAAGGGGGGGAAATCCATACACATTTATGATGTTGGGAATTGAGAAAAAAGAATGAGAAGCTGTATGTCTGTTGGGAGCAAGGATTAGATGAATCCCTGTCTGACGTCAAATACAAGAGAGACTGCATCAAGTAATTAATAATGGGAACACTATATGGTCCCCAATCTCCCACTTTTGCTTTTAAAAGAAATGGTACCAAACACATTTTTATATTGACAGAGTGTAAATATCTTAAGAGGCACACACATTATTATATGTTCATCTTGCCATATATTGAAGTAAAAACATTGGAACGATATCTGTTCACCTTAGTTTGGTGCGTGGGATTCTGTTCTCTGGATAACTGGAAACAGTATTTGAGGACATTTGAGGTCATTATTACACACATTGTAATTACATGTCGAGAAAAGAAAAAAAGAATCATCAGAAGCGTACGTGCATGAGAGACCTGTGTAGAAGAAACTGGAAATTAAAGGGACATTAATGTAGAAGTGAGAAGAGAGCTAAAATAAGGTGTTGAGGAACGTGGGAGAGGATAATGATCATGAGAAGAAATGCGCGAAGTTGGAATTAAGAATAAACTGCAAACATGTCAAGGCATTGCAAAAAACGACAGCCATACGCAATCACCATTTCACAAACAGTAACTTTCCCACCATCGCTAACCGCATGCCTCTCTCGTTCTGTTGAGAATAAAATCGTACTTTCTCTTCCAAATTTAAACTAACCCAAGCCACCCAATCAATTCTCATTATCCAAATAATTAAATTGGTAAAGCTGTATGATTATATCAAAGAAATTATAACATGGTTGAGTGTTAATGTATAGTGCAATTAATATTAAGGGATCAGCATCTGTCGTTGTGATTATAAGCACTGATGATCTGAGGCCTTCAGGCATCAAGAAAAGTTAGATCATCCCTTTGTTCTTGTCATTCTGAGTTTTGAAGGTTAGTGTGAGTAAAAATGGAATTAATTAAGCACCGAACATTCTGATCCAGGGTAGCATCTCTTTCCCTCGCTAAAAGGCTGGAGTACAATATATTTAATAAAGAAAATTAATTTGACACTCGAACCCATCAATTCAATGAAAGCCATGCATGGCTCAAAAAAATTAAAATAAAAACAAGTATAAAATAATGGACCGTGGACATTGAATTTCTGATTTCCTTAGAGTGTACCATGCTTAATAGGGAGTATGATATAAACATCCTAAAAGGATAAATTAATTTAAATTAAATTTTAAATGTTAAATATGATAAAAAGATCCTAAAAAATTAATTAATTTAAATTAAATTCTCAGTGTTAAATTTTAAAAATTTTCAATTTAATTTTTTAATTTGCCAATTATATATTGATGAATTTATAATTTATTTTTTAAATTTTAACATGATTAAAGAATTAAAAAAACTTTATTTTCCCTATTAAAATTTAAAATACAAGTTATAAATTCATTTAAAATACAAGTTATAAATTCATCATAATAAAGTTACAAAATTAAAAAATTGAGTTATGAATTTCTAAAATTTAACACTCTAAATCTTAAATTAATTAATTATTTTGAAATGTCTCAGTCATTCTTTTTATTTAATAAGCATTAAAATGAAGAAATTTTGGTGGCAAGAGAAAGGAGGAATCTGGAAAGACACCTGTCTTGTCAGCGAACAGCAGAGATATATGCCAAAATTAATCACAAGTTAGTCTAATCTCTTCGAACGGAGCTGGCAAAAGAACCTTTAATTTGGAGAAAAAAAAAATCCCATATATGGTATCCCAGTTACATCATTGAAGAATCCGCTTGGAATAATTTGCCGATATTGCCTTTCACGTAGCATCAGAGCGGCATAAATGTCAAATAACGTCGTGGGGACGCGTCTGTCGCTACTCGTTACTGCCTAATTGAGTAAGGCATGGTTTTGGCTGTATATTAATATTGTGTCCTTATCTTGTAATTGTAACGTGTAAGCAGCACGGGGATTTCTTGGCTACTGATCTGAATGAGAAATTTATGCGCCACGTGTACCGTTCTTGTGTCCTCATCAATCCCTTTGGCCTTCTTTTGTTTCCCACAGGGAAAAAAGTTAATGGTCATGATTTTGTATTAGAGCTATTGGCGATAAGTTAAATGCACCCATTCAAAGAGTGAAGGGATAAATGAAGGCAGAGAGAGAAGAGGGGTGGGGGGTTAATCCACGTGGCAGACGTGAGTAGGACCGTAGGAGGGTTCCCTGAGGAGAGGAGGGAACCCACTCATTTCACTTCACATGGGCAACGTGATCCCAACCTACGTACATATGGATCTTCTCTGGATTCACTTCCAAGTTCCAACCATACTCGTAATTCCTAATTGCATGAATAAACTGATCGATGTTATCGGTTCTTCATTATAAGATGCAGTTAAGGATTTTGGGTTGATCCTAATTATATGGTCATATTGTCCTGTGTCTTCTACATTAAATTTTTCTCTTTTATAATATCCTTGTTTATTTGGACATTTTTATCTTCGCATATTAAAAAGTGTGGTTGCTTTTGAAAAATTATTGCAATTTTTTTTTTACATATACTAGCCACGAATAACAAGACGTCATATATAAAAATAAAATAAAATAAAATAAAGAAATGGATAGGGAGGAAGAGCACAAAGCATATGCTTTCATGTGGGAGTGGATTCTATGCAACCATTTTTACCAAGTCTTTCCCACTTTTACTTTATATATTCACATCATTACTCTTCACTTACCACTGCCCATTTCTAACTGCTCTCCCAGATGTTCTTCTGCCTCGTCAACTTCTTTCTTTTATTCTTCTTTCCGAAATTAATTAAGTTCCTCGTTTTTTTCAATCCTCTATTGTTTGTTGCGTTTTCCCGTACAATTACCCTCAACTTTTTAATTGAGGAAAAAATACTTCACAAAATCTCCATATCAAGAAATATGATTATCCAAGGCTTCCTTCGATCTTCTTCTCTAATTTAAGTTGCGCGTTGAAAGCGAGCACCAGATAAGAGCGAGGGGAGAGGGATAGAGAGAGAGAAACGCGTAGCGATTGGTGGCAGTATAGTAACGAAACGAACTGCACCAAACTCCCATGTAATCCTATACAGTGGCTTCCCGACAGACACCTGGCACTATCGTGTCCGATGGTTGACCCCATGGCCTTCAGGAACATGCCACGCGTACTCTTTCGGTACACGTGGCCCTCAGAATTTGAGGCCCCTAAATGTATACAAATGTGGCCATCATATTTATCCCAGCACAAAACCAAGGGCAGGGTTGAAAAATCATACAAGTGAGAAATCAAAATGCAGAAAGCGAAGCAAGCAGCGGAGTCTATGAAGGAAAAGGCCGCCAACATTGGCGCCTCTGCCAAGTCTGGCATGGAGAAGACCAAGGCCACCGTGCAGGAAAAGGTAAGCAACATGCCGCCCACACCGTGAACACATCCATAGTATATTCAACAAAATGCACAAAATTACTCCGATATTCTTAATGCCGAGGTTACCGAGATTTGTTGATCTGCCTGATCGACGTGGTTGAAACTTTTAACAGAAGGACAGGATGACGGCACACGATCCGACGGAGAAGGAGATGGCAACGGAGAGGAAAGAGGAGAGGATGCGTCAGGCAGAGCTGGATAAGCGGGAGGCGCGTGGGCATAACGTGGCGTCCAAACAGGCAGCTACGGTAGCACCGGGAGGCCACGGCGGCAACTATACCACAGGGACAGGGACCGGGGCAGGGACGACGGCCACGGGGGCATATGGACACCCAATGGCAGGCCAACAGATGTCGGCGATGCCGGGACACGGGACGGGACAACCAACGGGAGGACATGTGGTGGAAGACGTTGATGAGGTTCGAAGCCACAATACCAATACCCAATATGGAGGGAACAACAATGCACCTGGCTATGGTACTACTAGGTCTGGGGGTAGTTACAGCTAGACGACAACATGTGCAACGTATAATTATGCAAAACTGGTTTAGCTCGTTGTGGCCAGGTTTCACATTTGGATGGGAATGTATCTGTGTAGTCTCCCATATGTCCACCAGGATGTTGGTGAGACCTTCACTTTTGTTTCTTTCTTTCTTTCTTTTGTTTTTTGTTTTTGTTTTTTTTTTGGGGGGGGGGGGGCTGTGTGTGTTGTAACTATGTACTCTCCTGGTCTCTTTACTTTCTACGAATACAAGTGTCTGGTTGTGAAATAATGACGCTAAATTCACCGTTGTGTACTTTACCTAACTTGATGAGTTTACCCTTAACGTAAACCCGCGAAGGCAGATTTCTTTCTTTGTTTTTTTAGTAGGAACACCTGTGTTTATTTGGATATTTTTTGAAAATATATTTAAATTCAATTAGAAATCCTTAAACACTCATTATATATATTAAAATTAATTATGAATTTAATTTTTTTTAAAAAAATTAAACATTAAAATCAATTATGAAATTTTAATTATTTTTTAAAAATATCCAAACACCTCTTATTATGTTAAAATCAACTATGAATTAAAATCAATTATGAATTAAAAATATGATTTGTAAAATAAATTTATTTATTTTTGGATAAGTTTTTAAAAAATATAATAGAAAAATTGAATCACCTCTTATTATTTTAAAATCAATTATGAATTAAAAAATATGATTTGTGAAATAAATTTATTTGATTTTTGGATAAGTTTTTTAAAAATATAATAGAAAAATTGAATTGAAAAGTAGGTAATAATAAGTTATGAGATAATCATGATTTTAGGTTCATAATTGATTTTAGCATGTATGAGCTGTTTGAATATTTTTAAAAAAATTATGATTTTGGGTTCATAATTGATTTTGGCATATATAATAGGTATTTAGATTTTTTAAAAAACATAATTTTGAATTCATAATTAATTTTAACATATAATATGGATGTTTGGTTATATTTTCACAACATGGAGCATGATTTTACTTTATTTTCAATTTTGCTTTTTAATTCTAATTAAAGACAATCTTATTAATCAATTTTACAAATCAATTATATATCACATAATATAATTAATCATAATCAATTATACACAACTAATTGGCATATATAATAGGTATTTGAATTTTTTAAAAAAACATAATTTTAAATTCATAATTAATTTTAACATGTAATATTGATGTTTGGTTATATTTTCACTACATAGAGCATGATTTTACTTTATTTTCAATTTTGCTTTTTAATTCTAATTAAAGACAATCTTATTAATCAATTTTACAAATCAATTATATATTATATAATATAATTAATCATGATCAATTATACACAACTAAAATTTAAATTCACCCCTACTCACAAACAGCATACTATACTTCTAACTAACCCCTATCTTACTTAATTCACACCTATTTTTGAGTTCATAGGATGGAATTCAACACCTTATTTCAAAGTAGAAGATTCACGTTATTCAATCAAATGGTTCTTGCCCAAATACATATTTTTTTTTAGTATAGATATCTTGTATTTTTTTTTTGCAACCACTAGAGCTAGAATGGGCTTAGCCCTTTTAAACTCATTTAACACAAGGGTTAAGCTTCAATTTAATACCCTCTAATGACAAATCAAGCTTAAATGGGATGACCAACAGGTGCTTGGTCTTAGTAGTTCAGGACTTGGACAGTTTAACCCGGTGTCGTGCTCAAATCGTACCTTTCTCAATGAGGGAAGGTCAATAGATGTGAGAAAATGGGAGTCGTTATCAAAATTTTTAAAAAACTTAAAAAACTATATAATGAAAAAGAATAGTCTACGAAAAGGGTTCAGGAATTGATTATATGTAGAGAAGGTGTTAGGTACCTCACGACACCCATTTATAAGAATGGTTATCCTAAGTTGATTGTGTAAAATCAATTGACTTTTTAATAATATCTTAATTACTCTTTATTTCACATGGAAAATAAAGATTAAAAAATGAAAATAAATTATTTATTTATATGAGAGGACTTGACCTAGGATCAAAGTCGGCCTATGTACCATGTGATGGGGATCAAAGTTCATGTAGTTTGAAATATTATTATTTATTTTTTTAAATTTTGTTAATTAATTTCCTCATGAAAGAGTGTATTTATTTCTTAAATAAAAATTTGTTATAATGAAGTGCCTTTGGGTTAAAGAAAATAACCAATATTGAAAGTTGCAGTGATTTAATATCACTTACAATTCGTTGGTCAACGCTCTAAGTACATATAGTATCACTCATGACAAACCTTAAAGAAATTTTTAAAGTGAATTTTTTATATAATAATTTAATAATGGAATTTTTATACAAAAATTTGACACCTGTGATGACTTAATGTCATTCACGGTATCTCATTTGATATTTTTAAGAATACATAGTGACTTAGTATCACTTATGACAAATCCTAAAAAAATGCCAATAATTTTTTTATTATTTTTTTACCTACAATGGCTTAGTGTCATTCATCATATCTCATTCAAAAATTTTAAGTATTTATAGTGATTTAATATCACACATGTTATAGCCTAAAAATATGTCAATGAGTTTTATTATTTTTAAAATAATGCACACAGAAAATTTTCTTGAAAAGTGTGGTGGTTTAGTATACCCATGGTGATAGTGTGCCTATTGCTCAAGAAATTAATAATGTCACATATTTTTTCGAACAAATAATAATGTCATATTTTGTGATGGAAGAAAGTTATTTTTGAATAATCATTTTTTAAATAACACAGCGCAATAAAAGGGAAACTAGGAAGTGAAAAACACCCTCATCATGTTAACCTAAATGATGTAATCATATCCCCATCTTCTACCAAAAAAAAAATGATGTATTCATATTAAAACCACCATGTTCTCTCTCTCTCTCTCTTGATGAAATAAAACCACCATGTTCTTCCAACAGATGAACGCACAAATGCTTCTCACTTTACACGCAAAATAAATAAAAAACCAAGATGGTTACCAAAAGGGATAAAGAAAAAGAAAATAAAAGAAATATTACCAATCATCTCAAGAGTGGAGCATAATAGGCAAACCCAAAAATATAAAATAACTAAAATCAAAGTATATAGTGATATACACTACTGTGTCAAGCCACCTTCAGGTCTACAAAGAAAGTATTGTAAAAAAAAAAAGAAAATAAATAAACAATAGCTTCCAGACCTTGGATCTAGACAAAGAAGTCAAATGCCTCTAAAGTACCTTCATGAGTTTGCAACTTTACTCGAGACTAAGAGTAGAATATGGTAGCCTAGAATTCTCTCATGCTTTTCTCTTCTTTTAACCTAGGTTTTCTTCCCCCAATTTTCCTTTGCCCTCTCCTTTTATAAACCCAACTAGAATTTTTCTCCCATCAATAACTTAATCAATTATAATCATATCAAATTATTAATAATTTTAATTTGACTTTTGCCTTAATTATTTCATAATGAAATTATAGCATTTAATTTGATAAGACCATGATTGTGGAGATTTGGGGGCCATAAAAAAAGATTTTTGTTAACTTATGAAGATATTATTTTATTTGTTAAATTTTTCTATAAAATCATATTTTTTTTTTTATTTATTCAATTTACTCAATTTTATTGGGATTTTTTATTTATTTTTAATTTACATCTAAAAGCTTGGACAAAATATGGTATTCACACCTGATGTTTCGTATTCGAGTTTCAAGGTATGCAGCAGGGCATTGAGCTTGCAAAGCATGCCTCGCTAGTGGTACCCGCGAAACCCCCTTAAAGAGGGCCTCACTTGAGCAGAGATTCGAATATTCGGTAGGTAATAAACCCAACATACTCAAACACTTCAGGATACTAGGTGCGAAAGCCAAAAAAAAAATAAACAAGATGGCTCTAATGAGCTCAAAAGTAAGCTGACTAGCCTTAGCCGGTTTTTATTATTATTATTTTTTAAATTGAGTCCACTCCATGTCTCCTCCTCAGTCCTCACTACAAACCAATGTTTTGAAACCCGGACCGGACATCGAATTGAAAAGAACAATGGGTCTTGATTTTTATGGTCTAAACGGTTAGACCGGCGGTCGAACTGGTGACATAAAAATTAAATAAAAATAAAATTTATATGCGTAATTATATAAATAAAACATTAATTTGTCAATGGTGCTTGGGATCTCGACCCCAAAAGCTAGATGCTTGGATCGTTGGAGCTAAAGGTAGAGGCATGTCAATACAAGCTTATAATCTCAAAGGAAGATGTTGGAGCTGGAGGCATGCCATCATGTCATGACTCACAAGCGTTCGATCTCAATACTAGAGGTTGGATTTTTAGAGTTGGAGGCAGATGTTGGAGGAGAAGTTAGAGATTGAGTTTGGGCTATGAAGAAGAGATTAGAGATTAGAGATTAGAGAAGAGAAGAAAAGAGAGAATTAGTAATTAGAGAAGAGAAATTGTGAATCTAAATAACTCAGTCTAGATTTCTTTTCTATTTTTTTGGCTTTGAACCGGGTTGACTTGGGTTCGATTTTCGGGTCAAAGCCGGTTCTCTCAAAACCAGGCTGTTCAATTTAGGTCAATTCGGGTCAAATGTTAAATTGATTCAATTGATTGAATCGGACCATTTTGTTCAGCGGGTGACGATCGGACTGGTCGGACTGCCCGGTCCAATTCGGTTTTCACAACATTGCTGCAAACGTGATGCTTTCTCTCGCTTTCAATTCAACTTGACAGCTGTAATAAGCTCAATAGAAAAAGAGCTTCGAGTACTTAAATACTTAGTGGCAGGACTACAGGAGATAATGGAGGGCACGGTGAATTTTCCCAGCTCACCTATACCTTTAGTCTTGGTACTTCACAAGTCACAGCTCGTTCAATTAATCAATTTTTTATTCACTAATTAAGTTTGTTGCTGCTGTTATTTTGGTTCTGCTCATTAATGAAGGAGGAGGACTTGAGGAATAGTCAGTGAACAGAAGGGGAGCGAAATTACAGAAGTAGAGGAAGGCAGGTGTGTTTGCGTCAACGTGGGGATGGTTAGCGAAGAACATAATGACGATTGTGATAATAAAAGAAGTGGGGATTGTTGTTGCTATTATTAGGTGTATGTTAATATTATTAGTAGGAAATTGGATGTGCGATATTGGATTAATTTGATATGATGCTTGATCTTTGATGGCAGTAGAATGTGCTGCTCACGCTCACAAAAGAATAAGGCCATGAAGGCAACCAATATCTGTAGCAATGAACTTTTTTTTTTTTCCTTATTTACCTTTAGATGAATTTGATAAATGATTTTGCACTTTAACTTGTGATTTGATTTATGAATTTTATTATCTTAATTATCATATTTTATTGGATATTCATTTAAAGAAAATAAAAAGAAAACAACTAGTCAAAGTTTCAAGAGGCATTGGATTTTTTTAGGCCCGATCCTTTTAGGCCTCGGTCATCAAGGGTTGAATTAGCTTGTTTTCTTAGAGTTATCACCTACCCACTATTCCTTTCATTAAAAAGTGTAAAGACATTTTTAACTAAATTTTACTCCCAATAAAATAGTTATTTATTCTCAAATTAGCTTTATCTTTTTATATTTATCTCTATTTAATAAGGTATTTCATTCTAAAATAAATATAAAGTAATTTATTCAATATGAATACTTTTAAAAAAAATTAATGATTATACTTTAAAAGACTAAAAATGCTTTTTATTTTTTAACATTCAACCCCTTAAAAAATATTTTATATTTTTAAATAAAAAAAGTATGTGTCGACAGTATATTGGGTGGATGATGCTAGATACACTGCAATTGATGTCCTAGAAGTGGGAGAGAAAATGACAGTTTCTCCAGCTTAACCAAGGAGGGGAAAAAAATGAGAGAGAAAAAAAATTGAGAGAAAAATAATACATGAAAATAGAACTCATATGTTTTTACCTCTAACTTTTCTATTCAAATATAGAGAGATTTTGAAAGGAAATTTAATTTTTAAATTTATCCATGATTTTCATTTTAACTTTTCTTCCACTTTAGAATTTATATTATTATATATTTAATAATTTAAGAAATAAAATTTAAAATTGGATGAAATAATTTTTTTTGCTAGCATTGGATAAAATATTTTATAATTATATTTGTATTCAATCAGAAGTATATAATAAAAATTATATAAATAATATGTTAAAATATTAATTTTATTATATATAAATATTTTTCTATAAATAATATGATTATTAATGTCCATATGAAATTAACATTTTTTTTTCTTCTTCCTGTTTTTTCTTGCTTAGCCTTACATGCTGAGAGAAAATTATATCCATCTACTTTCTCTCTTTTTATCTTTCTATTCTTCCTATTTTTTCTTATGAGCCAAGCACAGCATAAATGAAAATTATAAAATTCTCAATATTTTACACTAACAGCTAGGTATATGTCACCTGCATTGCACATTTATTGAACTGGAACTGGGAAGTTCTTCGAGCGAACCATCGCATACCAATATTGTATATAAATAAACTAATATTTATCACTCATAAACTATACAGTATGGGTTTTTGAACTTTGATATTGTATATAGATGGTCTAATCATCTTAGAAGTATATGAAAAACGAAATTTATTTTTGCCTCATTCCTCATATTGAATTTTACAAGTAAAATTCGAACCTGATTTTTTTATTAAAAAAAATAGGTGAATCAAGTTTAAGGGTCATCCAAGTCAGACAAGGCTTCTCTCCTATTGCTTCTTTCATGTCCTCTGCTGATTCTCTATGATATATTCGGCTCTCATTTAGTAATTTGACCAAAACACTGGCAAATTGAATCCGTGCGTTACTAAATGGGCGAAAAGTATGCTGCATTAAAAAATGCCATTGATTCAATTGAACTGATTAACTTTTTATTAAAAAAAATATAATTTTAATCCCTACACTTTACTTATATTTTATTATAAATTCATACACTTTTTTTTCAATGCTCTAAGTCCTTACAGTGTCATTTTATGGTAGTCTAAACTCTTAAACGACCAAAATAAACAAAACATAAAAAATACCAAAAATAAAAATGTAGGAATTTAAAATTTCAAAAAAACAACTTATAACAAAATACAAACAAAATACAAAAACTAAAAATTATATTCCCCTTTTAATATATAAAGTTGGTTTTGAACATGCAATTTTATTTTATTTTCATCAATTTTACTTGGGTAAGAAGTCTTGAACTGGGAAGTTCTTCGAGCGAACCATCGCATACTAATATTAGATTCGGCTTGGGCCATCAAACACAATAATAGACTAATAAAACAAATATCAAGAGAACATGCTTCTAAAACGAAGATAATGGAAAATTTGGCAATTAGAAAGGCCGACAAGAAGTCAGGAGAAAAACCCTAATAGAGGAGATTCAGTCAGTACCACTAATTGGCAATGCACAACAATGACAGGATCGCTGCCTAGTACAAGGCCGAAAACAAATCGTATCCAATCACGGTGAAATTCATACTCCTGCTTTACGTAATTCGGCAGCCCCATGCGCAAAGTGACATCTTTCCCCAAAGGTGCAAGATCCTTTAGCAAAATTCTCGCACAGCTTCGTCTTGTAGTTACTTCCATGTGAACCTGGTGCTCCGGAAACGCCATGAGTTTTAGGTGGCGCCGATATTGATAATGTCACCAGCAACTCTTTTACCATGTTGCTCGCATTCTTAATTTGCTCAAAACTACCTTCAAGTTCGATGTTCCTTAAATTTGGATCTGACTCATGATCCCGAATTGTAAGTTTGGCTCCTGTTTGGCGGCAGATCTGCTTCGAGTTCACACCACCCTTTCCTATGATAGCTCCGGCCAATGAAGCTTCAACACTGATCTTAGCAGTGGCATTGGCACCAAAACTACCAACAGGACCTGGAGGAGGCTCCATCCGAGAAGCTGAGCGGCTGGAAATAGGTCCCATAGTACGATGATCATCCACTGATGTAGCAATAGGCTTACCAAGTTCCCATTCACCATGGGCAAAGTGACACTTGTCACCAAACTTACAGCCCTCAGCAGTATTGTATTTATTGCATATGCGGGTTTTAACAGTGGGTGGTGCGGTCCCATTGGGGATAGGTGGAGGGACAGCAAAATTTCTAGACGCCGGAGGCACAGCTGGTGTCAAATTCATCATCTGGGCAACAGCGTTATAACCACCTGGAACATAGTGCAAGAAGTGGCAGCTCTCACCAAACGGGCAGCCAGCAGTGCTGCAGTACACAGCACAATATAATCAGATCACACCAAAATACTGATTAATTGCGTAAGAATCTGGGTCCCCCTTTTTCACTCTTTTGAGGTTAAGATGGACTTGGTATTAATAAACTATCCACAGTTCCACCTTTCTCAACTCATCATGCAAGAATATAAATTTATAATGACGGTTACTTAATTACCAAGACCTAGCAAGCAATGGAATGAAACTTCAGATCAGCAACTGACTAATTCACTATTTATTCAATCATCCAATAAAAACATATGAATTTTGCTCGGAAGGAAGAAGTAAAAGCAACAGTTCCTCGACTATAAAAAGAAAAGGGAACAAGAGGAGCAGTGACACTTAGCCAAACGTGTCTAAGAAGAGATGAGTAAAGTGACGCAGATGCATCAAACCCCACTTTACAAGTCATTACAATAAAACCAGTGGATGCTCCAGAAACAGTCAGCGAAGGAAGCAACCAAGGTTCCTTTGAGAGAGATTTAAGGTCGCATTTCTAACTTGAAAGTGAAACCCAAAATATTTTGAGAGGCCTGAACTAATACTATTCTGAGCCCTCAAAATTAGAAGGCACCAGTTGCCAATAATAATAAGAACAGCACTATGCAGGCAGTTAAATTTGTAGAAACATTAGCAGATCAAGAAGTCACCCTCCCACCATGAGCAAAAGAACCGAATCCGAAGTTAACAAAGAAAATCAGAAATTTCATAAGAAAGATTCCAGACAATGAGCAACAACTTGATAAAATTCACAATTGGTTATTCTATGAACGTTTCACTCAGTCCCAGTGTGAACTTTGTCGGAGGGACAGCGCGCGCGCGCACAAGAAGTGTAAAACCATGATCGCATGAATTCACATCATGCCTAACCCAACAAAGTTTACATTAGTTCATTAGTCTCTTACCAATTGAAAGGTGAGTTCATAAGCTTAGGAATGCACTAAAAGCAGAAAAATTGCCATTACATATCCTCTAATTGAACAGGAATCGCCATGTCAAAAATTAATGGCACAATCAGAGAGAAAATGAACTAATTATCTTTGGTATTATGGTCTTAATGCCGACTACCCTCTGCACGTCTTATCTTTGTGGTACTCCATAAGTGAACCACTAATCTGTTAAAACAATTAGAACAAAGAACGGCATGTAATCTACACGTATAAAAAGCTTTAAATACCCTGTTAATGTTCAGAATTACTTGATCTAGTTTTGTAGTGCTTGAAGAATTAATTCTTGCAAGAACTTATTACATTATTTAGAATTTAGCTAGAAAATATGCAGTTCAATATATTTATCCAGACAGGAATAGATTAGAACCTGAAAAACTTGGTACATGGCTTCGATTTGCTTCCTACACCAGATGATAAGGAGTCCATTTCTGTTGCAAAACATTAATTACCTTTTCTCAGTTGACATTCGGTGGCTTATTGATAAAACACACTCTACGCCGAAATGTTAACACTTTAAAAATACTTTGAATTTTATTTGAAACAAAAAGACATTCATGAAAATCATATAATTAATTATTGTCAACTGATTAGTGAAGGCAATAGTGTCATCAAACAGCGATCGCTATCATGGTTGCTAATAAAAAAAAATTTCCTATCAAGCAGGGAAGATAGGTATTTGATATTTCAGAGGCCCTAATTACGATAAGAGGCATTTATTTCGTGTCAGGGTAATTGTAGCCACAATCCCCACCATACCAGCGAACCTTACAAATTGAAAGAGCAGGAAACCCAAAAAAAAAAAGGCACTGAAAAAATTAGTGAAATTATTAGTGAACATACCTCCAAAGAATGAGGCATCTCTTGTGCACAAAGAAAAAAGAAACGGGAAGCAGACAAATCTTCAGATTTTAATGATTTTTAAACAAAAAGACACCAAATTAAGGTGATGAACTGGAAAATAACTTCAATTACATCATTTAAGGTAGGGAAAGCATCCCAGAAACAAGAAAAAAGACGTGCACAACACTGTCACAAGTCAACCATAAAAGCTAACTAGTCCCGACAACAATAAAAGAAAGGCCACGAAAAGAATAAGCAGAAAACAAAATGCTTTTAAAAACATAACACGCGACAGGACACGTCGGAACACAAAGAAACCTTCAACGCTTGAAAAAAATAAAAATGCGAGTGGAAGAGTAAGCAAGCTAAATCACAAACCTTGCTTGGACTTCTTGGAAGCGCCGTTAACATTGGCTCCAGCTTCAACCCTCCCTCTTTTGCGGGCATCCATATATGCAAGAAGTAGGTCAAGATCGGAATGAGAGGACGGCCTCAATACGAAAGAGAAAATTGAAGACGCAATCCAGAAAAGAAAAAACTTAAATTACAGAGAGATCTAGTTAACACCTGGGGAGCACAGCCCAAACCCTAGAAGAGGGTTTTGGAGACACAGCTGGAGAGGTTTCGAGAGAGGGCGGTAAAGCTGCAGAAAAGATATATATAGTAATAATAAGACAATGGTGTTTATTACAGACACAACGAATAAAAATTGAGGTTTTTTTTTTTTTTTGCCACAAAAGATAGGGTTTCAAAGCAATTTAAGTTGGATTCCGCGGGAGAAAAAGAAAGAACACAATTCGCCTTCTCGGACAGTTCCCACAGTCTCTCTCACGTGCTCCAACAGCGGACGCGAGAGCGTTGTAGACCAGTAAATCTAGAATGTCATGTCCCCAATGGTGGTGATACGTGTCAACTTTGGATAGTCACAATAATGAGCACTGTGCACTTATAAACTTATGATTGTTCAAAATTTATTTGGACAGTCTAATTTTATAGTTTATATATACATATATATTTATATATGTATATATTAAATGATTTTATTTTTTTAAAAATTTTGACAGTTAAAAAATCATTTTAATTTTAGATCTCACACTTATTAAAATAATAAAATTTAAAAACATAATAATAGAATCAAATTTGGACCACTTACATTTAATTTTGATGGTCAAGAATTGAGATGAGCATGGCATGGAGTGTGAAAGTATGTAACTGAATTTCTATTAGGAGAATTATAGTTAAGTCCTACATAAAGAAATTAATTATTGCAAGGTCAATTGACAATTGAATTAAACTACATTAATAATTGATTATGTTGTCAAATACAGTTTAATTCAGTTGTCAATTAATCTTACAATAATTAATTTCTTTATGTAGGACTTCAATGTAATTGTCCCATTTCTATTTCTCACTTCTTTGTGCCATTTAATAAGAACCAATCTTGACTACCCATGTGTTGCACAGAGAGCATTAACTATTTAGATATTAATAATATTCAATGTGCATACTTTATTTAAATTTATATAATTAATTTTCTTACATTTTCATAAAACTTTAAAATATAATGGACTAGTCACACCAATTATTTGATAAAACTAATATGAAAATAGTGGATGTAATCTCAAATCAAAAAAACTGTGGAAGTAATTAAGACATTGTTAATATTATTTTTTCTAACATGTTTTAAAGCTTATAATATAATTAGTGAGTTCATTTTTCATAATATATTTTTAATACAATGCCACCTTCCTTTTCAAATAAAAAAAATATACAAGAGTGACATTGTTTAATAAAGATTGATCAGGCAATATATTTATGTCAAAGGGATGTCATCATGATATTCTATACTTATTATCAAACTTTTCAATAAAAACTTCTACTATTTTCTTAACATTTATTCCTCAGGTGATGTCCTAAAAAAAGACTTAAATAGTAGTTAAATACTTTTTCTATTTAAAGATATAAGATATTTTTTAAAGGATTGAATTTTTAAAAATATAAAAAAATTTAGTATTTTAAGATATAATCATTGCATTTTTTTTTTAAAAGTGTCCTTATTAAAAAGTAATCAATATAAAAAATAAGGTCAGTTAAAAAGTAGGTAATTATTTTATTAAAAATTGAGATTTAATTAAAAATATTTTATATTTTTAAATGGAGGAAGTATCTTATTTTAAAATCAATTAAAGCCTACATGCAAACTACCTACTAATGCTGACGGCTTCCTCTCCTCGAACATTAACACTGTTCCATAAAGTAAGCAATGAAAAGTAACACTTCATTAGCAGTCTCATCTTATGCATTCTCTTACCTATCAAAATATGCTTTATAAGAATAGTATAATTGCCTCTTCTAACACCTCATAAATAAATTATTGTCATATTATACACCCTTTATATAATCTAATTGATAATCATGACATACATAGTTAGTTCAAACTTTATTGAGCAATTAGTTGAGCCATTCATCTAAAGTTGTCAATTTTACTAAACATCCATTTTCATGACTGTCATAGCAATACAATTTATGACGGTTTACTATCCTAAGCAAATTTTTTATTTAGATTTTTTAATTGTTTTTGTAAGTATCAATAATTAAAAATACATTGAACTACTTTTTCCCGTTTAAAGCCGCTCAATTTGAGACATCATAATGCTCTCAAGCAGTTTTCCTTATCTCTGATATTGGCACTATTTCATGATAAAAAACTATTGGCTTGCGTCTATTAAGTCTTATCTTTTATCCATATATAAACTTCTCAGCTTTGTTCCCAAATAAATTTTTTATTTTTATTATTATTATTATTATACTACTACTACATATCTATTTATAAGATAACATTATTCCTTCTGACAGTACATTGTAGCAAACAATTAGGCTTGTTAAGTAAACTTGATTAAACTAAATATAATCTAACAGTTATTGAACTACTATTGTAGCTATAAACAATAACCTGCCTTTTCAAGAAAGAGTGCCCCATCAAGTTGCTATCCAATATTAAATGCAAAGACTAAAATAAGAAAATATGCCAACGTGATTCCTCCATAGCTACCATTTCTAAAGAAAGTGAAACCTATTCAACTGAAATTATCTGTCAGAGAGCCATCAAGATGACAAACTAAAGATATGTTGCCCAAGACCCTATGCAAAGCTACCACAGGCTGCGAACTGTGCGCAGAGAACTCTATCATTGTGATGCAATGAAATGAAGCTTCGTATGCTTTAGACTACAGATATTAAGTGTTATACCAAAACCCACATACCCTGCACAAAAACAATAAAAGGACTACTTGATAGCAAAAGCACAAAATCAGAATCCAAACCTTGAACATCTTATATAAAAAGCAGACCCAAATTCCCTGCATAAACTTCCCGTTTAAAGGATTACATCCTTAAATCTCTGAATTTAAAGACATCATTTACCAACTATTGGAACCTTCAGAGGAGCGTAGCTATCCCAGAACAAAAAATATCCCCAGTGTCCTCATTTGAAGTTATGGAAAGCCTCTCTCAATCCTTTCAGTTTCAAATAAACCTGAAATCTACCAAGAACATTAATTTAATTTTAAACAACTAATTTATGTAAATATATGTGTGCGTTTTCAAACTTTCCCATCAACTCCAATGCAACCAAAAAACTCTCAAGATTAGACCCAAAAAAGATATAGAAGTCGCATCAAACTGAAACATAAACAAAATACCTTTACACGAAAGAACAAAATTTATCGACGAATAATTACAAGAAAAAAAATTCAGGTTGGACAGAGATGATTTAATATTTCACTTCAAGGCTATCCCAGTTTTGCAAATCCACAAATACTATATACCTACAGAATGCCTTAGCAGATATAAAAGGGTAAAGATTATTTGACAGATGCACATAATAATTCTGTCCAAGGATCCCAAATCCATGCAAAACAAAGAGCACAATTTCCATTAGCTCCAAACACTGACATCTAAAGTATTAGAAAAATTATTAAAATCTGAAATGATGTACACTTGCCTTGAAGGCTGTGAAAGATGGGAAGATTGGAGCTGCAAGGTCGGGATTCAAAAAGCTATAGGAAAGAATCCAGCGATTCGAGATTTATACACAAATGGAAAATAGGATGAAAAAAGTTGAAGCCAATTCAAGTGTAAGAATCATTTCCAATAAATGCTACATGTCAGGTTTTTGACTAAAAAGAGAATGCTACATGTCAAATGATAAAAAAACACATATGATAGATCAAATAAAAACTTTATGGTTATTTCCAGTTGAGGAGTTAAAATTAAAATTCTTTCAATGAAGGTGCAAAAGTCAGAACTCAATAAATATATTTATGAATAAAATACAAGCATTCAATTGCATGCATCGTGTGAGAAAAAAATGGAGAAACATGGAGGTAGAGTACAATACATTATTTTAAGACTTAACAATTTTTTTAAATATGATCTATGTTGACCACACGATGCTTGTTTAATATAAGCCATCTGATAAAGAAATTAAATGAGCTATTTAATGGAAGCCTGATTTCATAGAGTTTGAAAAAATATATCATTAAAATGGCATGAAGTTTTACCAAAAAATAAAAAAGCTGACACTACTTTTGTTGCATCAAAGAAAAGCTGCAAAAAGCTTACTGTCACTTTACATTTCATTTTCTTTATATTGGTTATAGACCATATCAGATACACCGTTAAATGAGTCAAGAACAACCACATTTATTTAGTTTATAATAAAAAAAATCAATACATTCAAATTTAAAGTTGCCATCTTCACACTTTTTTTGTAAGCTTAAAAAATGCATTCATCCTGGCCTTTCAATGTTACTTTCTGTAGCTCTTTTTCTGCCATTTGGACGATATCATGAAGTGGAATGGTAGAGTTTTTTGTTTTTTGTTTTTTTTTTTCCGGAGGGTTATGGCCTTTCATCTTTTACTGCCATACATGGGAATGGTCCAGCCAATTTTATTTCTCATTTGTTGCACGTACCCGAATACACTGGAAATGGCTCACCCAAGCTTAATAAGAAGTTGTTACTGTTCACGAAGCCACATCTCATATTCATAAAATAGCTTTGTGGACAGTTTTTTTTTTTTTTTTTGTGTGTGTGTGTGTGAGAGAAGCCACTTTTTCTTCTCCATGGCTTGGTGGAATTACTTTCTTAGATGATAATAGAAATAATATATAATAGATATATTGATATGTCAAAGAATTCAATCACCTACAATGGCAAGTTCCATTCAAAAAATGTAAATGGGTTACCTGGTAATTAGCACCAATCAGTCAATCAATATATATAGTTAAAAAAGAAGCAAAAATAAATGAGTTACAAGTGAATCCATGACGGAGATAGCATCGTCATGCTATATTCCCATAGAAGAACCTGGAAATAATACAACATGAATTATTCATAGCATGTTAACATGTAAAGACATAAAACTTAGTCACTCATCAACTAAAACAGGCGGTCAAGAAAAGTAGAAAAATCTAAGAAATATCATGCATCCATGTCTCATAATTGAGGCAACTAAAACATAAAATTAAAAAAAAATGGAGATTTTGTAAACTTATAAAGAACTGAATGCTTCTTCCCAAAAAAAAAAAAAAAAACTGATAACTCAAAATTAGACAGCCTCTCTTTCATTAAAAGAAAGGACCAATGAGAAGAGAGAAATCTTTGGATAAACCAGCAAACTCAGTTTCTTTCTTGAATTTAAGTCAACATCCAAAGCAATTAGTTTTAAGAATTCCCAAGGCTAGAGTTACAAACCTTTGTACTTTAAAATCTGTAATATGGGTATTTGGTAATTAATAAACCTTGACAAGTTCAATGCTTTAAAGATTGCCTCATTTGCCTTCCGATCTTATCTGTTACAGAAAATATGATTAGAATAAAGAATTTAAAAGAAGCTCAAATCAACTATTCAAGAAAGTAGGTAGTTTAAGGACAAAGTCAGCGTGTGTGTGTATGGAGTGGCCTAACTTCATGTTAAAAACCAAGAAAGCACACAAATTTGATACCGTGTAAACCTCTCCAAATCCACCTTCACCATCCTTGTTATCTGCAAAGAACTTAACTGTGGCTGCGACATCTGTACAAAAATTATATTGCAGTGAAATTGGAACCACAATTGCAACAATTGCCCCTGATGAGATCCCACTTTTTCCTATATCATCCAGAAACACAAAAAGAAAAAACATTTAATAAGGTAAATTCATTACAATAATTAGGATTATCATGATCCATTACCTTCTCGAGCTATGGAAATACCATGTTGCCCAAAACGATGATGTTTCCAGAGTCACCCAACTTCCTGGCAAACTCCGAACCTTGATCTTCATTCTCGCATCCTTCAACGTAGATTCTAACATATTCAGGGGAAGAAATGGAGGTCTCAGGGATTTTTCTCAGTGTGGCTTTGAGCTTCTTGAGCTGAGATGATCTCAAAATCTTCCTCACGTCCTTCACAGAAATTTCGTATAGTGGATCAGTAGTGGCGGAAGGGCTAAGACGGCGATTGTCTTCGGTAATGTTGATGCCTTTAAGTTGAGGAAAGTCAAAATGCTCTTCTGCTGATGCCATAAGGTTAAAGGCAGCCCTACGATGGCCGACAAAGCAAGAGCATAAGATGTCACAGAAGGAGATGTGGAGATGCGACGGGCCACGGTTACTTGCAGCTAAACCCTAGCAGGAAAGGGGGCAGAGCTTCATAAGCTTCTTTATCATGATAGAAGATTAAGGCCACCGGGAAGCACGCAGTTACTTTCACCGCAAAGGAACTCAGATGAAGAATGCTGGCGGATTGAACGAAAATGGGATGGTTGGCTGGAAGGAAATGAGAGGAGAAAGGGCACGAGCGATTGAAAGTGGAAGAATGAATTAGAGAGGAGCCTGTTGAGTGGGTCATAGAAGGGGCTATGAGTTTTTTGGGATTTGGTAAATAAGAGTACATTCATTGTCGATCAGGGTTGCTTGAAGAAACCAACGGATCATGTCACCTTTTATGATTGGAAAAAGTAAGTTTAATTTCAAATTTTTAGAGGGAGGAAAATAAAGGGAAGTTTAGTCACATGCAAAGGATATAAGCATAAGGGATGGCAGACTTGGACGTGAGTTACTCTTTGGAATAGATTTCTACATTTGTCCAAGGGCAATTATGAATAATCATCCGTTAAAGAGATGTACCTTCTGAAGTTACTACATGCACTTTTTCTCCTTTAACATTGAATTGGAAAAAACCATAAAACACCCCTGACCTCCTTCATATTTTCCAAGACATGTGGAGGAGTCTTATTTTGCATCTCTTAAAAATGCCAATATTACGTTAGGTTACCGTTCACAAGAATTCATTTTTGGAATAAATTTTTATAATATATTGATGATTAAACTGAGATCCTGATCCATATGCTTGAATGTGTTCACCATTTTCGTCTAAAAAACAAAAAATGTCGCACCATGCAATTTTTTCGTCCATAAAAAATAATAATAACAATAAAAGAAAGATTCATTCTTCATTTATATTATATACCACCTGCGGACCATTTGGTTCATTTTAATCCAAGAAGATTTTTACTTTTATTTTTCTTCCATCCAAATGAAGTCTAAATCCATCTTTCATGTCATGCTCCTTTAAAGAGTAGTCTGTTACGGGCTACGGACACAATTTTATGGTTTTTGCCAAGAAAATATTCACAAATCTTAGTTCAATAAACTTACTCCATAACCGTTCATCCACACAACTCAATAAAGTAAAAACTTGTTAGTATTGTCTTCGTCTAACCGCACAGATTGCCTGGGCAAACGTAAGACAGCGATAGAATTCTAAACAGGTCGATTCTGATCAATTGAAAAATGGTATAGCTGATGTTCTTTCATGTTAAATAATTCCAGATGTTGGAAATGGGATCAATGAACAGTCGCTAAAAGACGACGTGTTCAGTTTCAAAACAAAATGATGATGCAGTGGAAGCACTCTAGCAAGGGCACATCACAAGACTGGTGAAGGGACGTCACCTTTTCTTTAACGCCATAATCATAATACCTCAGTCCTTCCAATGGATAAAATTTACTCGTCAAAATTTGAACTGAAGCCTTAAATCAGCATTAACAAATTATTGATCTTACGTTCTACAACTGCCTATGTATCCTGAACCTCAACCGTTTTGTCCTGCAGGCTCGTGTGGATGCTCCTCTAACATTCCCACCTTCTCAACAAGTTGTCGAGTAATTTAACTTCAACTTGTTTTTGCATATTCTGAAAACGATGAATCCAAATTTCTCATGCCCAAGGAGCTTGGTAAAAACATATTGAGCAATAGTCAGCCCTGGGTAATTCATGGATTGACCAATAATAATAACATGCCAGGAGTAACCCAGTAATCAATGGCGGCGACGGAACATTCAGATGTTTGAGTCAGGCTTGGTTTGGTGGTCTTATCCAATGTCGGTATATTCTGGCAATTCTGAACAATCATCAAGGCCTGAGATTAAGCCAGCAACGAAATCATGTGGAACCATGCCAAAAGTCTCTGTTTCCAACGAATTTTCCTCATTCAGGACAAAGGGTAGATTGCAATCCATATTATCAGCCCCCGCTTCGTCCATTGCTAATGAATTAAGATCAATTCTCAGATCCTTGGCTTCAAGTGATGGCATTGACTGGAATAATGGCTCAACCCGTTGGTGACGCATCTCACAAGTATCTGATGAATTTCGTTTGGACTTTGACTTAGAAGGCTTAATGGAGTCTGAGATGGAAGACTTGTGCTTCCCCGAAGCTTGTATCTTGGATCCTGCTCTGGACCTTGCATCATTTGTTGGGAATACTGATGAAGCCCATCCACAACTATCTTCCCCGCAAGCTCTGGCTGCCTCCCTGAGAAAAAGACATTACCTGTGAGCATCCTCCCACAAGCAACAAACTACAGATTGGATGGGCTTTAGGCCCCTTTGGCTCACTAAAAAGTATAAATATAATAAAATACACGAGAAGGAGGAGGAGGAGAAATTTCAAGCACCATTTTCTGTATTATTCAAAAAAATAACACCACATAAGTCATCAAAGACAAGCGATAATACTCAACATCCACTAATCCAACCAAGACTAATTTATCAAAGACATCAAAGCATATAACAAATAACCATGCCTTTGTATCCAGCCGTACCTGAAACGATCCTCAGCAACAGATCCACAAGCTCTAAGATGATTATCTTCCCCAATAGGGTAAATTAACGATGGTAGGGGTTCCGTCTCCTGTATAGATAAATTTATAACAGAAGGGAATGAGATTAAGGTGTCATTCTCTTCTTTCGGGAATTCCAGAGACACAACCAGCTGATCTGTGGTCAGTGGCACATTGTCACTCTTATTTGAGAGGGAGATTTTGTCATGCTGCTGCCTACTGCCGGTGTCATCAAGTGCAGCAGCCAATAACTTTCTGCTCTCTGCCAGATTAGTGACCGTCATCCTTTCAGAAGGCTTCTTCATAAGGCTCTGAGAATTATGCCCGGTGGAAGTAAAGAAACCATAGTGGCCATTTTGTGTGGGGGGCGGATTTTGCCTTCGGTCAACATGTGATCCTGCCTTCCACACAGAAGAAAGCAGTGCAAAAAAATGCTTTTGCAGTAATAACTCCCTATTTTCCTGCTCAGAGGCGACATCTAACAACATCCTAATGTTATCCTGCCAGAATAACCAATATGTAAGTGACAATTGCTACTCAATTTCCAAATTCAACAAAAGAAACACCAGATTGGAGATTTTAAATATTATCCATATTCCAAATAAACAGCATCAGTAATGTAACATCCAAACGATGGCATGCAAATAGAAAACATGTGGAAATCAACATTAACATCTTAAAATTGACATCTTTACCTCTGTAACTTTAAGAAGAGACTTCCCAGAGCCAGCATTGTTGCCCCTCTCGTGATTAGCATTGTCTGTCATGGACAAAACATATTTTTGGACTAGTTCTCTGAATCTCTCGCAGCAATGGACAGCATGACGGTATCTCCCCCTGTATGATCCTCCAGCAGTCATACCGTAGAGTGTTTCACTAACCAAGCTCCAGTTAGAACCATATTCATGAACAATTGCACATAAAATTGCATCTTCCTGTGGCAACCAAAAATCAGCTGACGGAACCCCATCTTTGGACCAAGCATTACCCTTCTTCATTTTTTCTGGTTTTATTGTCAGAATACGTTTGACTGGCATTGGAGTTATGGTTATTTTCCCTCCCATCTTACTCCTGCTGGGAGGTTTCTGTTCAGATTCAATCATACCTTCATATTGCTTTGATTCTGCATGTTCATCCGGCAAACCTAACAAGGCATTATCTGAATCTGAAGCACAAATATCAGCAGCCCTCTTGGTTTTCTTGGACTTCTTTATCGTCTTCTCCTCTTCACCATCAGCTATAAATTTAGGCTTTTTACGTTTTTTCTGCATAGTTGAATTTGGAGATGCATGGTCCAGACTAGTGACAATCTCATCATCTATTGACATCGGGTCTATTTGTGGCTCTTCTTTCATAGGCTTGGATTCAGAGGCTAAAGATCCTTTCTTCAGCGATTTAAACTTGGTTTTCTTGGGTTTCTTTTTAGGCCTGGGCTTAGAATCCCTTGGTGTTTGAATTCTGCCAAAACATAAATAATTCATCATCCTCAAGCATTTCCAAATTTAGGAAATCACTTATTTCAATTTACACTGCCAATATAATAAAAAAAAACGTTTCAAATAATTTAAATAATTTGGCGCAGGGGACAACAACAATAAATGAAAACTCTTACTTTCCAGGATCACAATTTTCTTCATCAGCCTCTTCTTTCTGCTTAGCCTCATTCTCAAGTTCCTCCATTAACTACAGAAAAGGAAAAGAAAACATATTGAACTATACCCACATGAAGATGGATAAAGAAAGAAATATTGAAGTTCATCCAATTCACCTGATGTTGAGCCAAGGTCTCTACTTGCTGCCGATATGCCTCAGTCGCAAAATCAGCATCCCATCCTGACATTATACATAAAAACACTTTAATCTCATGTTATGTCATGCTTGAAGGATGACTAGAAGTCAAAAGTGCAGCATGCCATCAGCAGCACAAGTTCAAATTTACTTGACAGCGATCACCAAACATCACTAGTAGATTACATTACATAATACTAAACCCATTTGGATGGTTAAAACTGTGATGAACACAAATATGAAATTCACTGCAATTATAATCTCATATGCCAGCTAAACTCAGCAAGAATAAGAGAACAGTTTTCCTGCCAGTAATTGGGCCCGTTTGAAAACCTGTTCTGGGAACAGTTTTCTGTTTTCTAGAATAAGAGAACAAAAAAATCTGTTCGTAACGTGTTTTCAAAAAAGTGTTTTGGAGAACAAAAAAATAAAATAGTCATGAATAACAGAAAAATGAAAATAATTTTTAAGTCTCCTGGAATTATTGTTCTAGAAAACAAGAAAGAATGAGAAAAACACATATTTTCATTATTATTATTATTTTTTTTGTTCTCAGAACATGTACTACAAAACACCAGTTTTCAGAATACTAAAATAAAAACAATTTCAAACAACCCCTTAGAGCCTTCATGATCAAATCACAGTCCAGTCCAATAACAACTATGGATTTGGATCCATTAGATTGAAAACTTGTGAAGTTAGTGAGGTTGAATGCAAAGTATCATTACCGTGCATATAGCAATGACACTTTGCATTCAATTTCACCAACTTCAATTTAAAAAATATGTTCTCAGACAACCACCCTATATCTGTTAAGTTTTATATATAAATAAACATAATCTATCATGGTATGAAGCAAAAAGGTTATAAACAGGCACATACTTTCATATACAAGAGGTTCTTCATCTTCATCAATTTCAGCTTCCATCTCCTCCTTGTACTTTTCAATGCGATCCAATTCCCATTCTGTATCCTCAAACCTAACTTCAGATTCCAAGGCCGCTTTATCTATAATTGGATCCCACACCTCCAGAAATCGAATGGCATACCGATCAATTGGGCGTAGCTGGTTCTCAAAGGCTGATATAGCTTGTCCAGCAGCAGCTGCAGCCGCAGCCATCTGTTTGACATCAGCTAGCATGTCAACATCATCATCTTTGATAGATACAGAGAGATGTCTTTCTTCCTTAGGATCACTTCCAACTAACATTAATGCATTCTCCTTACTTGACTTGGAAACTGATTCAGCTAATTCTGAAGGCTCATCCACTTTAATATCATCTTCATTTATGTACTCATCCTCATCAAGTCTCCCAATAGCTTCTTCTGTGAACTCCTGATTTTCCACAGCTTCTTCCAGTTCTACTTTCTTCAATGCCATATAATCTGCTTCATCTTCAGCATATTTCAATGCTGCCTCCACATCTGCAATACTTACAGAAGCTTCATCCCCACTGTTCTGGCTTTTCTCCTTCTGCATATTTTTCACAGGAACTGTTCTATGACCTGAAAATAACTCCATGGGATCAAGCTTCTTGAAAAATTCAGTATTATAACCCCCACTCTGAATAACTAAATCATCAAGTGCACGCTTCTGTTTTGCTTTCTTCAATATATTCTCTTCGATGGTGCTTTCACTTATCAATCTATAGATATGAACTTCACGTGTCTGACCAATCCTATGGCACCTATCTTGAGCTTGTTGATCCATAGCAGGATTCCAGTCACTATCATAGAAAATAACTGTGTCAGCTCCAACTAGATTGATACCAACACCCCCACTACGGGTTGACAAGATGAAAAGAAAAATTTTGGGGTTTGTATTAAAACGTTGCATCAAGGTCTGCCTCTCTTCTGGTTGTGTTGATCCATCCAATCTCATGTAAGTGTAACCATACAAATTAATGAAAGCCTCCAATATGTCAAGCATCTTTGTCATTTGTGTGAATATCAATGCTCGGTGACCTTCTGATTTTAATTTCCTCAACAATCTTGCAAGTTCCTGCAGTTTCCCACAGTCAAATTGGATAAGACGCCTATCTGGGAAATAAACCTGCCGTCGGACAATTGCTGGCCTGATTGGTGACAGAAGGGGTGACAAAGCTTCAGAGCATTTCTGCTTGTATGATGGATGAAGAAACACAGGCGTTTCACTTCTACTGCACCAGCAAACAGGAGGTGGAGCTCGTGCTGCTGGAATTGCAAACATGAAACTTTCAACCACATCAACCATCTTTTGGAACCGTTCAATTGGTGAGAGGACAATGTCAGCTAGCTTTGAGGAATACCTGTATGACCTAGGGTTAGCCTTCACCTGATGAATGTCATATACAGGATGCCTAATGGTAAGAAGATCCTGAAGGGTTGTTGAATAGACAGGCCTTCTTTTACACCTCAAGGAATTCCACCATGCAATAGCTGCCGCACGTTCCTTCACTTCTCTCAGCCTCTCTTCCCAAATTGCCCTCTGAATTTCCTCAAAAATGTTAGTTCCTTGGAAACTTTTCTGATCCTTCGATTCAGGCCTAAATACTTGTAGGGCATTCATATCAGCACGCTCCATAATTAAACTCGCAGGGGTCTCATTAGCTTTTACTTCATCACTCTCCCATGAAGTCATGCTATAATCAAGATGAGTAAATAAAAATCCAAAACCTCTTAGGTCTACTGATGAAAAGGGGCTGGTTGAGAACACTGAACACACAGAAGAACTTAGCTGAACATCAATACCCCACATATCAAAAGAACTGATAATAGGACGACCTTCAAATAGGTCAGGATGATTGCAAACCTTACGGAGTTGCATTATAATACTAATCATCCCAAAAAAATTGGCACTTGCAAGAGTGGCTTGGGTCTCAGTACTAGCAATGAAGTCTTCATACAAATTCCGCTGCCTTTTTGACAATCTGCAGTATATGACATGCTCATGTTTCATTGGAAGTTGCTTCTCCACATCTTGTTTTAAGCGACGGAGTATGAATGGACGAAGGACATTGTGCAAGCGATCAACAACCTCCTTATTTACTTTTTCCTCTCCCTCCACCATGCCAGATATAGGATTACTGAACCAATCCTTAAACTCTTGGTGAGACTGGAAAACATGAGGCATCAAGAAATGCATTAGAGACCAGAGTTCCATAAGATCATTCTGCAGCGGTGTACCAGTCAAGAGAATACGTCTCTTCGAATTGAAATTCAAGAGGGTTTGCCATCTTTGTGACTTCCAATTTTTAATGAGATGAGCTTCATCTAAGATCAAGTATTTCCACTTCTTTCGCTTAAAGACTTTAGAATCCTGAATAATTAATCGATAAGTTGTTATGCATACATGAAATGAGTTTGGTTTCAACCATCCTTGCCTTTTAAGCTTCCGCTCTTTTGCACTACCAAAATAAGTCAAAATTTTAAAAGCAGGACACCATTTGAGAAATTCAGTCTCCCAATTAAGCATGACACTAGTTGGTACCACAATGAGATGCGGGCCCCAAATCCCTCTTTCACAAGCAAGATGTGCAAGCAAAGCTATAGTCATAATTGTTTTACCGAGCCCCATTTCATCTGCCAAAATCCCATTCAACCTTTTTTCATACATTGTTACAAGCCAGTCCAATCCAATGTGTTGATACTCACGGAGAGGGTACTTCAGAAGAAAAGGGAATTTTGTGCGGACTTTAGTTGTGGAGAAGGTGTTTCCAGTTGGTTGTGCTGATCTTGCAGCCGCTGCTGCATCTGCAATCAGATTTTCACTCTCCCTTCCCTCCAGATTTTCATGAGGTGCTTCCCAATGTTGTTCTTCAGTATGGGACTGTACAAAAGCCATGTGTTCAAAAGGCTTGACATGTTCATCCCCAGAAACAACAGGATCGTTCTTCGCATCATCTTCAAGCAGTGAAGAATCCAAAAGATCCTCTGATAAAGAAGCAGCATCTTCAGATTCATCTTCCCTATGTTTGCCACTGGAATACTATCGAAACAAATAGCATAAAAATTCAAACTAAAAGGGGAAAAAAAATACATGAACGCTAACCATCTAAACCAAAAGTAAAAAATAGAGATAAAGAAATCCTACCTTTTTATACATTCCAAGGAGTTCCTCAACAGGCATATCACTCTCCCTTTGCAATAAAGCAATCTACAAATAATGGCTTCATCATGAAGGGTAATAACACAAAAATATGCAAACAAAAACAAAGCAGACTGGCTAGAACATATTCAGTCAAGAATACTGTGGCTATCAATAACTATGCTAACATAATATAAGGAAAGGAAAGCTGACTAGCTCTTAACCTCATCCTTTGGATCAATTGCATCCATTTTTTCCAATTTTTCCTCCTCGGATAAGGTTGTTTCATCATCCTGAACATTGTATTAAAGTTAAGACTCAATTTTCAATTATATAATAATCCAGGAATAGAAACCTAAAAAAAAAGAAGCAGCAAACATTTAGAAATAATTAAACAAAAGATTCAGCCCACAATGCTAGTAACTTAAATTTGATGCAAAATCCAATTTAATACAGATATATATAACAAAATTCCTAGCTTCAATTAAGCACTGTGACTATAAAAAATGTAACGCATGTGGATTAGGTGGAAATAAAAAGCAATGATTGATTTACATCAGGCCATTTATCTATATAACCATCAGCAAAGCAATATCCACTCATTGGAACAGGTGAAGGTAAATTTCCCCTGCCTAAATATGGAGACAAGAGCAAGGATAAATGGTCATTGTCCCATGGAGAACATCTATGTTGAAATTACAATCCCTTCATTTATTCAATTACTTTAGTATATATGTGTTACATAAGCAATTCAATTGTATTCAGAAATTATCCTAAGAAAATTCAGTGATTGTGTATTGGAGTTTGTATCTGTTGTAATTTTTCAAATTTCACTTGATTGCTATACAATTTTACAAAAATGGGGGTCTCACAGATCACCATAGCCCTGTAGGGAATGAGCACAAGGATAGGGAGCATGGAAGTCCTCCCTGCCTCAGCCTTGCTGCCATCCTTATTCAGTCACATTGCAAAACAATATATGCTCCGTCAATACTACATTGTCTAAATCCATCACAACTTGAGGAAAGCAGAGTGTACGTACATGAGAGAATGAAAACAGTGTTTATTGGGGGGGACTAAGAAACAGCAAAATCATTAAACACGCTGGGAACATTTGTGATGTATATCATCCAGGACATCACTATTGGAGGCCAAAAACACAGCTGCTTAAAAATAAATAAAAAGAGAGAAAAAACGAGCATCTAGAAGAGTGGATGAACTACCCAGTGGATCTCATCAAAGATCTAGGTTGATGGAAATGGAAATGATGAAAATAATAGTAACATATGGACATAGTAAATCACTCACATTGTCTTCTGTGCCAAGCAAGAAGTCACCATCTCCCTGTCAATAATTCAGAAACAATTTTATACAAGTTAATAGTTGAAAATTCAGTCATTTGTAGGGGGAAAGTGAAAAGAGGGGAGAACATCAAATCCATTTTTAGCCTAGACTATAAAGCACAGTACATCTAGGTGAAGCAGGCTGCACCTGGGGGAAGGTGGCAACTGATAAAAATTATACATGTTGAAACCTAACAAGTAAGGGAGACAACAATATTTATTTTTTTTATTGCAATTCTACACAAAAAATGTTCATAACCCCAATCCAACTTTTGTCATCTCTTAATTCCAATATCATGCAGATTCCTCTAAAATCACGACTGTATATGGCAGTGTGAATAATCTTATTCACAAAGATTTTCTTTTTATCCAAACAATGCCTACCATCATCTCAGGCTGTCAGCGGATAGCAAAGAAATCTAACTATGGGGCAAAAGTCATACATATATGATATGCACAGAATTTGTCAAGATTTGTCAAAATTAATCCTGTACAAATTATATAAATTGGCATTAAATTTCAGGCTTCCATCACAGTACAGTTGGACTCCATAATTGCTAGCACAGATCAATTACTAAAATAAGAATTTAAGAAGCAAAATCCACAGGAACCATCAACGTATGCAAAGAAATTAAAGAAAAGCAAACAATGCATGTTCTCTTACCTCTTCATCACTAAAGTCATATGCAAGATTTTCAGTGGCCCTCTCACCACAAATTAGCTTCATATTTTCAGATTGACAGGTCTTATCTTTGGCTATATTCTCCGCTGGTGTAGTTAGACCACCATTACTGTCATCCTGATATTACAAAATGAGCATTACACTTAAGTCCTTAACTTACTCTGCAATTCAGAAATGAAGAAAAACACATACAACTTACACAACGACGACCAGAGACCATGCTGGAGTTGCTTGACCCAAGCTTGCTACCATATAAATTGTCTCCATTTTCTGCAGTACATCAACATGACCCATGTTAGAAGCAACCATAACTTCTACAAAAGATTAGTGGGAAATAACTTGTGCTTGTCCTAACCATTTCCATCACCAGCTGTGACTTCTCCATTATCATCATCACTGTGCGCCGGAGTACTTTCTTGACTTGGTCCTGGTAATTGTTTGAAAATAATGCCATAAGACCAGCTAAAAAAGATAAGCCCACGGTTGACAGAAAAAGGGAAAAGGTTACATGAGATTCAGTCCTTACTTTCCCATCATAAGTTGGAAAAAATCAGTAACGGAGAATGAAACTCAGTACTTTGGAACACCAAAAAAATAACCAACAAAAATGACAGCCCAGGCCACTAAATCCTCCAATGGTCTGATCCAAACCATCAGATTTACAACAAAACTTCTGCGCTGACACTTTCATTATACTGACATAAAAAATACATTCTAATCATAAAATAAGAACTCCATTGGATATTAAGTAAAGAATCGCATTTTTTTTTTCAAAGGCAGAATAGGCCTCCCATCAAGAGACCAACTTGGCATCCCACAATAAATAAACATATAAATAAAAAGGTGGGTCTCTGTAATAAGCTCACCTTTCTCTCCAGAATAACGTTTCAGCAACTCCTCCAGCGGAAGATCAACTTCATCATGCAAAGCAGCCAACTCCTCTTGCCTTTCTTCTTCAGTTATAAGAGCCTCATCTTCCTCAAGGGTTTGCTCATCATCCTCCTGGAAACAGTACCATCATTTAGCATAAATCCATGCACCAATTTAAACCAACCTCACCATGAAAGCAACACAAAAATGATAAGGTCCCCAAAAAACTTGAGAAAAAATGACTTCAACTGGCAAAGAATAATAAGACTTGGAACGTAGAAAAGCACAACATTTAAAAAAAAAAAAAGAATATTATACGATGCATTTTGTGAGACAAAACATAACAAGCATAAGAGGCTTATCGTACTCATACTACCTCCAATCCTAATTATAAGACTTCATTACCTAATTCACACATAATAAGAAACACAGTTAAGCTGGTAATTTACATTGAGTTAGTCAAAATTTGTCATACTTTCCCTAAACTACCGCTCCCTTTAATGATGAGAGAGAGGGAAAAGAATCAAATTCAGTCAATTTACTATTTCCCAATACATAGGGGTAGTTTGGGAGAAGATTAATAAATGAGGGAGACAAAAAGAACCAAGGTCTTACAAATACAACCAAAATAAATCTACAACTAGCTCTTATAAAAAAGACTGGAAGGAGTAGGAGTGAAGCATCATTTATCCGCTGAATCCATAGGTGGTTATATTCTGCATTTCAACAGACCATCTTGCACTACTCCCATTGTCATTTGGCAACAATATTGTATTTATACCTTTCAAGGACTAAAGACTCAGAAGAAACAGCAAACTATCAACAATATTTCCCACAAGTCCATGACAATGACATGGAACTTGATATGAAGTAAACATAAAATTATTATCTCTGGCTTTCTGCAATTTACAGGTTGCATACACAGAGAGCACCAATAAACTCTAGAGTTAGAGAAAATACTTTGATACTATAATAAAGAAAAAAAGAAGAGAAGAGTGATCCACACCGATTCATCATCGGATTGTACATTGTATTCTTCATCATTGTCAATAGGGTCTGACTGAAACACTGCTACAAATGGATTAAGTAAATTTAGTAAAAGAAGTGAATGTTCTCTCTAACTTTGAAGATATATCTCTCTGCCCACCAGCATTAGCTTCATTTGATTTGTTGGTAAAGTCTTCATCTACTCCCTTGTATTCGGAAATCCTATGATGCTCTGGTGACTTTTTTTCAACTGGTTTAATAGCATCCACAAGATTTTCTGCCAACATGGTTGAGTACCTAAAAGATAGATTTAGATGAAAACGTCAGCAGATTTAATTGATTACCAAATGCCATAAGCAAGATATTTAAAAACCAAAAGAACATACCTTTCAGTTTGACCCAAAAGAAACTCAAGCTGTTTGTCAAGTGCCTTTTTCTTTTTCTCATCAAGCTCCATCTGATGCTTGTAAAGAACCTGGAACAACAATTTAGGTTAAAGCTCCATCTGAGTACAAGGAACAAAACCAAACACACAACTATAAATGCATTACCAGCTTTTCTATTTTCATCCAAAATTTCTTAACATCCTTTGAAATATTCAGTGCCACTTTCCTTAATCGCTGCTCTTCTTCCTGAAATAATATACATGTGCACACACACACACACACACATATCTGTATCAGCTTGCACCACATATTTACCAGTGAAAAAGGGGGGAAAATATCAAATATCAACTTTGCTTTCTGTAAGTTAAATCAATACTATTAGAATATTAGCAACAGTCACTGGTTTTCATTCATAAGAGATTTGAAGCTTGAACCTTCATCCTCTTTTCACCTCTTGTAGCCGGATCTAACATGCCTTTGCTAGCTCTTAAAGCAACTTTCTTTGCCTGAGCTAATTTCCATTTCCTCTCTGACTCAAAGTCCTGCCAAAATTTGTCATATCGTTTGAATGACACCACATCAAATTTGTCACATTTTTATGGTCAAACTGATGAATACCTTTGATAACCACACCATCTCTTCCATGACATGATCCCAATGAGTTTTAGGACGCCGAGGCTCCCTTGGAGCCTCAAGTGCCTGAAACAGCCAAAAAACCATCAATCAAGAAAGGAAATAGGACAGATCAACAAAGTTATAGGGAACTGAGCAGCTAAAAATATGCTCATTTTAGAACATAAAATATTTCTAGAGTGGTCCTACGGGTGTTCAAACAAAATAAGTCATGCATATTGATTAGCATGGAGCACTCGAAACTATACGACTTCTTAAATCTCTTCTTCACGTGTTTTCCATTTAAAACAGCACCAAAAACAGAGAAGCCCTTTTAAGCTTTAAAAATATCCCAGCTCTCAAGTCAGTCAAATATTGCATGTACATAAGTTTGCTTCTTAATACTACAATGTCACTACAGTATAAATAACTATACACACAAATAATTCCATACAAATTTTCTGACGCTACAAAGGTTTTACTCTCACACATTAACCTATCCTGCTAGTCAGAATCATTCTGTGCTAAACATGATTTTTTCCTGTTATCTCACACAAATGCTAATTTTGCTACAGAGGTAAAATTATATTTATATTTATGGATAGGCCAAAAAATACATGTAGCAATAGGGCCCTTGACTGCTAGTATATAAATATTTATTTTCCTATTATGCAAAGAGATTGGAAGTCATACATATATTTACTATTATTTGCTACTCAATTATAGCTTTCTGCTAGATAAGATGTATTATATTGAATCTAAATTCATCCTACCACCAAAATACTATCTAGTGACAATTTTAGTACCAATAAACCAGGACAACCACTACTTGTTAATTGTTATGTGTGGGCAAGATATCATAAACAAAAACTTCTTCCAAGTAACATGAAAATCCACATTTGCTACAGCATGAAAGAGGGTAACAGTTTTTTGGGCAGGGCCCACAGATATCAGACTCCTCTTACTGACCAACGTCTTAAGATGCCAACATCATCATCAATTTATTTCATCAAACTCCATTGCTCAATTTGATGTATTAACCACGTGCATTATATGTCTTACCCACATGCTTTCAACTTGCAAGTGAACAAAAATGCCAACATCAAAATGCAATTACTATCAGATCTTCTCTTGTAAATCATAAAAGAGACTAAAGATAAAGATTGAGCATGGTAAAAGTTGTGATCTGTGTAAATAGTGCAATGCAGAGGAACGCCTTTAGCATTTCATCATGAACTAAGGGATATTCTCATGAAATACAGCTCCTGTAAATGGTTTTTCTCGTCTCCTTCAAAGTCCAAATGACTAAACTCTTTCACTCGCTTCAACTTGCTCGATCTAAATAAAATGTACTTATTCAAAGACTACTTGCAAGCAGATGCAAATTTTTCACTGCAGACCAAGACGCTACAAATTTGATTGTAAAATTTCCCAAGAATGTGTGGCTCCCTTGTCTCCTGTGGTAGGGACGCCTATTTACATCTCAAAGCATAGATTTTTTTCCCCAAGAAAGGGTAGGCATTGCCTTGAACAACTTATTATAACTTTGATTACAAATGAACTAACTAAAAATGAATTATATCTTTTTTTTGAATAAACAAACTGTATCTGAGATAAATTCCGCAACTCACTTCTTTCCGTCTTACTTTGCTTTTTACTGAGTGTTTGTATTCTTCAGTTCTGGATAAGAAACATGCTACTTTAATTAGCTTCACTTCATTCTAAGCTTTTTGCATGCCAGAAGGGACAACATATTGAGTAGCTTCTTCAAAAGTTCAGACCGGTTACATCTAACAATTAACGTCCGGTCTTCCAAAATTTGGTCTTTTATTTAGACACACTAATTGCTTGAAAGATCAAAAAGTCAAGTTTTAAGTGAAAAAGAAAGAGAGGAAGGGGGGATGAGGTCAATAGCAGTAACTAAAATTTTATTCAGAACCAACCCTACTTAGACTGTCGCTGGGGGAAAAAAAATTCTTTCGCAATTGCACGGTATAATGCACGATGCCATCAGCAAGATTTCAAGCATTGAAAAGTTCAAAAAAGAAAGGAAAAAAAAAAGTGTGTGGATACTACGAATAAACACGAACTTACCTTTTGCCGCTTTGCTCTACTCTCGTGATCAATCTTAGACCTCGGACCTTTAGACGCCATCAGCTTTCTGACTTATAGCAGTACTCAAGTGCAAATCATCTGCTTCTTATCATCAGATGCAGACACCAGCTACAGCTGATAATTTCTTCAAGCTCTCGAAAGTAGCTTGAAACGCAAAGAAAGAGGCCCTAACCAGGGTGGAACGAGTCTATCTCAAGCAAGCAATGCCCGGCTAAACGATGACAGTCTTGAGAATTGTATTATGCAGCTTCAGGGAAGGGAAGAAGTTATATTTAAGGATCATTCCAGTTCCTTATCCCACCACGAGAAAAGGAAAAGTCTTTATCTCCTATTCGAAACCCGAGCTTTCCCGTAGAACAAACAAGGCGCAGTTCCCTGAACTGACCTTTCCAAATAATTAGTCGCACTCTTTTCTTTTCACCATCGGCACTTTTCCGATCTTCCACCAGTGCAATAAAATAATCAACCGCCAGCTTTTCTACATCGAAATTAAAGATTACAGCAAAAAGAAAATGGTGGGAGTGAAAAAATGCGCGAGATAGAGAGTCTTCCGGTTATCGTCAACGCTGGAAGTCTAGGGTTTGCGACGGGGGTTTAAACGCGGTGGATTCAGGAAGAGGAGTATCAGTCCCGGATCCGAATAGCTATACTGCAACCAAAGACTTGAAGGCAGGCCTCCAGATCTTTGGTGCGGAGAACACTTCGTTTTCTTTCTTTGCTTGTTTTATTTTTGTTTTTGTTTTTTTTTTTTTTTGGCCAACGGAAAATGGAATTTCTTGCTCCTAGGAATAAACTATAAAGGCGTTTAAAAAAAAAAAAAAAAAACTCGTGGCGTGTTCCAGGTTAAGAACACACGTTGAAGGGATGGTAGATCTGACGGCTGGAACTCGCTAGAAAGCCATGGGAGACACGAATTGCGTTTCGTAACGGGAGACTCTCGATGAAGGAGAAGCAATAGTCCATTTCTTTCGTGAAGAGCCCTCCCTCTGTAAATGAGAGTACTCGATAATTCTACGCAGGAACTTCTTTCGACTTTGGTTTCTTTTTTTGCCTTCTTGTTCTTTACCGTCAAATAACCCGTGCAATCTAAAAATTTTACAAATACAATAGTATAAAATTTAAAAAATTATATAATTTTTACATTTAAAAACTTTATCAGAAAATATCGATAGTGGTTCGTTTAATCATTTATAGACACTGAAAGAGAATTTATTTTCGATGCAGTAGGTTTTAAATAATTTGTGCAAGTTATAAAAATTGGCGGCCAAATAAGTTGGGCAAAATTGTATAATCTTGATTAAAAGAAGCGAATGGAGATTAGTGTTCAAATTAACTAAAATCTCAAATATTGTCCTGCACGCATAGAAAATTAGAAATTGATGACATGAACCACGGTTGGTGGATGATGAGTTGTATGGGATTGAGAGTGCATTTGAGAGTTTATAATTAAATAAAAAAAAATTATTGATAGAATAGGATGAAATGGAGCAAAGCGAAGTGAAAATAAAACAAAATTTTTCATTATTTAAGAGTTTTATGATAAAAATGAATGATTTTACATGATCATTATTTGGGAGGTATTGTAAAAATGAATGGAATAGAATGGTTTAAAATTTTTTTCTTCCAATGATACCTATATAACTAAATTTAAAAAAAAACAATAGTATTTATTTCACTTCACTTCATTTTTTTATAAAAAAATCTTTCATGCAAGTGCTTTATGCCGTTATAGGAAAGTGACAATAAGCTGCCCTTTTTTTAAAATGTCGTGTTCCCGTACAAGGAAAGCAAGCTGTCACGGATGATATTTTCGTGACCGTGTAAAGACCAAGATAATGAACGATCCGTTGGTTAGCCTCGCATAATATGGGTAAAGGGGGTGACATTAGCATTGGGGGTGTTCTGCCTCAGTTTTCGAACTGTGTGCACAATTGGTTAGGGGCTAGTACCGCCTCCCTGGTGAGCCCATGGCAGGGCGAAACCAGTGTGATCCGTATGTGGTAAGGCTTGTCCTGAGGATTATGGGGTCCTCCAGGACGCCGCACGGGCGCCGTGTGCTGTGCCAGACTCTCAGCCCGTGACAGAGTGGTATCAGAGCAGGACATACTTTATTGCCGTGTGCGCGTGGGGTCCCACGTTGGGACTGGTCGGCCTCGGCACCGCTCCAGAAAGGCCTCTGAGCAGGTGGGTCCAAAAGTGGGGACTCGGGCGGGAAGGTTGGCCGTTGTCGACTCCACTCTTGTTGGCTCGCGGGTGCGAGTGGGTCCGAAAAGTGCAGGACTCGGGTGGCCACTCAGCAGTAAGCTGATATGTTTGTGGCAGTACTGTACGTACGATCCTTGGGCGGAGTCGTTCTCCCCTAGCACGAGAGCGTGCTAGATTGGGTGTGGGAGAATGTCACGGATGATATTTCCATGACCGTGTAAAGACCAAGATAATGAACGATCCGCTGGTTAGCCTCGCACAATATGGGTAAAGGGGGTGACATTAGCATTGGGGGTGTTCTGCCTCAGTCTTCGGACTGTGTGCATAACTAGTCGGGGCTAGTGCCGCCTCCCTGATGAGCCCATGGCAGGGCGAAACCAGTGTGATCTGTATGTGGTAAGACTTGTCCTGAGGATTATGGGGTCCTCCAGGACGCCGCACGGGCGCCGTGTGCTGCGCCAGACTCTCAGCCTGCGACAAAGCGCTGCCATTGCATATTTAATTACTAAGAACTTGATATATAAACGGATAAAAGATGAACATGTCACGGTTCAAATCCGACAACCGAGGTGCTAAACCGAGGGATCCAAATCCAGCCATACGTACCCGTACCTGTACCCGTACCCGATCTCAGAAAGAGAAGTGCGGTAAATAATCCATACTAAAAAACATACAGCGGTGAAACTGGAAAAAGAGTGAAAGACAGAACGGGCATTTGTTATCAGTAATCAGGGCAAAATATAGGATTCATTTGAATTTCAGTTAGGTATAATAAATTATAAAAATAATTAATTAAGTGATAGATTTTAATTATAATTAATTATACTATAATGCAATCTGTTTGAATATTGTTTTTCTAAAATTGATTTTAATAGAATTAAAAATGTTTGGATAATTTAATTAGAATTAATTTTAGTTATATAAATTATTATATAATTTAATTTTTAAATATCAAATATCAATTTTTTAAAGATATAAAATTCAAATTTTATTAAGAAAAAAAAAAAAGAAGAGAGTTTGACTTTATTTTTATTAAATTATGTGTTTTTTTTGTAATTTTTGCTTGAGCCTGTCTTTATAATTTTTTTCAATATTTTGGACAAGCCTCTCCGCAGAGGCTCTAATTCTCTTCCGGAAATAATTGATTTTTGGCCAAAATCGATTTTTCAAAAAAGTGAATGTTTGAATAACTTTTTAAAGAATCGATTTTTTGGGCCAAAAATCGATTATATTTGCTATCCAAACACACTGATAAGCGGCTCCGCAAGCTGCAGGCTGCCCTCCTCTCGGCTCTCGCTCACTATTTACAACGGCAGCATGCTGAAACGCCCTAGTCTGATGCGATCGGGTTTTGGCGGAATCTCAGCGCAATTATTTCTCTTCAAAAATTCAACTTCCCTCAGGCGGCTCTATAAATTAATTTTCTTATCTTTACTCGCTGTCTAAACTCAATTCAAAATTCAGGGTTAGGGTTCTGTGTCCGCGCAAGGCAATTATAATGAAGGCTTCTCTCAAATTCCGCGACGAACAAAAGCCGCTTTTCAGAGCCAAAGTTCCTCTCAACGTCCTGGGCTTGCCGTTCCAATCCGGCATAGTAGCTGGCGAGTCCAAGGAGCTCACTCTTAATCTCAGCTCCTTCTTCGAATCTGGTCCGGCCGTCAAGATCGCCTACCGCCCCAATGACTCGTTCAATCCCTTTTCCCTCATCGTCAAGACAGGGACAGGACCGTTCGGTTCGCCCTTCTCCAGTTCCATGTTGATGAGTGCCGAGTTCAATTTGCTGGGTTGTGGAAACGGGAATCCTGTCTTCATGCTCCATTTTAAACCTCGATTCGGGGATTTCTCTTTCAAGAAGTCGCAGTCTTCGATTTTTGATCCCAAAGTCTTCGGCTCACAGAATGGCACCGCCTCGGATGATGATGGGTCCGTTGAGTTGGTGGACTCGCCGGTGATGAACTCGTTCTCCGGCAAGAAAATTTCGATGCTGGCTACTCGTCCTCCCTCTGCGGGTGCCATTGCCAATCTGTTCTCCGGTATGGAAGTGGCAGCAAGGACAACACTTCCGGTTAAAGGACGAGCCGTGGTGAACTTCCGATGGGGTGTTCGTGTTCCGGCGGAGCTGAAGTGTCGCGATAATGTGGCGGCTGGCATAGCATTTCAGAAGATTCCGTTTTTGGTGATGGATAAGATTGGGGTCGAGCACTTAGACGGCGGGGACTCCAAGGGGAAAGGCAGTAAAAGAGCGGGCCCAGATTCGGCATTGCCAGGGAATGCTGACGTGGCAGAGGCGTGTCTTTCGGTGAAACGGCAATTGGAGGTCTTGCAAGCTGAGAATGGATTACTGAGGAATGCCGTGGAAGATCTCCGGAGGGAAATATCCGGCGCCAGCTCCATTGAAGGATCAGATTTCAGCAAGTACAGAGAAGTTGAGAGGAATGGTATGAAACCTTCCAATGGCAAGAATGATCGACGTAATAACGAAAGGAAAAGGTCCAATTTCGACGGTTTTCCTCCAAAGTCGACGGAGGCTGATGTGAGTGAAGAATTAAAGAAAGCTCTGAAGGGTGCTTCTGGCACTTGAATTCGTTGACATGTTGATCAGAGATTTGCTTAGTATGATAGTTTTTAGTTTCAGATCAGTTATTATATTATGTACTTTTCTGTCGTGCAGGTTTCCTTAGTTATGTGATATAAACAAGGAAGCTTATGGGTGTTCGAGCCTTCATCCAAAACTCCAAATGTATAGTTTCATATTTAGCTTTATAACACGCCATCACAAATATAACCAGAAATTTGAATCCACGACGTGAGAAATAAGTAGTGCCATTCAAAACTCAACATTACCTGCTCTAGATTACATCCTATTATTCTTCCTACCAACTTGATGAGAATAAATTCCTTTAAAATTCGAGTCAGCATATGTTGTGACGTGCTAGCCTTCACGGTTCAGTCCAGCTACTGCAGTCTTGCAGAGGATCTTCGGGAAGCAAAACCAATAGGAATGGCATGTGTTGGTGAGAACTCTGATATTTAACGAAATATCATATCACAGATGTCTTGAACTGGAAAGATCCTTTTCATTTTGTGATTACCTGGATTTCTTCTTGCGGCAAAATTTGACTGTGGTGTTAGAGTTTATCGCCTGTTTACATGATTAAATCGATGCACTGGGATGATACTTTTGTTGAGGACATGGAATCTCTATATCCGTAAACAAAGCAATTTTACAGTCCCATACAGACTTGAAAAATTTGGTTTTGCGCCTTAGACACGCGAGTTCTCCATGTACTTAGTAGCCACGGGCACCAAAAATGAGTCAGGACGGGCAAAAAACGAAAAAATGACACAAAAAGTGCATCAATAGGACGACCATTTGCGGACCATTAATGAGCTTGGGTTGGTTCTTTTAAGGGCATCACTCGCCTCACAATTTGACTCCATGTGAGCTTGAACATCCAAGGATAGTTTTCTCTACAAGCAGCTCCAGTGCTCTCATCCCCTATCCATTAGTTGCCCTGGCAAGTAGGGGTGTTCTCCATCTGCAAATAAAGCGCATGGGAAATAAGAGTATTGAAACTTAAAAAGGGCAGGGATGCTTCTCTTCTGCCACTTTAACAAGGTACCACCCAGTTATAATTATCAGATATGCACTTAAATCTGTGTCCACTAATCATTTTCCTAACATCTTCTCCCCCCTTTCTAACCAAATGATAAAAAGAAAAATGATAAAAAAATTTTAAAATAATCAATTAATTCAAGTTAAGTGTCAAATATCAAAATCTAAAATTTGCAAGTTCATCTTTCAATTTAACAACTATGTTGTGATGAATTCACGTGTTTTTCAAATTTTAACATGGTTGAAAAATAATTATTTTTCTAGTTAAAATTTAAAATATAAATTTCAAATTCATCACAACGAAGTTATAAAATTAAAAAATTGAATTGTGAATTCCTAAAATTTAACACTTGGCACCTATTTTGAATTACTCTTCATTTTCCCACGATAAAATTTCCAAAAAAAAAAAATGTTGTAAAGACAAACGGATGGAAGGGGGTGCATCAGGATTTTACCGTAAAAAATGCTGAAACAGACTGTAACCCCCTATCTAATAATTTAAAATTTGGCCCCCCACCTATTGGGTGCTAGATCCGTCCCTCATCCTTCAATACAATTAATATATGAAACACCCCCCCCCCCCAAAAAAAAAAAGGAAAAGGTTGCATTAGACGATAAGGTGCAGCAACATAATGAAGGCATCTATTTGTCACCACTTTCACAATCAGATGCATCTGCTAGCTTGGCAATTGCGTCAACAAGGGCTTGTTCATGCTCCTGCACAATCAAAAGTGAATAATAACATAGGAGCAAGAAGGTCTGAAAAGCAATACAGGGTGGTCAGCAATAGTACTTTCAGCATTTCCTTTGCCCTCTCCAGTTCCATAGGATCTGGATCACTCTCGGCTATAACCCTCTCCACCTGTTAAAGCAACATCATTTTTCTAAACAAAAAAGAAACGTTTTAATAACTCTCTCAGTCTTAATAAAATTGCTTGGAAATGAAATATACCTCCTGAACCAGTAAATCTGTGTCTGGGAATTCAATATCATCTAAAACTCTATCTCCAATACCATTTTGTGGTGGGAAAAATTCTTTTCTGATATGACTTTGAACCCCAGCATGTCCTCTCCCTCTTCCAGCAGCCACAGTGTTACCACCGCGGCAATGGAATTTCTTGACTCCACGACATTGCCCACTATGCCTGCCTCTATGGGTTGTGGCTGGATCTTCATCTTCCCATCGTATATCCTCTGGTGAGATCTGTGATATGCCATAAATATCTTTAAATATGAAATATCATCATTTTGGACTTTATCAGATACATACTAAGTTATTTAAATCATAAAGAAACTTAGTTATTGCAATCAATTAGAACCAACTGCTAACTAAACAAGAAACATGATTTATTCTGCATAAACAATTAACTAGCAAAACCAAGATTTTTCCCTCGGGTTCCTGTTTAATTATCCTTATGGATGAGATGTAGATATAGTTGTTGTCTTCTTGTTCATTTCTTTAGTTAATACAACCATTCAATGAACACAATGATTGATCTTGGGAATGCTATTGCTACCTTTTGCTACAACGAAGTAGCAAGATTGACTTGCCCTCCCTGTTTCGAAATAGTGGAGCTATGCATTGTACGTAAAATTTTCTTTTTCCCCCTTTTTTTTTTTTTTTCCCGGCCACCGCTGTGTCTTAAGTTTGATATTATTATTTTTGCTAATATATTTCTCAATGTTGCTTCATTCTAAGTTGCAGTTAAAGGGTAGATTAGTGACAGATGTGCCATATGTAGGAAATACCTCTTTAAGATCAACCCATTCCCAAGTCTCATTTGCTGTATTAATATCATAAACCAGAGCATGCCGACCCTGCAAACCATGGATATTCAGAAAGGATTGCTAAAAATATCCAAGAAATATGTGTGTTAGTGTGTGTGTGTGTGTACGAAAATTAAGTTTCCAGTGACATTTTCCCTTTCACTTCAAGGGCTTTTGGCCCCTCATATCATATGGAGGTTTGTCAGACTCCAAAATCTGGATAATTAGTTACAATGGAGATAACGTATATGTAAGATGTATCTATAGTCAAGATGTTTGACAGCTATATACAAGGACCTAAAACACACCTCAGCAGCATTATAGTCGGTTATCACAGCCTCATAAAAGTGATTGTCTTCAGGCCATCTAGTCCAAACCTTCTTTCCAATATATGGATCAAAAGTTGCCACTTCAGCAGGCGCATTAGATGGAAGGACACTAGAAGAACTGCGATTAATGAAGCGCCTACCTCCAGCAGACCCTGAAGAAGGACAATGCATAGGCTTCACCAAAGGCAAACTAGGAAATGACTGACCCTGCAGCCAAAAATTGAAGATCAAAATCAAAGTTGGGTAAATTCATGATTTTTCTCTACTCTTTAATGAATTGAATAGTAGTGCCAGGATCATGCATACGAACTCTGGCTCAAAACAATTCCTTAACTTGCAGCTAACAATGAAAACTGCAATGCATGGAGCTACAAATACTGCTTTAAAAGCTCATGTCACATAACATACAGAAGAAGCTACCGATTGGGATGTCTTCTGTTTCTTATGGGAAGCTGAAACTGTTGGACTGGGCAAAAAGTCATAAACAGGCAGAGAATTGCTGCGCCTTGCAGGTTGATAACAACCAGTTTGTCTCCATTCCCTGTTTACAATCCCCACAATGTAAATCTGAAAAAAGACAGAAGCAGCAAAATTCTTGTCTCTTTTGGCTACAAATTGCAACTGTTGAAAGGTGATGTACCGTATGCGCTGGATAATCTCATCAGCATTAACCCTTGTAAGAAGCTCTCTATGCTCATCATCTGAAACTCTCAATTCTTTTCTAAGCTCAGTTATCAAACCTTCTTTCTCCTGATGAATAAACGTAAAATGGAAATGAACCTTTTAAAGGGGGAAAATACATAGACAATGTAAGCAGCATGGAAAGAACTGAAGACGTGCATGTACCCAAGTAAGAGCATCGGACTGAGCTTTAAAAGCACGCAGGACAGAAGAGTATGCTTCCTGCTCAAGCTGGTGAATCTGAGACTCCATGTCACCGTGAATTTCAGGATGTGGAGTGAACCTACAGATCTTCCACCGTCTGCAATATTGCTACTTCTCAGATTTCTATTTTGATTTGAGGTAGGAAAATCACCGTCAGTGCCTGAAATTGGCAAAAAAGGAATGAGAATTTCTAAAATTTCTCAACATGCACTAATGTACACTTTGAACTTAGAAATGCTTTTATAAGTGAATATTACTGATCAATACTATTCCTTCAATCTACAAACAAGCTAGGGAAACATCTATTCTTTGTTGTTTACCATTGTCAGCGCAGAGTAAATGATCCTTCCTTCACTCTCCCTCCTCAATTCTCTCTCCTTGGCACTCTGAGCTCCAGTGAAAATTCACTTTATTGGACTTCAAAATTTTGGCCAAGCTTAAAGTCTATTAGGCATATGAACGTGGTGACAAGTCTATTAAGATGCACTGCGAACAAATAAAAGCAGACTTCTGTTGCTTCAGTGGTTCACACCAAGCCTAACAGACAAGGGAAAATATGGGAGCAGACTTCATAAAAGTTAAGAATGTTTCATGCATGATATGAGCCCCTAAATTTGAATTTCGGGTAATATGGTATTTACAAATCAGAGTTGCATGCACACAATTAGCAATTGAAGGATTTCTATATAAACTGTCAGTTCGATCTTTGTCCATTTACCAACTTGCTCAACTCTGGCACGGTTCATACCACATATAAAATGACCCTAGAAAGAAACTTTCCCGCGTAATTTGAGGGAGTAGAGTTCATTTGCACCTATATATAAGCTTATGCTACAATACCAATCGAAGGATTCCGTTGAAAATTACAATGTCAGGTTCATGTAGAATCGACTTGGCGATCGGTTTGCGACCAATTAAAGACCGTTCCAAAAGAGGAAAGAAAACCGTGAATTTAACACTACGAGCTAGGAGTCGGCCATCACCGGAAGTTCCGAAACACAGAAATTTCAAGATAAGTTGACAATTGACAACCTTGGAGACATCCAAAATCCCGATTCGTTTCCAGATGTTTCGACAAGCATTGGCACAAAAGAAGGCACCTCGTCCGACAACTCACATCCAATCAACCGAGTCAATTTCACAACCGCACAGCAAATCAAGACAAAACATTTCACCATATTTTGGACGGTTCTAACAAACGATTAGAGCGAGCGAAAAACTGCGTGTGGATAAAGTACGAGGAACTCTCACCGCTACTGTGGGAAAGTTGATAATCCAGGAAAAAGAAATGCAATGTGAGAAAACAGGGATCTAACAAAGAAAATGACGAGGTAGAAGGTTGTTGGACAACAAGCAGAGACACAGAGTGAGGAACAGCAAGGGGAAGTGGACAGAAAAGTGTGAACGTTAGGGAGCGTGTGAGGAACATGTTGGGAGCAAAAGATGGCGCTTTATAGTGTGTTGATGAATCGCCGTTGTGCGTTGCGTCCCTCGTCTCTCGTAACCGCCTGTTGACCACTCCACACTCCTCCTTCTTCCACATCAAGGACAGGTCGCCACATCAACTCTGCAAAGGCATAAATTTAAACAAAATACCCCGTTTTTTGCCATATATTATTATTATTATTATTTCTCCAACAAGACAAAGAAAGGAATGGCATTAATAATTAGATAAATAAATCCAGGTACATTAAAAAATAAAAGAACCTGGAATAAAATAATGTTGCAAATGGTATGTCAATTGTTATGCCAATTGTATGTTCATCAATTAATTCACATGTAGAAACATTTATAAATAAAAACACAACGAAAATAAAATAATATTTAAAAGTGAACAACTGAATATAATTCGACCAGATAATATTTTGAATAAATAACATATATAAGATTATTATTTTAGGCTTGACATGAAGAATGTTGGGGAAAATCAGGTTTTTTTTTTTTTTTTTAGACGATGCTGATTTGAGTGAAAAAACGGCTCAGAGGCTGAACAATTATTTGGGCTTTAGGCGAAGGGAAATTGAAAACTGTTTGTCAGGAGATATTAGAAAAAAAAAGCCCATTGTTGGGAAAGTTAACATCAATGTATATAGACCGACATCCAGAAAAAGGCCTCAAGACCGTTTGGGCCTAACAAACAAACAGGCCTGAACTCAATTATGGACATTTCTTTGCTTTTTTGTTGGGTCATTTGCTACCCTTTCCAATGCCAACTGTCCTTAGCTTGCACAGGTGAATCCATCAAGAACACGACCCATTTAGAGTTCGGACTATTTTTTGTTCTTAATTTATCTGGAAAGGGCAAACTTGTATTGATAATCTTTATTGCTAGGTTGGCTAAGTAAAAGGAATTAAGTTAATCTGACGGATAAAATTAAGTTTAAAAACTAACATATGACAAAAGAAAAGGACTTACAAACTTTAGTCTTAATTTTTTAAGTTAAAATATATAAAAAAAAAAATTCACTAACCTTGCACATCTATTATCTCCCCCTTTTCTGGGAAGTCTTGGTTTTGCCCGGGATTATATCTTGATTGTAATATGTTTCTCTAACAGGAAAAAAGGGGGAAATCATGTTCTTAGCCTTTGGTCTGAATTCTCACGGACTTGGTAATTGCATTACTTTTTTCCGCGAGCTAGCGCATTTGCCTGGGAGCTACCAGCGAGCAAAGCCTGGGATGCAGACACTAATTGATAACCATACGATGAAGATCAGACAATACGCATGCTCATATAAAATAAAATTTCCAAGAACAACCATGGACTGCCCAAAGCTCCATACAACGGAATCATAGTATAAGCTGTCATGAATGAAGGTTGGTCCAAGATCTACTTCTACTCATTAATCGGACCGGGCAATTATCAACTACATCTACTTGTTTTGTAGCCTTTAGGGCATTGACTAACCCAACTAAGAGCCACGTGATTTACTCCAAGGCTTGGCCGTAGGGATGAATTCGAATGTTTGTTGGAAAACCCTCGGGATACGTTTGAAGCATCATCTTCAGCACTTGAAATGTACTATTACTCGAACTATGATATCACCCAGCCACATGGGCTAGGCTAAACTAGTTACAGATGATTGTCTATGTAAAGAGAATGGCCTTGCTGATACGATTTGAATTCTGATTCTGAATAAGCAAGGGTCAAAGTTCCACGTCATAAGTCTCCGCATAGGCGTGGAGTGTCCCTGTTATTATAGTAATCTCCAACATGGCTAGTGGGCCTACGTCATGTGAGGTCTGGAATAAAAATCTTCGATCCCATCTTGCAACCTCGGGAAACAAGAAGAATCTTGACTACAAAGGAAAGAGAATAAATTTCAAACTTTCCAAGTTTAAAATCTTCAGGGAGCTACAGTTTTTTTAGGTAACTATCACAGTCTTGTGCATCAGACTGACTCTAAAATATAAGTATTCACAAAGTTTATTGTTGTATTCATATCATTGCCGTGTAAAGGCCCATCTCCCCCAAGCCAATTACGTATAGTACAAAAGCCGCAGACAGACCATTTTATTTAACTAAAATATTGGGATTTGACATGTTTCTACAAGAAATATAGAAGCATATATCCATCTAAGGTGAAAGGACAAAGAAAAGGACAATCAAAAAGTAGTGGAAACAGATAAAATAGAAAGGACTTGGTGTAGTCGAGAAGGTTACTATTTATAAGTAAAAAGGGAGTTTGGCTAGCAATAATTCACTAATGGTCCTGGTTGAACTAACTAAACTAATCCAAGGGACAAAACCACGACTTTGACTGACAATGCTTGTGAACATGGGTTCTGAAAGTAGTTGTTTTAGGTTCACGTGCTTCTCACATTGGTTCTCCATAGTCTGAGAACTATTTGAAGATCGTAGCATACAGAACACAGTCAGAAACAGTATCAGTCAATCATGCATCACATGATGAGCTGCTTCAAGCTTCAAATATAGTAAACAATAGAGAGAAATAGAATTGTGCTTTTGTATTCTTTGGACAATTTGACCATGATACTATAATATATATATATATATATATAATATGCTATATTTTTAAAAATATTTTTTAAAATATTATAAATTTTAAAACTTAACTTCAATGATACCAAATTTTAATTATTTTCTGCATAACATTACAAAACTTAACTTCTATCAAGTTAAATTCTGTAGAATTATTTTTTAAAAAGTATAGAAGCCAAGTTCTATACTTATATTTAAATAAAAAAATAAAAAATTAATGTGATATACGCGATAAGTTATGTTTATTGTAACTTCATCTCAATATATAACTATATTTTATAACTTTTTTCCCTTCATCCTTTGTCGTCAAAGCCAGTAATTCAGGTTAAACCTGATGGGTTAACCCGAATTGGTCAAAAAAATTTAAGGTCAAGCTTAAAAAAATATTTTTTTTAATTTTCTTGCCAATTACCTCAAATACCCAAACAAAAAAAATTTTTATTTCTAAAAAATATAAAATATAATTAAATATTAATTACTTCTTTAATTTTTAGGTTTTTTTCTACTAAAATACTATATATTTGAGTCTCATACATTATTTAAGTATCAAAAGATATATTTCATATTTTTAAAAAAATAAAATAATTAATTTTAAAGTAAAAATTAATTAAAATGATTTTAAAAATAAAATTCTGGTATTTAGGCCGAGTTTGACTATTTGGCCATTTCAGCCGATCATGTTCGGTTCAAGCCAATTTAGGTCAGACTTAATTATAAGTGTAATTAATAATTTTTTATTTTATAAAAAATATAAAATATTTTTTGATATTTAAATGATGTATAGGACTTAAATATATAATATTTTAATATAAAATAACCTAAAACTTAAAAAATTAATTAATATTTAATTATATTTTATATACTTAAAAAAAATTATTCAGGTATTTGGGCTAATAGGCATGAACATAAAAAAATTATATTTTTTTAAGCTGATCTTAAATTTTTTGAAGCAGGTTCGGCTTTACCTGTCAAGTTTAACTCAATTACTGATTTTAGCGACAAGGAAGGAAGGGAAGAGAATATGAAGTATAATTATATATTGAGATGGAATCACAATAAACATAATCTGCTACACATGTTACATCAATTTTTTATTTTATTTTTAAATATAAATATAAAATTTGGCTTGATAGAAGTCAAGTTCTATACTGTTGCACAAAAAAAATTGAAATTTAGTATCATTGAAGCTAAGTTTTAAAATTTTTAGTATTTAAAAAAATATTTTTAAAGGTATAGTATATTGATAAATATCTCTCTCTGTTTTTTTTTTTTTGGATAGTACCATGATCAAATTGCCTGTTCTATGTCAACATTCACTTGATCTCGTAACGTAAACCTAACACCGTTGATTAGCGAAATGGTCCAAAGCGTTCAATGTGCTAGTTTGTTTTCCAAGCAGTTCCTGTCTTTCTAGGAAATGATATAAAATAGTTAGTGGCGAGCCACGTGAAAAGGCATGTGTGCTTTTCATATAAACCAGATCCAGTTCTTCAAATCAGAGGCCTCTTCTTCTCAGCCCATTTTCGTTTCTGAATGAAACCATACTCATGAAGATCATCAGTAGCAGAGTTGTGCGTGCTGTCTTGACCTTGGTTCTGGTTCACTTGCTTTTGTTCTCTGCGTTCTGTTTTGGCCATGAACAGAGCTTCACAAGAGAAACAAGCCTTTCAAGGAAGCTGCTGTCATCACCTATGTCCGCTGTTTCGACCAGCGTTGGAAAATTAAGTGGAGGCAAGAAGCAGAATAAAAAAGCAACGGAGCAGAGTTTAAGGAAAGCACCGGCAAGTGTTCCAAATCCTACCCAGAACAAGTAGGAAAATCGGACAATTGTGCTTGAGATAGCACTCAGCAGCTAGGAGAGTGTCTTTCTGATCTTGCCTTCTTTCTTGTTCTTTTAATTAGTCGTCCTTTTCTGTTGTGAGGTTTACCTGTAGTGATGCTGAAGGAATAGGGGGAAGTAGAACGCAGAAAATGTGCATATGTAACACTAGAATTAGTCAAGTATAATCAGGAAATTTGATCCCAAAATCCTATCTGAGTCTATATACCAACTTTAATTCTGGTGATCAATTTTGTTGAACTTGACTGGTTGCTGCTCTTACTTCTGCATTTCTAGCGTAGAGATTTACATGCGATAATTTGTGATAATGAAGAGATGAAATTATTGAGTCTTGGATCACACACACGCTTTGGCTTGTGTCGTTAAGTGAGGAATGATGGGAGGAGAAGGGACGTGGAAGGTGCAGGGATACAACTTCTAGGTATAAAATGATGCTTTACAGCCAAAAAGTTGGGAAACCCCTGACGGTGATGTAGAAAATTACGTGAGGATGGTGGGATCTGGAGATTGATCTTCTGCCTCTTGTCCCATCATGACGAACGTTTTGCGATCATCGCTCTATACCAAGAGGACAAGCAATGTATAATGACTTTGCTGTCTATGTTTCCTTACATAATCTATATTTTTGATTGCATCTCTTTTTTGTATCTCTGATGGTATTAATCCGATTTAAATATAAGAGTGGTGGACCCAATTATATTGCAGATAAGTCAATAATTTGATTGTGGTTTTACATTCCATTTAAAGGTCCACTTAATCTATCAAACTCTAATCAATATTCAAGAAAAACTCAGTCCGAGGACTGGGGAGGGATTCTAAAGTCGTTGAAGAATAGAGCAACATCATTGCAAGCAAGGTTCGTTGATTTTGAATCCTAGTGTTGGGTTATGTGCATGTGGGTGTAGATTTTTTTCCCATCATTTTGGTTAAACCCATAAATAAGTAATAAAGTATTTATTAATATAAAAAAGTGAAAACAGAAGGATCACGCTCAATATTCTAAAGAAAGAAAAATCTAATTATCAATAATGTATGTTTTTCTTTTTTTAGAAAAAGGAATATACTGACGCTCACCATACGGAATACTTGCAAATTATCGGAGACCCATGCGTGAGCCTTTGATGGTTGCGGGTGAGCCCCAAGTGTGAGCTACCCATGGGCTTTTTTGCTGCAGGTACGTACCAAAGTAGTCGTACAAATGATGAATGTTGGGGTTCGAACTTCGAAGTTAACTAATGATGGGTCATGGCCCAATTCAAATTGGGCTCATAAAGTTGTTCTGTTGATCTGTTCACCTTATATCTCTCCATTACAATGTTTTGAACATTCTATTGTAGGAGGCTGAGTTCAATGAAAGGGATTAATTTTTCATATTGTAATAAACTAATATTTGAATCTTCACTATGATAAGTGTCTACATTTAGTACTCGACCATACTGTTATATCAATTTAATTTTACTCACATTTAAAAAGCCTAATATATAATATTATATTGCTAAGCATGAAAGGGGCATAAAATCTACTCGATCATCCCATCCATTTGATTTCTCACTTTAGAGAAACCAGATCCAGGCCAGCATGAAATCCCCAGAGGTTTTACGCGTTCCCTTTTATGTTTAAAGGCAGCCTATTTATCAGGTAACAAGAAGACCAAAAGAATCACACTTGGTTCTCCATATTTATTATACAAAGCACCTAAAGAAGTTTTGAATAATAAAGCAGAACACACAGGAGTACATGAGTGTGGCACCCATAATTATTATGCCTTATCTCTCTTCTTTTACTGTGTGCTTGCTTGGTAAAGCATTCTTGACTGTGCCCTTGGCTCTTTTTCTTCCATCCGGCTTATATACTCATGAAGAGGTTAGAAGTGTTAATATTCATAGATATGCAATTTTGATTTTGTAAATTTAATATTTAGATATCCAGACACAATATATCCTCTCTTACTGCCTGAGTGCCGAAGCCCGAAGGATTAATCACAGCTGAGAATCCTCCAATTCTTTTATGCAAGCAGTCCAATCAAACCTTCCAACGTTTTATTATTTACTTTCTTGACTAATCATAATTTGGCCTCATGCAGAGACCACCGGTGGCTCACATGGCAACCTTGCTAACATTTTTATTCTCCTTTGTTTATTATCATAATTGATCATCATTGATTTATGTATTCACCAGATCTTTCCAGGCTTCTTCAACATCAGACACTAATTAATTATTTACTTGTCTATTCTCAATAGAAGTTAGACTTGTCTTTCCAGTAGGAAGAGAGGGAGAAACTTGATCGCACATTTAATTATTTTACTAGAAGAAAACAAATTTAGCTTTGATTAAGAGCCCTTGTACATGTCTATTTATAAGAACGAGGAATACAGGCTGGCGTTAAGTTATTTTTTTGGAACAAGGAATCAATGGAAGTTTCCATGTAATTATTTTATGGTTTACCATAGAGACTGCAGAAATGCACTAGAGAGATAGAAGAATGTTGTTCAAGAGGATTACTAGAATACCTTTACTTCTTGAGTTTGGACAAATTGGGTTAAATGAAACTTAAAGTATGAAGCAGGCAAAAAATTCACGAGAAAGGTACAATGGGTAACATTATTTAGTTATATTTGTTAGGATATTTGGTTGGACCAACATAAGCATGTCTTTGATGAAGATGCGCATCAGGAACATATCATGAAAAATTCTAGCTTCTTTAGAGCTTGTTTGGATTTAGATCTTATCATACTAGCCCCCTCTTTGTCTTTTGAGATCAAATGCTCAAGGGAAATGTTCTTGAATAGGAATAATGTCTATAAATTGAAAGCAGATGAATGTATTATTATGAATGGTAACAGCAGCTGCAAGGGATACATTTGCATTGCACATGATAATTGGATTGAGGGTTCAGTGTGAAACTTGTTAGTGTACGACCTACAATTGCGGAGCTCCTTGCAATTATCAATAGTTTGAATCTTTCCTGGGCCCAAGGCATCCACCCTATGGACATTTTGTGACTATATTAAATCTATTTTATTTGTGACCAAAAGGGTGTGAGAAATCTCACCCCTTTAAGGATATTGGAAATAATGCTCATGTTTTGTGTCATAGGGATTGAAGTCTATCTATTCACTGTGTTGATAAAGAGTCTAATATTTATGCTGACTATTTAGTGAAATTGTCTCATAACTTAAACATTAATTTTTGTATTTTTGATCATCTACACTTTTTATATAAAAAAAGGTAATTGATGAAAGAGTCATACTAAATGTTACTTCTTTAATGTATTTCTTTTTCGAACATGAACACACTTTTCGATTGAGAAAGACTACTTGGACCATCCCAGCCCCTCAAACACTATAAGTAGTGTCTAATGCAATCCCCTCCCCACCCCCCCAAAAAAAAAGTCACTATCTACCCTATTTTTTTATTTAAACAAAACCAAATTGCATCATAGTTATTTATAGGAATATACTTATATGTATCATATGTATACAATAAAATATGCATACATTTTTTTTATTTGTACTTCTTTGATTCTATATATAGGGCAAAAAGAGAATATTTGTTAGGGTCTTATTTATAAAATGCCTCAATGATTATTGTGTCTATTTTTACTCATGTTAAATGCTAGGAATGTTATTAAATTTTAGAATATTTTATTTTTAAAGTATGTATATTCAATAAAGATAAAATTAAAAACTTATTAAATGTCTATATAAAATTAATGAAATTTAAAATTTTTCTTGATTTCAGTAAAAATGCAGGGAGCCAGTGACTTGTAATTTATAAATAACGTTGGAGGAAATATATTTTAATAAAAATATAATATATTATAGCATTTAGTTATTTACATATATGGTATCTTGTATTTTTTTCAATTTTCTTCAAATACTTATATAGTTATACTTCTAGTAATTATCATATAATAATATATTTCAACTAATAAAATTATTTTTAAAAATTAAATATACATTTATTTTTTAAAAAAAAATCCCGCCGCCACCCAAAAAAAAAAAGGCTGGTTCCACCCCTGTCATCAACCATAACATCTACGAAATTAACAACTCTAGCCTGTCCTCGTCATGGACGCGAACTTGATCAATTGTTTGCTTTACTTGCAAACAAGAACGTTAAGCATAGAAGATATTGTTGGATGCGCGCGCGCGCGCACACAGCTTTAACAGCATATCCTTCCGATTTTAGAGTTACGTCTAGCTGTCGGTAGTAACAGTGGAGTGCGTGCTTTGTTGATATACTGATCACAATTACCTATACAACGGGGACCATTACCTTATATTACTATTATCCACATCAGCTCAAGATTAAGATTCTTGATTACGAACCCAAAAATATTAGTATCTTTCTGTCCGTGTAACTTCCGCTCAGAGTCGTACAGATTCGCACCTTCCAATAATTTTTCCCTTTTCTCTCATGGTTTTCAAAATCTAAGATAAAAACTCGACAAGTAGGGGTTGGAGCAGGTGAGTTTGGGCAAAGACTCAGTCCACTCTCGAGTGATACGTACGTGAAGATGCAAACAAAAATAACCCAAATGGATTAAATGCGAATTCTGTAAAATTCATGGGTCTGTGCAGGCACAAGCTTAAGAAGTTGGGATAGACAAACGGAATTGGCAAGAGATAGCGTTTAGAATAGAAGGTTCATGAAGAAGAGGCTGGAAAGCAGCCTCAGCAACCAAATCTTAACAAAGAAAATTGGCAACAAGATATTTCATTCAGCCAGCCCATACAAACCAGAAGCGAACAATCGAGTAGTGCCAAAAATTGGTTTTAACAAAGGATAAGATGTTCTAGTCCACTAATTCAGACGTGTCCGGAGGAGAGGACTTTTTGGATGCTAATAAATTTATACCATTCGTTTAATCTGCACACTTCACAATTTTATTTAATTATATGCATATTAGTAGCAAAGCAGTTCACGTAGTTTTCTTTTGCTTTTTTTTTTTAAAGGTTTGTTATATGCAAAAGATTCCGGTGAAAGAGAGATTTTGAGATGGAGACTGGGTTCAATATTCAAATCCTGTGAGTTTTGAAGCTCAGAACCGCCATGACCATATCGACAAAAGAATTGCACAATTCCCCAGGAACCCCCCATGTACGTACAATTCTGCAAACACCTTGTTCCTCTTTTGGGAAGTCACAATAAAGCAAAAGGCACAGAGATATGACTCCAGAAGATGATTAAGTTCCCCCCATGATAGTAATTAGAAAACTGAAATTGAACGGGAAAAGCAAAAGAAACTGAACATGCGAAACAGTAAAAGGATCCCCAATAATCACCTTTTGTCTGTGTTTCTTATTTTTACATGCTCCTGGCCAACATTTCTTGAAACCTCCTGTCGGACTCCTGCTTCTCCAACCTAAACTTCTCGTGACAGCTCTCAATGAACATTTCTGCTAGCATATCAATATCCTCTTTAATTTCCTGCACATCCGTACCCTTATCCTGAACTTTCTCCTCCAGCCACTGAAGATACCCTGCGAGCTCTTCCGAATCGTCATAAGAAATGTGCAGGTCTTGTTGCTCTGCCTCTGAAATCACACTTCTCCAACTCGAATCGTGGCTCGAATGGTTGGAAGGCAAGCCGTTGAAGACCCGTGCTGGGACTGGCAAGACGTGAGAAGGCTTGGATGAACACCAGTTATAGTGAAGCCTGAAGGAACCTAATATTATCTTCTGCTTTTTATCGTGGATGGCCTGGTTCTTCTTGAGAATATCGAGGATAATGTTCTTGACTTTGGAGAGTGCACGAATGATTCGGCACATGTGGGAGACTAAGATGGTGTTCATGAGGCTTTTGAATTTCGTGAAGCTTATGGATGAAGATGTATACCTTTCTGAGAGAACTTGAAGAGGGTGCGGCGTTCTGAGATGAGCCGGGCTAAACATTTTTGGCCAATGTAAGTGTCTGTGGGTGCACTTGGAGGAGACTCAAGGCTGGACACACACACACACACAGACAGACAGTTTAAGACAGCTGTAATTTATATGGGAGGATAAACATTTGGATTAACATTTTGCCCCTCGACTTTTTCTTTATTTAAAGGTCTGCCATCCTCTCTTTTGACCTTCTGGTAGACTGGGGATAATGGCATGAGACCCCTTCCAAGTTTTTTAAAATTTTTACTTGGGCTTTGCATCGTGGTAGCGCCACAGAGGCTTACAGATTCATGGTAACTTTATTTTTTTTTTTTGAAAATTATAAATCTCATATAAAAAAATTAATTATTATAAAATTTATCAACAAATGAAGTAATATCATTTCAACGTAATACTCCTCGGCATTTTCTTAAAATTCAATTCAATTTGTGTTAAAAGTGGAAAGAGCAATCATAGAGCCTAAATATTATTATATCAAGTATGCATAAATTGCTTGGGCATTTTCCCATACATTAAATAACTCGCTGGGAACGTGGACTTATGTTTCATTAGTGGGCAGAACTTTCGTCCCAGTGTTCAGCGACGAACGGTAGTATCCTGTAGGCTTATACTTTGACACGTGAATTTACTAGAATTTTATTAAGGAAGATGATGTAATGGAGAGTGGCATCGGAATATTGGGGAACGCCAATCGGGTCAACGATCACATGAGCATCTTAGGAAAGAGTCGTCTCATTCAATTCTTGGCAATGTGTTATTAAATATATTATTAATAAGGTGCCGATCTCCATCTTGACTATTAGTTTATCAGTGTTTTCTGATTATGATCAATATATACATTATACATTTAAGTAAAACATTGTATTAGTCCGGGGATATGCTTAAACGGTTTTTTGTGTGCAATGGCTTTTGTTTTTTATACTTTTAAAAATGATACTTCCTCCATCCCAAATTATAAAATATTTTTAGACAAAATCTCACATACTAATAAATCTCATTAAATACACTTAACAATATTATCTTTTTAAAATAAAAAAAATAAAATTTTAAAAATATTTATTATTTAATATATTAAAAAAATGGACAAAAATTAATTATAGAGAGATAATGGATAATATTAGGATCAATACATTTAATAAAACTTTAATCCATTCAAAGTATCTTATATTTTTTAATAAATTTTTTTTAAAAGTATCATATAATTTAGGATGAAGGGAATATAATATAATCTCTAATGTCAATAAATACTAATCTTGACCGTTAATTGACAAAAAATAACATTAAGAATTACCAAAAAAATTTAGTAAATGATTCAAAAATTACAGAAAATGATCAAGAAAATATTATTGATCATTTTTTGTATTTTTTGAATTTTTTTCTGTTATTTTTTATTAACTAATAATCAAAATTAATTTTATGAGCGGTAAAAACCATATTATTTTAAAAAATTAAAAAAGAATATTATTTTAAAAATATTTTCTTTTTTTTCCCGTGCAGGGATTAAAATATATACTAATAACTATTATATTTTTATTAATTATTACTTATTAGTAATTATCTTTGTTATTAGTAGTTTTTTAGTCATAGACAAGGTAATTAAATGTTATTCATATACTCTCTAATAAGGTGTAATCATTATCTTTTTTTTAAATATTTCTATTAAATATATTACTTTATATTTTTTTAGGGTAAAACACCCCGTTAAATAAAAGTAAATATAAAAATATATGATTAATTTAAAGATAAATAACTACTTTATTAGGGATAAAATTTAATTAAAAATATCTTATATTTTTAAATGGAGGGCGTATAAGATTATTAATTTTACTTTTATCGAGTTTTTTCATCGTTTATATTAAATGAATTACCAAGATTTAAGAAGAGCTTTCAGGCTTTAATTTGTTAGATTTCTTCCATTAAACATGCTCAAGAATAATACTCTCTCAAAATAGTTTGAACCATTTAATTAAATACTTTTTAAACTTATATATCCATGATCAATCTTTTAATCTTTAGACATGGAATTTTTTTTATATTCTAATATTCTTTTTATTATTTTTTTAATCTCTTTTTTTTTTTTACTTTTTTTTCTTGCCTGGACTTGTACTTTTTTTTAATCTCAAAGGTCTTGGGTCTATTTAATTTCTTTTTCTTTTTTTATTCTTCTCTCTTTTCTTTTTTTTATTTGTCTTCTTGTATTTTTTCTTTCATTCTTTCCTCTTTTTTTTCTTTCTTTCTTTTTATCTTTCAATCGAATGGTTAATGATACTATATTAAATTCTTTTATTAAATATGCTTAAGAATGATATACTCTACTAACATAGCTTAAATCATTTAATTAAATATTTTGTAAGCTTATATATCCATGATCTATCTTTTAATCTTTAGATGTGAGATTTTTTTTTATATTCTAATACAATTGGCTGACCTATTTATTATATCTTTACCAACCAAGCATCATCATGCTATCAACAGGCGTGTCAATGTTATATTTACATAAAAAGTGATCTGTATATACCACATTAAAACTAAAACGTCAGAAACATTCGCAACTAGGATATAAATTAAACCCGTGTAATTTTATTTGAATTGGTCTGGTGACCATGCGAGCTTTACAAGAATTTCAAGTTTTATTATTCAGGATTTATGAATAATAATTGACTTTATATTATATTATATTATATATTCACACACATTTAAATGCAATGGAGTTCATTTTACACACATATACTCGTTGTGTGTGTATCCCCCTCCCCCAGAAAAAGGGGGGGGGGGGACATGTAGCCCAGCTAGATTGGTACCTTTATCATGCATGTGAGAAAGTAATTAACCATTAATTAACCAGAACAACATTAGTATATAGTTCGCGTAAAAAATATTCCTTGACTGTAGAAATTTGAACAATAAATTAAGTAATTTTAATAGGTCTTTGCGTGCACTATTTTTATCCACTGTTAGTACTAATAGTAATAGTAACGAGTGTGCTCAAAAATCAAAATTGCCAGCACCGAGAGACTACTCTGTACACTGTATATTTTTAATCATATATATTATTTTGCCATATTTTCAAATCAATTTATCCAAAACTTAACTGATGATTCTGTTGGTTATTTATTGCGTGCGAATGATGATGGGGTAAAACCATGTTTGATTTAATTATTTTAGGCCGAGAATAATTGTATCAGTGTAAAAGTCTCTGTGGGAAGTGCGTACACTATAAATCATTTCCCTCGTCTTGGGTGGTATTCAAATACGTACTACTATCAATTACCTTCAAGTTTTATTAATCAATTGACTTTTCAAGTTGCTCTCTGATAAAATCATAATCATCATCTAGTCAATTTGATACGTTATAGACAGGATATTCTTAACCTAGAATCTCATCAAATTTGAGATCTCGATTTCATTCTTCTCTCTTGTATGCAAATGTTTTCAATTCAATTCATCGTCACAGGGAAACTCGTGAAATAAATTAAAAGCTTTACTCCTTGGGATGCTGGAAGTGCATATTTCAACTTGGTGGCTCCTTTCTCAAATTTGTGAAACAGATTACTGTTTGGATAGTGATGGAACATCTTCAATCCACAATAATTTATGTAAAAGCTTGCCTTTAAATCTAGAGAACGACATCATATCTAAAACAAAATCAGTAGTCGCTAAATTGTTGCTGAATTATGTGCACCCCATATGTTAAAAATGTTAGTGTATTGAATTGGCTGAATCATTTTATAAATACGTGACAAGCAAGGAATAATATATATATCAAATTGCCGAAGACTGACTAACAGATATTTAACGTGTGACAGTCTCAACCTTCGATCGTTGCGTGTGGAAGAAGGATGCAGTTAGCAGTATATGACGTAAGGTATGACACAGTGAATAAAAGCAGTGCCATAGATAAGTAAAAGAATAAGAATAAAATGGATACATGCATAAGAAATAATATAGCATTGACCATTGACTAGAGTGTGGGCTTGAAGCATCGAACGGGACAAAAATCAACGGGTGAGAGGTGAGGTCAGTCAGCAGCTCCTTAACTGATTTAGTACAAGATTGCAGAAGTGGTCGTGAGGGGAAGGGAAGAAGGGGACAAGAGAGAAGACAGATAAGGGAGGGGGACGAATAAAGAACTCCGGGGAAGAAGAAGAATTGTATTCACTCGTAATTTACAAGATTTTAAAAATCAGACCCAGTATTAAATTGAAGTAGCTATTGATTCACGATTCATTGGTTCAATTATAATTTAATTAACATTAAATTAATATATTTTAATTTATATATCATAATTAAATAAAAATATATGCAAATATTTATATTTTTTAAAAAATATTAATAAATGCTTGATAAAATAATATATTGTTGATAACGCATGATTAATATTAATTATTTTTAAATATTCTTTGTTTTAATTAATTTTTTAAAAATTTTAATTAATTTAGACTGGTTTCTAAAGGAACTAGTCTGATTTTTAACAAATTTTTTCAACTTTTTCAATCATTGGTTGGTTCTTTTGTTACCAGTTTTGAGAGGCCAACTGAACTAAATCAAAAGTTGGTTTTTGATTGAATTGATCGATTCAATGTAATTTTTAAAATCTTGATAATTTATTCTCAATTTGGCAAAAAATGCACAAACGAAATTGTGTTAAGGGCTTTTTATAGACTTTAATCCAATAATCCCAACCTCATAAATAAAATCATTAATTGATATGATTATATTCTGTAGATGCTAAAAATCAATTAATTGTAAATATACCGAAGATAATGATAATTGCAAAAAACTTTAAAAAAATAACAATAATTGAAGAGTTACGGTAATTAAAGTAATTCCCATATCTAAAAATTGCTTTTAAAAATCTATAAAGAAATCTTCAAGGCTTGTTGTTTCCATCCGTGTACCTTTCTTTAAAGAAAAAACGAAAAAGAAGGAGAGAGAGAGGAGGGAAAGGAAACAAGAAGAGATATCAATCCTAATCATGGAGGATTTGGATGGAGTAAGTGAAAAAGGATAAAATAAACGAATTGGATTACTATCTAAGCTAAGTGAGAGTCTATGATTTATAAAATATGATTTAATCAATGAAACCCGTG